TGGGGGGGGGGTATATTTGTTGATATCAGGAGTTCTGGCCTGGATAGAGTCGTTGTAAAGCTATTTTTGCTTCGGGGTATCGGTTTCCCGGAAGATGAGCAAGGAAAATTCAATGGTGCATTTATGGAATAATAATAGAGATTCTCATGGTCTAACAGTGCGAAGATTAGACTTCTCGTAAGGTGGCAACGATCAAGGGCCGCACTATAATTCATAATAATTGAAGGTCATGATGTGGAAAAAGCGACTGAAATGGTGGATGCCATGCAATCCTCTCGGGTGGGGGCGGGGCACCTGGCCTTAACGGTTGCCCCTTCGACAGAAGGCAAGCATGCCCAGATTGTCCACGGGTTGCTAAATGAGACCGTCCCTTTCTTAGTACCCGTTCCCTGTCTTTTTATTAGACCCGGGCAAATTTCTCGAGATTGCACCATCATTTTGGGCTTTTAAGCTTCCAAAGTCCAACAATAATAGCGCATGTTCGCGACGGTTTTTTAAGTCAGTCAAGTTCTTAAACCAGGCCTTAAACGGCCAGTTTTAAGTGTCGATAACAGTTAAAAAGGCATACAAGCCCCATGCAAAAGACAGTGGGAAGGAAGTACACATCGGTGATGGGGAAAAGGACTAGCCCACAGTTATTTAGGGGTGGATCTTTCGAAACATTCTTATACTCTTGGACAGATATGCATTGTTTAAAGTTTTAGACAAAACAGGTGTAAATTTATAGTAACAAACTGTTAAATATACATCAGCAAGATTTTTGCGAATCCTATTTTTCGCTGGAGACTATCGTGTACTGGCTGGTCACGCAATCAAAGGTAACGTACTTTCCCACGTTTGTTTACTGACCTTTACAATACACTGCGTTCGACAAAGGATCCAAATTACGCTGGAAATGTTTTGCTATTCGGCCCACTTTTTATCTCAGGTAAGGCATTGCAAAGCTGATTCACTTACGAAGATTCGAGGGAGAATTATTTCTTGATGTTATTCTGATTTCGCAGTCACGGGAAAACAGACCTAGACTCAGGTCCACTCGCAGACGCCATGCTGCAATCTTCAAGATCTCAAACGGCCTCTCCTTTGAGGATTGCGTGTATTTCATTAAAACAGGTACATATTAAAAGAATCTTGTTAGTTTCTCCCTTTTAACGAGCTCAAATCGATGCATAAAACTAAGGTGACGTGCACGTGTCAACTGACCCTGGGGTCAATTAGCAGTTGTTTGGGGCAAAATAACTTCAAAATAATCAATCTATTTTACAAGCGTTCGCAAGAACACCAGACTAACTTTCAGATAATGTTGAAGTACTATATCTCATTAGTTAGTAAGCGGGATTTGGGGTGATTTGGAGAATTCCCCCATATAGAAAATTCGATTTTGGTTTTAGCGGTAAATTGTTGTATTTATAAGCATTATGCAAATTACGTTTCAAAATTCTGCTGGTTCGTCGATATTTTATACTCTAAATCTAAAAAATAAGCCATTCAGAAATTGTTAGATATCTGCTTTTTGAGATTTAAGTGGAAGATTGGCAATATATTCGCTCGTTTATGAAAGTCAGCTCATTTCTGTCGCTAGGCTATATTGCCTTGTTCGGCGGCTAATTTTAGGCCCGCAGATCGTTGAAATCGAAAATCTCAAATAATTCCCAAACTCGGCCGCATTTTGAAATTTAAACCTCAGCAGTGTTATAAACTCATTAAAACTTTATTACAGACTGAAAATGAGGGTAAGTTAGGTTTTGAGCTGTGGCCACGATTTGCCGATTTTGCTCGATTTTTCTGTGCATTCGCTCTTAAAAGCAGAAGACGTTCCACGTCATTGTATTTAAAAAGACGTCCATACAAAGTTATTTTAGGTGGAATCCGTGCTAAACACTCTGCAAGTTCACTGAAAGTCTTCATTTGCAATTTTTGTTTACCCTCCAACGCCTCGCTTTCATGACTAGGCCCCAGTTTTTTCCCGCGTGTCCGCCATTTGTGAATACGGTGTATAGGAAACCATTTATGTCTCTCTAGTTCAAAAAACCGCCGCCAACATTCGACAAAAGCAAGTTCGGACGTAACTTTCTGCCGTTTTTAGCTTTGAATCTCTTACCGCCGTAACCTCTGAACGTTTCCGAATCTTTAATTAGTCGAAACCAGGGTTCAAACACAAAAAATGCAATCATTTTTAAGGACTTTTCAAGGACCACCTACGACCAGAAATGTAATTTCACAGATTGTACAAAAATGCAACTTCTCAGTCCATTCTAAGAGGTTTTTAAGGCTTGAACTGTTTGCTCCACAAACGTCTCTAAATTTTTATGTTCACTTGTCTTAATTTGATAGTTTATAATTCTTACATAAAACAAAAAAAAGCTTTATGCAAATCACCTTTAACTTCTCTGAGCTATGATTTATTTTCTGTCTTGGACAACCAAAAAGCATTTTAAAAAAAGCACTTTCCAGGCCACTACATTTTATGTTAATGAAATTTTCAGCACTTATCAAGGACTTGTACAGAAATTTAAGGAATTTTCAATGACTCCCTCTAAAATTCAAGGACTTTTCAAGCTACAAAGATATATCTCCACTCTTTTTGGACAGCGAGGAGGGCAACGAGAGAACGCGCGAGTTAGCCACGAAGCCGCGAGCAAAACCTCTCACTCTCGCGTCTCCTTTCGCCAGCCTCTCACGCGTGGCTTGCCCAAATGTAGGAGATTGAATCAGAGTGGAGAGTGAACCGCTCGCTGAATTTCACATGAACAGTGCTGCCTCTTCCTCCTCAGACGCTTTGTTTTTTGCACAGAGGCGAGCACAAAACGGGTGTAACTGGTGACAAAGCGCCAAGGACCATGAGAAGGAAAGGAAGAGAGGCGAAGTGCCGTCTCGCCCGTTTTGTGCTTCCCTCCATCTTCTGTGCGCACATTTTCATCGAGAGAGAGAGACCTTTGGGTACAACGCAGTCAACAGCTCACTAGGCGTGATCTTACTAGTTACTGCAAGTATGACGTGACAGGTAATGCAAGACGTCTGTTAATATTCACAACTTTAACTCTCAAAGATCTCATAACTGACAAACAATCCTTCTAAATGATCAGTGGAGTCCCTTTCTCTGAGAAGATGAACATATCTCTCTTTCGCTAAGGACTGTTTCATTTTTGTGCTCACTTTGGGGAAGTAAGGGTGACGAAGGGGTGAGAGCACTCGCCTTCAACCAATATCGCTTCGTTCGAGTCCCTGAGCCGGTGCCACCATATGTAGGTTGAGTTACTATTTGGTTGTTGGTTGTTTCCCTTTCTCCGAAGGTTTTTTAAACATGGCAGGTCGCACTTTTTGAGAAAAAGCTCCCTTGTGGGGTTAGAGGCGGGGGGGGGGGGGAGAGTGAGACAGGGCAAGGATAAACGAAAAGAAAGTTTTGCTGTCCTTCTTTTCACACCACGCCTGCTCATCTAACTGGGTGTCAGGTGTGTGGTAACGGGGCTTGGAGGGGGGGATTATATAAGTCCCATACCAGTACCCCTTCATGTCAGTTTCTTTCAACATTCCTGAGAATAGTCTCAAAAAATATACCCAAAAAAGAATGAAGTTACAAAATCTCGCGAATTCTTGAGAATGAAATGATTCTTTTCTTGATCCTGGGAATTCTAGACAATTCTTAAGAATTGGAACATTTTTAAGGGAAAAGCCAGATTACCAAAATTGACAAGTTACTAACTAAGAAATCTCCGGAAATTTCCAAAAAATTTCAGGAATTTTCAGGAATTTTCAGAAATTAATGCATATTAAGGTCTATTAAATCCTTACCAGAAGTAACAAAGTTTGATTCCGGTAATAAAATTATAAAGCACTGAATTGAACTTTCTCCAGCCCCATTAACGGAAATAAACTAACACGTGACTCGCAACGTGACACAGTGTCACACACTATCTCACATGTCTCGGACCTAAGATTTAGATAGACCAAAAATCCAAAATTTCTTTCCCATAAGGCCAAGGTTTACTTATTTCTGCAACAGATTATACTAAAAGAAGGAGAAATCACTATCCTGCTAATTACGTTTACATAGTAGCAAAACTCACATTTATCGTTGACCTCGATTAATTGCACATCCTTTCCTCTCAAAGAAAATCCCAGCCGATTTCAATCAATATAACTTTTGTTTCTTGATGAATACAAAATAGTTGCATCCAGACAGTTCGCAGAGTTAACATATGGCGTAATATAAAGCAAGGAAACTTAATTCATGTCCGCTGGGGCGCTCGCCGGCAGTTTCACGTACCGCTAAAATCATCAACAACAGCTTGTTTCTTTCTCACGGTTTTACCACGTGACCTCGGCGCGCAAAGTCAGTTTTCTATCGCGACAGTCGCGCGTGTCCAGAAAATTTCATAACAGTCTCAACAAGTCAAGCGATCCTGAGAATTCTTAAAATTCACACGACCCATTTCCGAGAATTCTTGGCAATCATTTCATTCAGCGCGCGGGGGATAAGGAAAGAGAGCTCTCGATATTTTTGACCAACTAGTTATATTTTACTAAAACAATTATTCCTCTCACCCTCATGGCCTCTGAGTCAATGGCCCATTAGGCCTTCGGCTTCATGGGCTATTGCCTCAGGGCCCATTCAGGCTCGAGGAATAATTGTTAAGTAGAACATCTGTAGAATACCGCTTAGTAAGCGAGAAACTTGAGAGGGAAATTTAACACCACCATCGGGTACTTTTATGAAAAAATTTATTCTGTATTTTATGAACTTGACAGTTCGCCAGCAATCTTGTCCAAGGTAAACAGTTAATCGATACAGTAGCCGATTGTTAATAACCCAGAAATAATACGATACTCCTCTCGTTAAAAATGGGTAGTATCCACAGTGATACTCGCTAAAGACAAATAATACTACCCAAGAATGTAATCATTTCTATTAGTAAAATCCAACTAGTCGTCTATTACCAGTGCTGCGTTCTTTTTAGTTGAGCTGCTTGCTACTAGGCTATATGTTATGGCCCACAAGTAGCGAAAAGCGCCGGCTTTTTGGCGGCAAAAAACGATTTTAAAAAGTCTAGCTTCAAGTAGCTAAAATTTTTTTTATTCTCGATATTTTTGACCAACTAGTTGGATTTTACTAAAACAAGTATTCCTCTCGCCCTGATGGCCTCTGAGTCAATAGCCCATTCGGCCTTCGGCCTCATGGGCTGTTGACTCGGAGTCCATTCGGGCTCGAGGAATAATTGTTAATTATGATTATATGATTATTTCTATTATGCTAATCACTTGTCACTTTCAAACAGTAGAAAATCTTATACCATCAATAAATGCTACTGGTGTGAAATACTTCTACTATGTTACAATGAATTGAAACGAGCCTTTCATATTATCTGTGACTTTTACTTTCACAGAAACATACCTGCATGGACTTATTCTCTTGGTATTTAGACAATTAACCAAGACGTCTCTAAAACGATTCGGAAGGGGAAGGAAAACTTCTACTTTTGAGTAGACGTTTCACCTCAGAAAATTTAGAAAACCCAACGTTTTCATTTGGAGGATACAAAGGACTTTGTAATATCTAAAAACCTAATTAATTCTTTACCCAGCATGTCCCCTTATTCCTAAAGCCGACTAATCAGACAAAACTTTAAAACTGGATTATCTTTGTTTCATCGAAAGTGAACTGGAATTAGCTGGCATTCAAAGCTAATATTCACATTAGCCGCCTGAGCTTTGGGTGGAAGCCAAATCCAGTTCATGGTTCAGAATAAAAAAATGGTCTACGCAGTGACACTAAAGAAGTTAACCCTTTAAGCCCCAATATCCACATACAAATTCTTCATACTGATCTCTATACATTTCCTTAAAAAATTAGTTGAGAGAATTTGATGAAGGATCAAAGAATTTTTCCTGAGGTGATCCTTTCAATAAATCTCGTGACCTTTTCTTTTGATTATGCATTGATATTGTGAGGAGTAGATTGATGTTGGTCACTCATAGGGCTTTAAGGGTTAAAGGAGCTGTGGCACGAAATTTACCAATTTTTTTAAACAGTAGCAACTACCGCTAAATTGAATAAAAGGCATAAAAAATACAAAAGAAGGTTTGGATGGACCAACTTGAAAAAGATTGAAACGGACTGCAATTGTGATTTATGGAAACTTGTTAGCCAAACAGTTTTTCAAAGTTCATTTTTGTTGTTACGTTTGATATAATGCTTTGGAGGCATATTTGCCGGCGAAGGGGCTGTGATTTTGTTAATTACAAGTGATTTCGTGACTAACGTTAAGTTTCATAGAGAAGAAAGAAGCGTAAATGGTAAAATTACGACAATGAACTTGGCAATGAACAAGGCCGGTTGCTAGTCCCATCTTGACAGAGTGACCATCTTCTATAAACACCTGCAAAAAGATGAGACATGAGTTGCGGACGACGTGAGATCGAAATTAAGTAGCTAACGCTCAGTTTTCAGGATGTTTCAGAGGTTACACTAAAGCACTCATTAGGGACCTTACCATCCGACAACGGCGACGTCCATGAAAACGTCGCTGAAAAATAGACTTCACATCCTTTTAAACTTTTTCGCGACTATCCCAATTCGCCCTGTTACTTAAAAGAAGGGAATTTTGGTTGAAGTTGAACCGAGGGGACAGCGTCCGAGTTCAGACAGATATGGTAGAATATTTATCGCCTTGCCGTTCCCGTTCTCAAGTAAACTTAAAATTTGGTCATTTCACGTCGTATTTGTGTAGGTAGAGTAAAGAAATATACAAAAAAAGCGTGATGCACGTGCAGAGTTGTTGTTTTGTTCATTACACTTATTGCTTTTTGACGTTCTCCTTACCGTCGCGGTCGTAGTTTCGTAAGGTCCCTATTCGTTCGACCACGCGCGGTCCAGTGAATTGCTAAAGTTCCTCGTTTTGATTGACATAATAGTACAAAATTGCTAAAGTTAATTTACAGTTCAACAAGGTAAAAGGATAAAATTTACCAGTCAGATCCCATAAACAAGATAAGCCTCAGCCTGCGTACGTTTTTGTTGGTAAAACAAAATAATAGATCAACAAAAAAAAAATCATATGGTAACCGAGAAATCTGCGAGGCAATCAAAACAACAACAACAACAACAACAACAACAACAACAACAAAGAGACAAACCTTCATCAACATTGGTGCTTCGATTGCAAGGATACCGGCTTGGTTTAGCAAAATCTACAGACTCACACCATGTTCCAGTGGTTATCCGTGATAAGGTATCCAGGTAGTCAGAAGCTGTCGTGTCCGCGGCAATAACGTAGCGACATAGCGTTTCATGTGTAGTTACATGACGCCGTCGGCGACGCAAAGATTTTCTTTTAGGATCCTTTAAAGTCACATGTCTGAGCCGTTGGATACTTTCCTCAGAGAGAAGAAATTTATCTTTCCCTGGACCATCTAGTCCTAATACTGGGCGACAGACAAAAGGCAACTCACCAGGGCTTAAACGGTCCCAGCCATTGTCCTCAGAGGATGACCAAGCTAGAGACTCACTGTACACATCAAAGCTATCTTCAAAACAACATTCAACAGCACTAGCTACGAGATTTATTGGTGACCCGCCTTCTTTGTTCTCGTCAGCCTCCTCTTCACTTCTGGTAATAAAGGAAGGATAAATTATGTATCAGTAGACGCTTAATAATAGCAGGCTACAAACGAGGTCAAAAGTCAAGGGGGCACTTAACACAATAGGACTTAAGCTGAGTTCCTTCCCCCTTCGCCGCCAGCAATGCTGTATTTTGTGCACCCTGTAGCTGTACACTTTAACCTGTTGTGAAAGGTGTTTGCTTACTACAACATTTTTTATATTGTTTGGAGGGGAAGGGGGAGGGGGCATTAGAGACATCCGAGCTATTGCACAAGTGGATCTTATGCTACATTTGCTTATTTGATGCGTTACTGCTATTGAAGAAAAGTTTTGAATTTCAATAACTGTCCCAAGGATTTATGGTCTCTATTACAGTCTAACAACAAAGCTCTTCTACTACAGTGTACGATTACATGTAGCGCATTCCAATTTTTCCCCAACTGCCGCTTAGTTAGAACTTATTTTGTGAGGAACCTGTGTTCCAGTATGGGGATTTTAACCGTATAAGAGCTATCCTGAAACAACGCAGTTTTGTTAGAGATATTGATTTTGTTATCTCAGAAGGAGTATGTGATTAACTCGTTCCAGTCAAGGCTGCTGCCTAACGGGCGCCCGGTCGCCAGAGGCGCCCAAGGTAAGAGCATGGGCGACCAAATTTCGGTACAAGGAGCCCGCGCGGGCGCCTGACTTAACACACGGCATTAGACTTAACCTCCTTGTACATTATATTCCTTTAGCTGGAGTAGGACTTTAAACAGTGGAACTGTTGATATGGTTAGCGATGATGCGATTAGGCAGTATAAAATTTCCACAAATAAACCGTAAATTATGTAAACCTAACGTGTTCAACTGTGAAGCTTTGTCGAAACGAACGAAGCCATCGTTTCCGAGTCCGGATGGCAGTTGAAGACTGGGTCTGAGATTTGACTTCCAAATATGGAATAGCAAAATTATGGGCTGTTTGTTGCCTATGTTGACATTCGTGCAGTTCATCGTTTGCTTGGGTTTTCGTCGATTTGATAACTTTTTTGTGGCGAGAATGGGAAGCTATCTTGCGTGCTATCGACTGGACGTGCTTGATGTTCGATTTCATGTACAAGAAGCAGTTTAATTGTTACATTTTAGAAAATTCTTTGAAGGCTCTTCTAGGTCACATTGAACACAACAGATGTGGAAGTTAATTGAATAAATTAATAAATGAAAGTAAATAATTCGGTTAATTCTTGTTTACGTGTTATTTATTAGGCCCGGCGAATTCTTATTAAAGTGTGCAAGAACCTCTATAACCTATGTAATGATCTTGGAAAAACAATACATGGATTTCAAACTGGGCTCCTAACAATGTGGCTCGGGCTCCTAACTTTAAACTTTAGGAGCCCGAAGGGCTCCCTAAAATTTTTCTTAGGCAGCAGCCTTGTCCAGTTTTCCCAAAATGCTGTTTAATCAGAATGGTCTTATCTGTCTTTTGAGTGTTTTGCTCTCGAGATGTGTGTCACCTTGGAGCTCCTGTAAAACAAGGTAGTTTGGGGTGTGTCCTCTAATCTCAACGGGATTATAATACTTACGCTTCAAGATGTAACGAGTCAAAACAACCAGGCTGACCACCACTTTCATTAAAATAATGTGTCTTTGATTTGCAACTCTTTGAGCAAACAGCATCTCTATTAATCGAGCAGTTTACAAGAACATCCTTGTTACCACACGATGAACACTTCTCGCGTCTCTGGCATGTGTAGTCACCATGACCACAAGGTATGCAGGAGACAGCTGTATAGGACCCTTGAACAGAGCCGGTAACAGCATGTGATTGCTTCATGGATGGAACCTGTTTACAGACATAAACAGAATAAACTAAACAACAAAATTGGATCAGTAATTTAACCAAAGTCTAATTTTGGCCGCGGTTTGAAAAATTATTGAACCTTCAGATCTCTCTCTGAGTGGGTTATTTTAAGAAGATAAATGTTTCTCCAGTCTGGCCTGTTGCTTTCATGAAACTGTTCACAGTAACCGGAGTTTAGCTAAAAGCGTTTAGCAAACTGAAAATGGCTGGCTGCCTTAAACTCAGTTTAAATAACCGGCCCATTGAGCTTCTATTTGCTGCGAATGACTTGGCATATGCGTATTTTCTCTTTCAGCCTCCATCATCTAATAACCCTCTCTGCCTTATATGTTGCACTTAATAGAAATGTAATGTAATTATTACACTTTACTCCAGGTTTGTAAGAGATCCCATGACGGTTTGATCGGTCAAGTTCATACACAGTAAGCAAAGGCGAATTGCACTATCAGCTGCAACATGTAACCGCAATCAGGGCCACAAATAACTCCTCTGCTCCCTGTGGCAAAATCTTCACAAAACTTAGCTTTCAAGTTAGCAACCTTAATTCCTCAAGGAATAAATAAATGCTTTTCATTTAACTGATTTAGTTCTGTTTGTTACGTTACCGTGTCCGCGGATTCTGGCATTTCAATGTCAACAGTCTCGTCAATCGTGAGTTCCTTTACCATTGTGGAAGAAGAAAACCGCGACATTGCAGGCCTCAGTTCAACTAAGAGACAAAAAAATTAGAAACAGTTATCAACGATAAAACAAAACAAATAACGAAGAATTTAACATTGTGACCCAGGTAACAAGGTTGTTTGCTTAAACTTCGTGTGCAATCTTTGCCTTCTTCGAAGTCACATGACATCCAATACATGTTTTCCAGCACTAAGCAGTCAACATTGTAAAAAAAATGTCGTGTCAGTAACTGTGTTCACATTGTGTGTTGCCCCTCCCATGAAAATCTCCTGTATTTCAGTAGATTTGCTAGGGCCGAAACCAATTGTGGAATTGCAGTTATGTTAGGTATGCTACTTATAGAGTGTTTTCAAAATGGTTTTCAAACCAATTCACCGGCGGCCATGATGGTATCCCAAACAAGTCCTGTAGGAGTTGAATCTTTTTTGTTCCAATATCTTTGTATAGCTACTGACCACGTGAGTGGAAAGGTTCTAAAAATCGTCACTTTATTTAGATACTTCCAGCAGAAAGTTAAAGCAATAATCATTAAAGAATTATATGAAGGGAGATCATCGCAGTATATACGCAACTTTTGCAGTTGCGAAAAGAAAGCCTGAAAAAGACTGCAAAAGTTGCGTATATACTGCCATGATCGTCCTTCATATAATCCTTGACTCCACAGTTCACATATATGATTTTTCATATATTCATAACTTCGTCATCATCCTTTCATGGGTTAATAACGAACCAATTCAACGACCTGCTCCCAGTGGGCTTGTTAGCTTAATTGGTAGAGCGCTGCACCGGTATCGCAGAGGTCAAGGGTTCGAATCCTGTACAAGCCTGAATTTTTTACAGGCTTTCTTTTCGCCACTGCAAAAGTTGCGTATATACCGCGATGATCTTCCTTCATATAATTCTTGACTCAGCAGTTCCCATATATGATTTTCATGTATTCATAATTTCAATCACTTAAGAGTCAACTGAGTTGAGAATTTCTCAACAAAGAAAATGAGCAGATAAAAACAGCTCAAAGCAATTCTTATGGATAATTAAATTGCGTGGAACAACTAATTTAGGTATAAACATAATGAACAGTCAACGGCAAGTGAAGAGAAAACTTGATCACGTGGTACAAATTCTCGTTTGCCATTTGAAATAAACGTGATGCTTAACCTATCTTATAGCAGTCTCTCTCCTTGGAATTGTAAAATCACAATGACCGCTTAATTGTTTCCTACTGGATCCACTACAGTCCTTGAAGTGCTACTATACACAGCAAATTACTTAATAACTAGTTTCTCGGCAAACCAAACAATGCAAAGGTTATTGGGGCTGAGCAAAATTCGGAGAAATATTGATATTGTAATTCTAAATGGCTATTAGTATAGGTAATACCATGAATTGTAGTGATATTTGGCATAAATACCACGAGTCATATTTCGAAATTGTTACACGTAATTTCACGAGCCGTTAGGGCGAATGAAATTTGAGACAATTTCGAAATATAACGAGTGGTATTTATGCCAAATATCACGTTCAAATCATGTTATTATTTGTTTATACTACTACACGCAAAGGTTTTGTAATTTTCACAGGTAGGTATTTCAAATTAAGCTGAAATACCACTGCTCTAAGCCAATCAAATTGCAGAAATTTCTCGTGTAGTAGCAGTTGGCTATTACCAGCTTGGTCGAAGATTTGAACTAGGGACTAATACAAGCTACTGTAGCAGCCAGACACGGACTCAAACCCTGAACCTCTGGTTTGCAAAAGTATAGCTCTAACCGCTCATGAAGTTCCAACACCCAGAGTGGAAGGTCAAATTATTCTGAAGTTAACCTTCCCTACGAATTTCAACACAAGCATTACCTTCACTTTCCACAGATGACAGCACGTCTTGGTCATGGTTGCATTCCAACCACTTCCGCACACGCTCCATTCGTAAACGCCTCACGCTCTTATCTTTGTGAAGCTGTTGATAACTAAAAGTTAGCACCTCGGGGAAGAATGTCCTTTCAAAAACAGAATTCTTTGTTAAAATCGTCTGCGTACAGCCTTTATATCCCAATGGTTCATTGTCTGCAGTCTCTGTGACACATTGAACGGCTGTATTCGTTTCTATTAGTTCTATCGTCGGTATGCAGTTAAAACCTGATCCAGTTATGTTGCCCGGCATAAGCCGGATACTACAGTGTCCGGGAAAACGCACAGTTGTCTTATTCCTCCGAAAGAACCACAAACCCAATGCCACAAACACAAAACACAGTGCAATACAACACCCAATTATTACAGAGAAATTGCTGGTATGTACACAGTTTATGCCATCTTTGCCGTATTTTCCATCAACGCAAAGCACGGTTGCATACCAAGACAACACCTGGCTAGTCTTTCTGTCTGACGAAGAAAATGATTCAGAGTCTGAAAAAGAACCAAAGGCTTTGGTAAGAAGTTTCTCTTTCCTGATACTCAAATGAGATTGTACTAGACTTTGATCCACTAGGTCTTTTCCACCCAAAAAGATTTGGTGATGACTTTCTGTGAAAACCTGACTTTTAGTTTGGGTTTTAAATATTAAGTCAACTTCGTTCATGCAGTTCCACAAGACTTTCCCAAGGGAGAATCGCAGACGCTGAATCTCTCTTCGTGCTGATTGTCTGAAATAGCTGGTTGCAGAAAATTTCTTCTTCAGCCAGTGACAAAGCAAACTGGACAGTTCTGGTGAGTTCTTCTTTCTTGCCCAATGAAATGGAGTTTCTATTTGTCTAGCATGAACCAGACTTCCATGATGACTACCGCCAAAGGTTCCTAAAAAGGATGCGCTCGCGGCTGCGGTGATTCTATTCTTATCCTCTGTAAAATCAGCAACAATTTTTTTTATCAAGTGGTTTACCTTTGGAACTACACCAGCATTGACGCGAGTGATAAAGTACGTTCCGAAGTCGCGAACCAGTATCTGCGCCAAATAATTAGCATAGGCGGTGTTGTTGTGCTGTTGATGGCACACGATTTCAAGTAGACGGGATTTAAACCCGGGCTGGAGAGCGCTATCAGGTTGAAGTTTGGCGGGGTAAAAGACATGATGCATTTGAACTCGAGCTGTTACAGCTTTGTCTTCCACATGGTGCTTCTTAACTGATTCGAACTCGGATGAAAACGAACCGCTAATGTAACGAAGTGGTACTGCAATTTGTTTTGCTGGTACTGCAATTTGTGTTGCTTGGCGGCCATCTTGTGACACAAGTTTAAGAGGGATTTCTCGAACTGGCAAAATTCTTGCATCGTTCTGACTTCTTTTCAGTATTAGAAATTCTACAATGGATTGGTGGCCATTCTTTTCAGCCCGATGAAGAGAAGTTTCTTGCAACGGTACATTTGAAGCATTGGCATGACCTTTCTGTTGTCCTAAGGACTGTGAAATTTGCTGATGGTGATTTCGTGTATCTTTGTGTAAAGGAGTTTCTTGCACTCGTATATTTCTACCGTTGACCTGAGCACCATGTTGCAGTAAGACTTCTGCAATTTGCTGATGTCCATTCTTCGCTGCCAAGTGAAGAGGCGTCTCTTGCCACGGTATATTCCTAGCATTGACTTGACCTCCATGCTGTATTAGGAATTCTGCAATTTGCTGGTGACCATTTCGTGAAGCAAGGTGGAGGGCTGTTTCTTGCCACGGGCGTTTCCGAGCGTTGACCAGTCCACCATGCTGTATTAGGAATTCTGCAATTTGGTGGTGGCCATTCTTCGAAGCCAAGTGAAGAGGAGTTTCTTGCAACGGTGCATTTCGCGCATTGACTTGACTTCCATGATGTATTAGAAATTCTGCAATTTGCTGATGGTTATTTCGCGAAGCAAGATGAAGAGGCGTTTCTCGGGAAGGAACATTTCGCGCGTTGACTTCACTTCCTTGTTGTATAAGGAATTGTGCAATGTGCTGATGGCCATTTCGTGTAGCCAAATGAAGAGGAGTTTCTTGCATTGGGAAGTTTCTAGCATTCACGTTACCTCCGCTTTGTACTAACACATCCACAAGATCCCTGAATCCGTTCTTTGCTGCGAGGTGTAGAGGAGTTTCTTTCAGGAGACCAGGAACATCGACGTACACGCCACATTGCAACAACATTTTAGAAAATTGAGTGTAACCGTTCCCGACTGCCCAATGAAGAATCTGGCCCTCTGTAAAGAAATAGAAAATCAAAAAACTCATTTAAAATATGTTATTGTAACAACACGTGTACGTCACATAACAAGTGGTTCATGAGTCACAAGTCATAACATTCCAAAAGGTTTTAGAACCCATAATGAGATAGAAATTCAAAACCATATTAATTCGCCGCAAAGTTGCTTTTGAACGTACGTAAAAACTTACAAAGAATGATTAGCACACACCATTGCATAGCTCCAGAAGCATATAACCCCGAAGCGTCTAACTTCCCCTTATGTGTTAAGAACCATGCTCGGGTTTTTTAGCTGGCGCAGCCGTCCAATCAGAAGCGCGGAAAATTATTTTGCCCAAATATGGAATAAGATAATTCAAGGCTAAAAACTTTAAGCTTGCAACGCTTATACATGTAATTTCTACGGCCGAAAGAAATCGTTTCGTGGTGTAAAAGATAAAGTAATTATGCTGCTATAAAATGCATCCCTGGCAAAACATAACGGAGCCACAAAGTTATAAGCGGTATGGCTTGAAAACATCGACCAGCGACAAAGTGGGACAAGGATGTTTACGTTTCTTCACGACATCGCAAAGCCTCTCGCCGAAAATAGCAAAATGCAACAGCAGCCTGCAGCTGCTTGACCGACAAAGATCATCCTGAGGCTACAAGCTGCAAACCTATCTACCACGTGCGGCAAACCAGTTATCTGCAACTTCTGTTCTCATTCAGCAAAACCAGCATGGCAAGCTTTGCAGAAACGTTGTTCAAGCAGTTCAAGGCGCCGACGAAGTCGGAACGGAATCTTTTGTGAGTGTACAGTTTTTAATTCACCCAGAACAGTACGCGAACACATGTATGGCAGTTTTAGACGTGCGACTTGTGAAAGTTTGTTTCCTATTTGAGGACAAAGAAAAGTTTTAAGCGGCAAAATTTACCTCCGAGGACTTCGACCTTGTTTCTTTCACGGATCAGGATCGGAGCGCTTGTCGTTTTTTGAACTGAGACCAAGTCAGCAACCTTTTTAAAGAATTTTCAGGTAACTTACATTTTACACATTATACTCAAGGAAAGTACGTTATTCAAAGGAAATTTATGTATTTATAAATGTTTCATAGACGTTTTATAAATTTTTGATAGCGTTTTCAAGATAAATTGGGAAATGCACCCGATCTGAGACAGATATTAAATTTAAGTGTTAAGTTTTGCCATGTGCTCAGCCGATTTTACTTGTGGGAACAGATCCATGATCCAGTCAGTGTTACGTGAATTGCTGTTAATGGTAAACGTATGGGTTTTGGAAAAAAAATTTTCAAGAAACAATTTGTCTGTTTATTGATTTCTGTTTGTTTATCCATAACATTACTTGGAAACATGATCGCCGGCATCTAAGTCTTATCACACGCATCACATCTCCGAAGATGTCAGCGAATTTTATGCAATTGTTACTTTCGAGTTCAGAAACTACTCAATTTTATTTGAAAATATGTGTTACTAGTTATTCTAGATAGATAGTAAGTGATTTTATAAAGGTTGTTTGCGCTAATGGTCACGCAAAAACCGTTTTTGAAGTAACAACTTTAAGAAATCGTTTCTCTTACGGTGCATGTCATTTGTAGTCGACTTTTTCTTGTTAGGAGGAACTAACTCAGTCCTGGTCATTTGATGTCATTTGGGGATTAATACTGTATTCCGTTTTTCGTACAATATTACCTCGTATTAAAACAGTAAATGCTTTTTGCACCGCATCATTTACATCGCGATACAAGTTTCGCGCGACAATCTCGCTTATCAGTAATTCCATGATTATTAGGAAGTAAAGTTTGATCGGTTCCCTAAAAGAACTGAGCTTTGCGACAAAGTTATAGATCGTTTTCACTGTCACGCAACAAAAATATAAATTGGAAACCGTCCAGTGGAAGAAACCAAGAAAATGAAATGTTATAAAAGACTAATATATAGACAATTTGTCCAAGTCTCAGGTCTTTGTGGCCCATAGTTTCTGAGTTATTTGGCGAAAGGTTTCACGCACCTTTGTAGAGCTTTGTATGGAGACGCCATATTGGTGCACCGTTTTGGTGCACCAATATGGCCGCCGGAAATCAACAAAAACATCTGGAGTTTACTTTTTCTATAAAACTCTTTCTTTTCACTCCAGAACTAGCCTACGTACGCATAAACATATCTTCCAATACCTGAAGTGGTTATATTGCTGAAAATCAAGAGGAGAGACTTTTTTCAACGAGACAGCATTCCTATTTTGGTGTCACGCACTGTGAAAACTCGGAAGTTCAAATTGCTGTATTTTCGAAATGAAACATGCTACGGAAATGGAAACTTGTACAAAGATTTACTTTTTGTTTATCTTCAACCTAGGGTAAATACGAATTCGTAAAACCTCACTATTTTGACTTTACAATTTGATGACGTTACAGTGAAAACCATCTATACGCTTCGGGGTTATATGCTTCTGATAGCTCGCGTATCTGACAATAACAACACTCACCTTATTCCCCCACTAACTGTTAACAAAGTCAAAAGTGTTTCTGTTTAGTTTACATTATAAAACACATGGCGAACGCTTCATCGTGTACTATCTAGTTATGGATGCACTTGGGAGGATTGCTTAGCTCACAGGACCTCGAGGTATTGTTTATTGACGACGTCATCGGCGTGCTTAGTGGTGATAAGTAGCACGCTCGTGCTCTTTAATTTGATTAGGCGAAAATTCTAGCTATGTTACAATTTCTGATTATCATCCAAGTATTAAAAAAACCAAACATCCACATTAACAACACAAACAGCCACAATTCTTAAGTCAGTCGAAGATCAGAGGCACGTTGTACTGAAAAAAGGGTCATGTTATATCAGGGAGTGAATTTTTTTTTTGGTGCCACATAGGTATCTGTGAGACACTGAAATAATCAATGGTGTAAGAAAGAAGTGTCCCAATCAACTAGGCTACGTCATAGACAGTCCAAATCCCCACATAGGAAGATAGACTATACCGAGTCCTCTCGCAAGCAACCTAGGCTACAGGCTACTATCACCCTGATTGTCTAAAAATGACAATTCGCCAGGTCTTGTTAACAAATACTGTGACTGCCTCGAATTCAGAGTGTCTTCGCATGCTGCGTAACCCTTAGTCACTCCCAAGTGATTTGGGGTGGATAAAAATCACAAACCATGCGGGCAGTGCTTCCACATGCTGGAGATGCCTGCTAAACCAAGTTATTGGCACTGGCCTTATTGATGTCGTCGTTTGATGATAAACTTATCCATGGGAGTTAGTCACTTTCTAAAATCTATTATGATCAAACTGAATTAAACGCACCTTTTAGCTTGAATCCTGCTAAGACAGTTAGTAAAGCGAAGGTTAACACAACGCCTTTATAATTAAGCCCTGCTTCCCTCCTTTTGGACGATCTAGCACGGTCGGGCCGTTTATGGCACCCTGTATAAAATAACAGTAGATAATACCTTTGTCAAGAAAAAAACCAAGCAAGGAGTTAGGTTGATGGTGAGACAAAAACCAGTGTTAAACTTTACATACATAAATTAAACTTTCAAAACTTCATTATAGTAACTAGAAGTAATCATTGACAGTCAGTTACGGAAACAAAATCGAGTCGAAAGGAGTCCAGTTTCCTGGCCGAGTTGCCCCCAATAAAATCAGTAGGGGCGGCCAATCGGCAGACACCTGCGACACCTTAAAAATTTGTGACTTTGTACCACAGGAAGACCAAGATTAGGATGCGTTCTGACGAATGTGATTAAAGAGAATTGAGGTCTAGATAGACAATGACAGAAGAACAAAATGGCACTTTGTACCTTCAGGCTTGGTCATATGTGGTCCACTTGCACCATGGACGTTTGCCTCACTAGTGTCACTGCCTCGCCAAAACAATCCTTGGAAGAGACGTCTGAATTTTGATGGCAACTCCTCTTCTTTCTCTTCCAAACAGTTATCCTGCGCCCTTGCTATTGGGCCACTGTCTTTTTTCTTCCACCATCTGCTTATGCAATCAAAGGCATGGGCAAAACTCCCACAAGACACACCTTCCTTGCCATTCTCATTGTCTAGCTGTGCCTCACGCTTTCTGGGTGTCCCTTTTTTATCCACTACTGGCCTCGTAGTCGGTCTTTGGGTGGACTCTTCAGCTTTCTTAAGTGTTACGTTACTGTTCGTTGCTTTCAAAGGGCACTTGTTTGATGGGCCATTTTCACTCATGGATGTCCCTACAGGGTGTACGTCATTAAAAATGTCCTCATCTGTGCAGGGCTCTATAAGTAAAAAAAAAGAAGAAAATTCCCAGCATGTCTGTCAAGTAAATACCAATGTTATAAAGCTGGATGTGATAATGGCAAAAGGGGGGGTAAAATAAAAGATATTTTGCTAGTGGGTGCTTAAAATGCATTGGAATTTTATTGCGAGAAACGAGACATTCAACTTAAAAGAAACACAAAGTGTCATTGCAAAAAATCGATGTTGCTAGACCATAATCCTTGTGGTCCAAACAACTTTTTCCATACAATTGGCTTTCTGAATATATTTTTTTCTCATTTCCTTATCATATTTGGTATTGTTTAAATTGTGTCCCACAATGTTGTTGTTATACCAAGGTCACTTTACTGATGGCTGTAAAGGCCAGGGCTGTCATTAAAATTTAAAGTTGCTGGGCTAACGGCAAGATTTTGTTTGGTTCTGCTTTTCTTCTATTTTCCTACAAAAGAGGGCAAGGGTCAGGTTCCTTATAGCCCTGGCTATTATGAAAATCGCTGGCCCCTGGCCCCAAATGACAGCCCTGAAAGGCAAACTATTTATCTAGTATACCTTGTAATATGGGAGATCCTCTGGGGCATTTCCATGCAGCCTTGTTTTCTGACATGTTTGTCCACACTATATCATGATCAGAGGATCCGCAAGAGGAAGTTTCAACATCAGCAAAGTAATCACTTGTGTCATCAATGTCACTGGGTTGCTGAAGTCCTTTGGTTGACTCATCTTGAGCTGCAGTTGTAGACGTTGTTAAATATCAAACATTGGATCAACCAAAGTTTAACATAATAGAAGGGAAAACTAAGGCTGCCTTTTTCCTGTTGAGCATATCAACTATACAGCTACAGTGTACACAGTGCATACATGTACCAACAGAATATACCAAAGGATTGATCATTAAAAGTATACATGTTGCAGGATAAGTCTGCTTGACCTCAGGTTAAACAAGCTTTCGACTGGCATTATGGTCATAACTTTTCCTCTTATCTTAATCCTAGTATTTAAATCTAGGATGAATACTGACGTGTAATCTGAACTATGCAAGGAGCTGCTGGAAATTTATGTACATTCAATCACAATTTCATCTTACGTATCATTTGAATGTAACAGTTATCGTAACATAAATTTATTGTTGGGAATCTCAATCAAAAGTTGTCATTTTCAGAACTGGCTCCCTGTCACAGTAGTTTTCAATTGAAGTTCTGACCTGAAGGAAAGATGTTAAAGGAATCAAAGGAAATTATGAAAAATTCAAGCACTCCAGCATAACAAAAAAGGTGCATGTTCACTTACAAGACTGTTTCTGGACTGCTTTCACCAGTTCTAACCAGTCAATTGCACAGGACTGAACATCTTCAAAAGTTTCTTTAGATAATCTGTAGGTATAGTAGAGGATAAAGTTGTTATAAATGTAGATCATAGACAATGGTCATTTCTAATTTATTACAAAAATATACCAGTTGTCATGACCAATGAACAAAAACATTTGGAAATTCACACTAACGTGTAATGTGTCCTCTTTTAATTACCAATTGGTTCATGTGTCAGTGGCATACATCAAGATATGTACAACGCAGAAGTTCGGAGAGTAAGCATGATAATATACTAATCCTGGACTACATAAGCTGAAAGCAATATTATTATTTTAAGATCATACCTTGTTACTAAAAGGTTTTTTGTCTGCCCGGGTGAGGACATTTCGTACACAAATTTCAAAACTTAGAGCAACAATTTAAAAACAAAATCGAATACGTCGTTTGAATCACTCAAGCTACATCAGTGATGTAAAAATGTCAGGTGATGTAACAGAAAGGTTGTTTTGTATTCCCAGGAGAGGATTGTAAATAATGGCCAAGAGGTCAGGTCCCTCTCTGGACTGAAATATCAAGTTCACATGGGAGGTTGTAAAGGGTGGTAAGATATCTTTCTTGGACACCTCTGTTTATCTAGAGGATGACTGCAAAACCAGTATCAAGACAGTTTACAGGAAACCGACCAACAGAGACCAATATTTACATTTTGCCTATGGAAACACCCCTTCAAACATAGACTACGAGTAGTCCCTATCTCGCTTACTCTACTATCCCTGAGGAAAAATGGGAACTATTAGTAGGCTACCTCGAACACAAACTTTCTGTGATTCGCACCTTGATGCACCAAGCAACAACTCTGGTAACAAATGATAAGGACGATATTAAAGGGGATGATCAACCACGTAAAATCTGCCCTTTGTACTAATGACTACACTGAGTTGTAGAAAAAAGAAAGCCAGCCACAGGTACGGTAGTTCCACTAAAACAAAGCATCAATTTGTGCATGCTTGCCATAAGTGAGAGGAGCATCGGGAACATTACAATGGATCTTTAAATCCCATGGGGTTCAAATCTTCCACAAGCATTTCGCTCTGAAAGCATGTGACATAGGTAAAAGATCGTTCAAAGAAATTCAAGATATGTGGTGTCATTTACCACACCCAATAAGAACAATGCCTGCAGGTCCCTTTGTACAATGTACGTGGATCAAAGAACAAGGATCCTGTAAACTTGTGCTGTTTTCAAGCACTGCCCAGCAACAGGTCACAACATCAACCCACACAATGTTAATGTTCTATGTATCTGCCGAAAATTACGCCATCAAGTGCCACGTCAAGGAGGCCATGTCATCACACAAAGAAAACCCTCTCTGAATAGGGACAAGGGACTGGACCTCCTAGCCATTTACAATCCTCTCCTGGGAATACACAAAAACCTTTCTGTTACGTAACCTGACATTTTACATCACTGATGAAGTTCAAGCAATTCAAACAAAATATTCCATTTTGTTTTTTTAATTGTTGCTCTGAGTTTTGAAATTTAAATACTAAATCCAACCTTGTGTGTATATCTGTTAAGTACTGAGCTAATTCTTCATGGCCATTAGCTAGAGCAACATCCTCAGGTAATGGTGTTCTGTCCTTGTAAGAATTAAAAACTATTTGTCCCGCAGAAGTACTGAAGACCATTTCAATGAATTCTCGAGCATCTGTTTGTGCCGCTGTGTAAACTAGTAGCTGCAGTACTTTTACTGATTGTTGTTGCTTTGTCTGAACTGAAGAATCTAGAAGAAGACAACAGAAATTACAGAATTAGCTTGAACTCCTAATGAAAACTTTATTTGTTTAAAAGAAAGATGCTGCCATTGCACTGGTCACTAAGTGGTGTAATGAAACTGACGGCATTAAACAATGAACACTGCAAACATGTTGGAGTAATATTGATTGATTAAATGAATATTATGAATTGGTACCATTCCTTTATAGTTAAAGCATATGACAGCAAGGTAAAAGGTCAATTTGAGCCAATAACTGGGGTGACTAGGGACTGGACTTTTTTTTAAGCCCTCTCTTAGTAGTGTGCCCTCCCCCCACCCCCTTTAAGAGGATAATTATTAGTTCTCCTAACAGAGTGGGTGAAAAGAGACAACGTGGAGCAATGTTTCTTTCCAAGAAAGCAACCAAGGGTAAAGGCTTGAACCTAGACTCCCAAATCTGAAGTTTGAAGTATAATCACTTGGCCAGTCCACTGCCTCCACATGAGAACAGATAACACGGAATAGAAAACTATTTAACCTCACCTTGGCCTTGTAGATCAATTGGTCCGAGGACCTGTGCAATGTTGCTATCATTTCCAAAGAATCCATGCTCTTGCGACCACATGGCAAACCAGAGTGACTGAAGAGTTGGATCCTTTACTATCTGTCGGACCATCTCTCTCATCTCATCAATGTACCTGAAACAGGTCATTCCCAGTTTCTTCCCAGCATCTGTTACAACCGTCACAGCTACTTCACCAGGCACTTGAGAGGCTGAAATGATAATTAAAAGAAAAAATACAGTCTGATCAACAATGTAAAAAGACACAGCCAAGCAACAGGAGCTACAATGTACTTTTATAATAGTATGATTTCTAATGTAAATAATAACTATTTCGCAAAGAAGTACAAACGTTGTATTTTCTCATTGACAAATGAAATAATGATGAATCACAAGTGTAAAAAAAGTCTAAAAAAGTGCTACCTGTATGATAATAGTAATCTGATAATCAAACTTTATGTAATCTCCTGACCAAAGTTGTTATTTAAACATCAATTACATAATGCATTATTATCATTATTACTTATTTATTTATGAAGTTCACTGACTTATCTCCCCTAAGTATCTCTTTTTATAGTAAACATTAATTATATGAATTATTCACAACAGTGGTCAATAGCACTGTGTGCAGTTACTATTTATAGACCCAAAACTCAGTCAAACAAACTAAAACTAACATTATCGAATTCCTCACTTTTGTCTACCAAAGTTTTCTCATTAATTAAAAATGTCATGTTTGTCTGTCATTTGTCATTAAAATGAGAAAAATGACAAAACTCAGACAAAAATTGCAAATTAGTCACTCTGACATCATCCGCACACTACGCATTTTGTACACATGTACTTACAGGGGACAGTTCCAGTCAGGGTGAATGGGTTTAACTTGTACACCATGACGTTGGCAACCCGTTCAAACTGTGCCACTCCCGTCTTAACTTCATCTGGCAGTTCTTCAGTCAGTGAGATGTAGAACTGAAATCCACCCTGTTCCATATAAAAACACCTGCCATCAGTGAAGGAGCATGCCTAATACAGGGAGTATTAATAAGGATGTAATAAAAAGATGTGAGTTAAAAAATGTTTGTGGCAACAGCCACATTCTCAGGATGAGAGAATCACCTTTACAGATCCAGACGTCGGGCAGATATCTTGTACCACTGATTATAAAGAAAAAGGAATGAAATTATTATTATATGCAAAGAATGTACAGCTGTAATTACTAAACAAAACAAACAATATAATATTTTAACAGGGTTCACTAAACTCAGCAAACACAAATAATGAATTAAGTAAAAATTTTCTCGCCTTCCCTGCCTGCTGCAGAGTTTAAAGTTACAATGGTTAGACTGGCAACTTAAGGAAGACTATGAGTAGTCCCTCAATTTCCCTCAGGGATAGTAGAGCGAGCAAAATGCAAATGCATGTGAAAATACATTGTATCACCCCACATGAGAAAGGCAAGATGCGGACGGGAAAGAGAAAAATAATTAGGGACTAAAGACAAAGCCCACACTTTTGACTCTTCACGGGCGATTCATCGATTTTGGAGTGTGAAGTTCTTATCATCTTTCAAATCAATTAAGCGCATCCAATGGGATTCCTTCTCTCATTGAGCTGCCATAAGCAGCTGGTGCATTTTGACAGTTTTTGACAGATTGCCATGGAAGAGCCAATCAGAGTCATGCGTTGTGAGAGCAATGCAAAGTCAAAAGCAAAGGCTTTGTCTCTAGTCCCTTCATTTTTCTCTCTCCCCGCCATGTCCCGCCTTGCTCAAGTGGGGTGACACAATGTAATTTTGTGCGCATTTGCATTTGACTCACACTGTACTATCCCTGAGGGAAAATGAGGGACTACTCATAGTCTAAACTTAAGCCAATCTTTTGTGTTGCCCATGTAATGGTGAGAGCTGAATAAATAAAATTTACTCAAAAAAGTCAGCGATCAACTATAAATCCTACATGTATTTCATTTATAAAAAAGGTAGCATATTTTTGTTCCATTTATTTAAAACGTTCAAGGGTAAAGTAAAAAATAAAAACGGACTTTAGCTTGTTTTCCTTTTAACCCTTTAAGTCCCAATAGTGACCAACATCAATTTTCTCCTAACGATATCCATACAATTTCAAGAGATTAGGTTATGAGAATTAATTAATTGATCACCAAAGAGAAAATGCTTTGATCTTTTGTCAAATTCTCTCAACTTATTCTTTAAAGAAGTGTGTAGAGATCAGTTTGGAGAATTTGCTTGTGGATATTGGGGCTTAAAGGGTTAATCCATACCTCCAAACAAGTCTATTCCTTCATCAGAAATGTCATCTGATATTCCGTCAGAACAAATTTCTTCAATGGCAGAGTCAAGCATGGATGGGTCAAAGATCTGGAAGGAAAAAACAAATCAGATTTATATAGGAACAAAACATAATACTTTGTACATAAATAAATAAAAGTGATGTACATCATTGTCTGTTCTTTTGGTAGCTATTATCTTAATGCAAGGTATGTACAGTTAATAACGTGACATTATAATAAAATATTGACTTAAATATAGCTAAAAACAACACCCACAAATATCCCAGAACCAATAAGATTTACATCATGACTTTTGCTTCTGTTTGTTTTTTGTTGTTGTTGTAGTCATATTTTTTTGTTTAAAAGTATTGTTATCAGATAAAGACCCTGATTTGTTAATTAAAGCTTAGTAATATTTTTCTTAAATGCAATTGTGCTGATTATACTAAAATTAATGTATCTTCATTCACCACAGGTTTATTTTGTATTATTATATATTCTAATTACCTCAGAAGCTGGGGGAAGCTGAACATCTGAGAGACCTACGCTGGTTTCTTCACCTTCTGTTTTTATGACATCTAAACCCAGATCAGTCAAAAAGTTACCAGCAACAGCCAATGAACTTTCAAGTGGTTCAACAATTTCTGAAAAAAGAGAAAAGATACATCTAACGTAAATCCACTATTAAGCCCCGGGGGGGGGTTATTTATTTCAAGCCCATTTGAGGAGGGAGGGGAGGAGGGGTTAATAGAGACAGGAGGCTTATTTGAGAAGGAGGGGCTTATTTCATTCAGAAGAGACGATGGTATAGGGTATCAGTTCTCCATAAAGAACTAGAATAAAAAGTGGAAAAGCTCAAGTGCAAGAAGGTTGGAGGTCATGCAGTCAGGGATCAGAATCAAATCTGAACTCCCGCTTGGTAAATAAACCATCCCGGATCAGTCCACACAAAGTTTTACAGTTGTGATTGATTAATACAGACTCATTATTTTATTAGTTAAGAATAATTAATGGTGGGGGGATTATTAACTTTCTTCCCCTGAAAAGGGGGAGGGGGCTTATTTGGAAGAGGCGGGGGGGGGGGGGGGGACTTAATAGAGAATTTATTGTGTTATTCATGAGGGTATGCCTATTAATGGGCTAGTTTATTGTTTGTCTCATGATATTGACAATCACTTTTATCTTCGTTGCTCACAATGTTTCAACCACATACTGCTGGTCTTCATCTAGTGATCGTGTTGATTACAACCTGTATAGTCCAGACTATAGTATAGTCTTGCTACATGTACCACTCTTGGTTGGTGGGTTTTAATCTTTAAGCAGTACACGTGTGTTGGCAATCATAGCACAAAAATTGTTATTTCAATTAATTAAATATGTAACCAGTTAAGTAATCAGTATGTTACAGACCATAAAATTAATATTATTTTGATTTACGGCTAAAATTTTTCAACCTACAGTATGCAGGTTCATTCTCAATTTCCTTTGTCTCCTGGGGCAAGTAGACAAAGGAAATAATGAGAATCAACCTAGATTAAATCAAAATTAACCTGAAATCAAATTTGAGCTGTACATATACAATAATTGAACATGCATGTGCAGAAATTGTATATTGTATTCTTACCATGAGAAGACATATCCATAAATTCATCAAACCCTGTATCACTTGTGCTTGTGCTACGGCTCACTTCAGGTTTGTCGTCACCCTGCAAAGTAATATATGAAATGTTCACCTACTCTACCTAAACAATTTACATGTGCAATGTACACTTTATGTTAATCACATCTTCAATCTTGTGACAATGATTTGACATCCAAGTGAAAGACAAAGAGAAAGAGAAAATAATTAAGAACTACCAAGACCTGAAGGAAGAGCTGAAACACATCTGGAAATAATTACACATATCAACTGCTGATCGGAGGAACTCATTATTGGTGCATTGGGAACTGTCTCAAATGATATAGAAAAGTGTTTTGCAGAGATTGGTGTCAGATGTCATTTGGAACCATCGCAGAGAACGTGCTTACTGGATACAGCCAGAATCCTTCGCAAAGTCTCGGACACCTAAGGTCATGGGCGGTGGCTTGATGGTTAAGGAAGACTCCAGCGAGCCATATAAAAGCTGTGTTTAATGATAATAATAATAATGATAATGATAATGATAATAATAATAATAATAATAATAATAACAATAATAATAATGATAATAATAATACTCCACCTTGAACAGGTCAGGTCATCTTACCTCACTAGAGACTAAGCTGCTGGTGTCTTCTTGATCATCTTCTTCACTGTCTTCTGTGACTGTGGGTCCAACATCTCTGAACATTGACTTGAACAGCCTAGGAGGCATCTGAAACTGTCTCTCAACAACTTCATCATTTTCATTTACTTTCTTTGCATCCTTGTACTCTTTGGCACCTTCCTTCTTGTAGTAGTTCAGAAGGGCTGACCTGAAACCGTTGCTGATTTTTCTCCTAGACACTGCCTTGCTTTTGAACTGCGGGTTCTTTTTCGCCTTGTAGTCAGTGAAGCAGTCAAGGGCTCTGGACCAGTTTACAACGAAGCGACCCTTCTTGTTCACAAATCTGGCATCCTTTCCTTCCACAATCAGATCCCGTATGATGCCATACACACCATTCCCATCTTCATGTCCTTTAGAAAATAAAACGAATCATTTATTCTGTGAAGTATGATTTATTTTCGCCCAATTTGCCCCCACGTTGTTCTATGCTCTTAAAATATATTTTAATCAAGACAATGACTTGAAGTTGTAGACGGGTGTTAATGAAAGAACAAGCCATTTTCACACAAAAGTATTCTTCATCATAACTCCAACATTTTCTAAACACAAGCTTGAGGAAAGAAAAGTAAAATGACAAATTAGTTTCTTAGAAACGAGCAGTCTGAGCTACACGTAGATCGCTTAATTGAGACAAAACAGTCGGTCTCTCCCTCTGAATATAAACTGCTATTATAAAAAAAAAAGGAATTGGGAACACTTGACTCACTCCAAAATGCAATGGCCCCCAGACGAAAAATTCTTGGAAAAAAATGAAAGTCTTGGGATGTTAAAGCCCATCGAATTGCACCACTAAATATTGTTTTCAAGCAATCTAGCAAGGTTAAATTTTGCTGAGTTCAGCCACATGGAAAGATCTCTGATCGAGGAACACTTATTTAAAGTTACCTACCTTCTCCGACCTCTGCCAAACGTCTCGGCATGGCAGATAAGGAAAATTTACGTATAAGTTAGATAATTTCATCAACAGAACAACAAACGCAACACCTAAAATCGACCACACTTTTCGACAGCCTTCCAAAAATGCTAGAAGTAAGTTGCAAGGGAGAAACTATAAGTACTTCACTTAAACGGTATTTTTATGTCCCCATTATTTTCTGGATTCTGATTGGCTGACATCTTGAATTCTCCCGTGTGATTGGCTAACCGATGATCGAGTCCGAGTTGTACCTATCCAAAGCGGAAGTTCGATTATAAAAAAACACATTACATCATCGACTACATAAAACAGCTTTTACCAAAATGCTCACGTTAGCGAACGTTAGTTGCTCTTCATATTAAAAACAAATACATGTGTACTTCGCACGCGCATAGAAAAAAGGTAATAGTTGGTAAGCGATAGAATTGAACCTCGACTGAACAAACGAATTTTGATTTGCAGGTAGCTTGTACCGATCCAACCGGAAGTAACCTTAGGAGAAACAATGGATTTTTAAATAGAGCCCTTTTTCGGGGATAGGCTCAGTGACTGAGCCTAAAAAAACGATAACCAGTGAATTATTACTTTCCTAAGACATAAAAATCAATTGATAATTAAAGCCTATAAGCAGCTTTTCTACTACATTCAAAGAATTCTTTTGTAGGACTGGGGATTCAATATTTGTACCTAGACGTTTAATAAGCAAGCGGAAAAACTAATGTAATTTAACCCTTCACAGCCTTCAAGAGAGAATAGAGACCTTTCTTAGAATTGAATCGAATCTAGTGAGCTAGACAAAATTCTCACAGGAGTTTGTTTTGACTTTTGACTGCTATCTCTGCGGTCGAGCGAAAGCGAGAGGATTTTGTACCAGTGCAAACAGGAAGTTTGGTATTAATGTAAAAGGAGACAAAATCTGTTATTCGGAGAGGTGAATTATGTAATTTCTAAAAAGTGTTTGAATTCATAACGTACAAGTACTATAGAGAAAACTATAAAAAAGACGAAACTATATTTTTTGATTCAAACTAAATTCTCTCTATAGAAACTCAATATGGATTTAGACCACTCAAGTGTCCATACTTTGTAGACTTTGTACCCGTACAAACTATAAAGAAAGTGTGAGCCAGGGTGGGGTACTCAGCAAAGGTTTATACGGGTAGGAGGGGGACATGGGGGTTTACGGTATTGCGGTATTGGGCTTTTTTTCATGCGGTATTTCGGTAATTTTAATTTTAACGTGCGGTATTGCGGTATCATCTAGCTCTGCGGTATGCGGTTTTTCATCATTTTGGCTGACGGTATTCGGTGAAATAAGATTGTTCACGGTATTACGGTACCGTTTATTTGCGCTTTCTTTTCGATACAATACGCAAAACAAAACACAGTAGGACATAAAGGTCAATAAAAGTTAATATTTAGAAGTCTTGAGACATAACGGTAAATGATTACACCATTCAGGGTCATTTTGTGACAGTTAATGGTCGATAATACACAATGTGATTGTTGTTGCACCCAATGACAATGAGTCACCTCAAGTTACCTTACCAGGCTTTTCGATCTGTGTACGTGTGCCAGTCTGCTACTCAGCCGTTTTTAGTGTCGTCACGCAACGCTCCTCCCCACTGGGGAGACAGTCGAGATAGTTGACCCCTGAGATACTGACATACTAGACTATAGACTCATCCAGACTCGCACTAGACGTGCGTGGAAAGGGTTTTGGTTGGTTTGTTTTTTGTTTTGTTTTTTTTTTCGCGCTTTCAAGAGTTATTTTTATTGGAGTTAGTTAGCTGTTGGGTCGACCTACCAAAAGGTTCTTTTCAGCGAAAATTTGCCAAAAATTTGCCAACTACCAAAATATTAAAAAAACATGGACATCTGGTGCATAAATACCTGAGATAATTAAACGCGCTAGATGGAAGCACCCATAAGTATGCGGAACCGATTATGGATGTGATTAAAATATGCGGTATCGGTATTTAGACGATTTTCGAGGCGGTATTTCGGTATTTGCCATTTTTTCTTACGGTATTGCGGTATTGGGTACCCCCCAATGTCCCCCTCGGGTAGGCTCAGCCCCGATCGAGGTCCAACTATAAATACCCCGTTTTTACGGTATATACCATACCTTTCTTTGAAAAATGGTATCCCCTTTCATATACGTAATAACTTAACTTTTCACTTTCTTATAAATATAAATAAATCCGTCGCTCCAGGTAAGGGAATCCGGGGCATCCAACCACGCTTTCCTCCCAAATTCATTGAAAACACGTTTTAGGCTATCCAGAGTATTTTTTTAGACCTCTAGAAATGCATTCTAAGCGGCGCAATAAAATTTGTATCTGTTCGGTCATCCTAGGGGAACTTGAGTCTTTTCGAAATTCAAGGGCTTCAGGATTTTCTTTTACCGGAAATTTTAGATGCAATTTAGTGCATTATGAAAAAAAAAAAAAAAAAAAAAAATTGTTGATTCCTCTCTCCATCACATTTTTGAATACGAAAATTTTAGGTTTCGTTTTCCTTACGATAAATGGCCTAACCTGGGTTGTGACATGTGAAAAATCAACTTCAGAAAATCGCAGGGAATTTATTAGATAAGCTTCGAAATCAATAGAAAGGTCACCTAGAAATCTTCAGGCTTCCTCAAGTAATAGAAAATTCTCTGCAGTATCGGCTTCTCCGAACAGATAATTTACAGAAAACAGTCGTCTGGTGCCCCTGAGGGAATCCAGGACAGTCAGTTGGATTCTGGATTCCCAGGATTCCACGCTGTGGATTCTGGATTCCAGTATTTGTCAGTAGATTCCAATCGTTAGTGGGATTCCTGATTAAATTGAGCTGTATTCCGGATTCCAAAACCTAGGATTCCGGATTCCATGAGCAAAATTTTCCCGTTTTTCGGATTCCCAGGCAAAAATTTCTCCGATTCCGGAATCCGGACTCCCTTACTTGGGAACAAATCCATAATTATTGTTAGCCTTTACCGGAGATTTTTCTACCCATGATCTCCAACTACCGCTACTTGAAACGAATTTTCTTAAGCGTTCATTTTCTTATCGGGGTGCAATGGCTTGAAATCAACTGTCAAATTAAACAAGTGAGATAAAAGATTTTACAAGCTTTAACCTCGCGATATCCTAAGATATAGCTCTTTATTATGTTTTTATCTTATTTCTTTAATTAATCATTTCTTGTTATTACATTGTATTTCAAACTGTTACTTTTTTTATTAGTGTTATTTCTCTTACTTAACATAAAACTAGATAGTCATGTTTATAAGAGTCGATAGGAATAGATAAAATTGTAAATTCTTGTGCTCGATTATTGTTAGTTAATCACTAGTTTTAATATTTATAACTTGTAATTGCTACACCGCATGTCCGAAAACCAGCTTGCTGAGCCATTTACCGTGGTTAAATAAAGTTGATTGAATTGAATTGATGGTTAGTAATGGCGGACGCAACAAAAGCAACTGTTCGCGATTGAGTCACATGACCTATACTTAGGCCCCTAGTGGTGTGTGAGAAAAATATTTTCCACTTATTTCAGACAGTACACTCATGCACAGCCAACCCTTCTTTTCCATGGAAAGGTGGAATTTTCTTCTATTTGAGCTTCTCGACAATCATGAGTACAGTTTTACATGACTTATAAACTGAGATTCCGCCAAAAACAAACAAACAAAAACAAATTCTATTTTGTGACATAATAAGGCTGTTTAATAAAGTGCTGCGAAACTTAACAAACGCAAGAGCGACTATCAAAGAACTATTTTGACAATCTCCTTCTCTGTAATATACTTTTTTTTATCAATATAAATAAATATTAATATTATCACTCTTTTGTTCACAACATATTGGTACATAGTGGCTATATTCTTATAAAGATGATGGACAACATTCTCTCTTCAATCGGGCATAGCCTATAAGCAATCTTTCGACAAAAGGGTGTGTGCGTGTCGGGTAGGATCCGAAGATATGGGTTTTACTGACATTTTCCCATAAAACAACCTACTATTTCGCATAGAAAAGAAAAAACCCTCCTTTGCTTTCATTTTTACATAAATATAAACATTGAGTTGATACGCCTAGCAAATCAACCTCCTCCACAAGGCTTTTCCCGCCTTAAGAGAAAAAAAAGCCCTGAGACAAAGTTACTAGCAATGATATGTGGTTGTTAAGCGTTTCTCTTGTGGGATAATGATCGCACTTTCGACAAACAAATATAAAGAAAAAAATATACAGCTATGCGATGACAACAAATAGCTTATGTCCTTATCCAACAGACTTCATCTATTTTTGATTTTGCTCATTGTTTGAGGAAGCACTGCCGACTTTTTAAGCGTTGATTACCGTCGATAGCCTCCTCATCTAAAGAAGTTCTTTGGGTCAGTTCGTCACGCGTTCCGGGTTGACGGAATGCGTGACCAAGCCCTAAGAAAAGAGTCTGAATGGGCGTACCATGATAACACAAAAAACTGACTTTTTTGGCTCCGTAACACTGCAACAGATTTTGCATTTTAACACTAACAGTAATTTATTTTCTAGAAACAGTAAATTTTTCACACAGTTTTTTTTTTTTTCTAGAAAGAAACCAAAACGGCTCTAAAAAGGCCAATACTATTACAATTCCCGATTAGTTCAGAAGATTCGCGCAGGCTAACAATGATTCCCGGCGACAGATGTCCGAAGACTACCTTGCGAGCGGAGGTTTCTCTCTTGCATGGCTTTTAACGTTTACGAAGTCGTTCGCGTGGCTTGTCAGTGAGGTAGTTGGTTTGTTTTGTACGCCTCAGGAACGTAAACAAACCAAATAAACCAACTAAGGGACAGACAAGCCACGCAAAAAATTTCGTACACACTAAAAGCCAGGCAAGAGAGAAACCTCCGCTCGAACAAAATTATGGGCAAATAAATGAATGGGGTTTCAAACCCCATTCAGACACTCTAAGAACGTCTGCGTGGGAGGCTGTGCCGTTCGGAATTTTGTTTTCCCGAGCTTCCTGCTCTGCTTACTCATAATAAGGAGTTTCCAATGGCCTCACATATGAAATGACGTATTTTGAAGACATCTGGTGTGAATTCTTAACAGTTGGTCCGTATAAACAGACACCATTCACTTGAAAACATCCCTGAGGTCGTGGTAGTCAGCTTTCCGTAAGGTTTCTGCATGTTTTCTGTAAGAAACAAACAGAGACGTGACAGCAGATGAAACTGGATCAATCATCAATTTCTAATCAGGTTCAATACAATTTCGAACGTACTTGCCTCGCGAATTAAGGCCATTCGAAGGCCCCTCACTGAGAAAAAGGTCTTCAACTTCGCGAAATATCTCAATGCAACTCATTAGCCATTCTTAAACTAAACAAAAAGTAAAAGGTTTGGAACCGCTTCCTCATCACTGTAACTTTGTGCTTGCTTAGACAAAGAATTTCTTCAAGACAAGAACTTACCGTATCCAACATATCCTCTCTCTATGGGTGGTTTATGAAACACGGATTTAATAATAATAATAATAATAATAATAATAATAATAATAAACTGAAACTGAAACTGAAAAAAAAACCAAGTACAAAGACCTAGAACTAGAAATACATAGAATGTGGCATATGAAAACCGTAGTGATCCCTGTGGTTGTTGGTGCGCTTGGTACAGTGAAGATGGGTATGGTAGAAAACATCAAGAAAGTACCAGAGAGAGCTACTATGACAGAGATTCAAAAGATCTGCATGCTGGGATCTGCGCGAATCCTCAGAAAGGTGCTCAGTGTATGAACAGAATGATTGACTTGAGTGACTGACGCTCTAGGTGCATGGTTTGCGCCCGGCTGATGCACAAAAAGAACACCAGCAAAGACTGTGATAAAAGAGACAATAATAATAATAATAATAATGATAATGATAATGATAATACTACTGCTGCTGCTGCTGCTGCTGCTGCTGCTGCTGCTGCTGCTACTACTACTAATAATAATAATTCCATTATTTACCCTCGCCAGTATTAAAAACACTACTGGAAGCATGGCCTTGCTCTACCTGCTCAACCACGCTGCCTCCTGTAAAATAACCGTATATCAAACAATCGAAAAAAGCGTTTCTTGACATATAGACAAACAATTCTTAGCCCACTTCCATGAATTGGTGTCTTGAAATTAAAAGCTGCTTCTCGCGTTTGATACTGATATCTACTCAAACTAAGTTTTATTGAAGCATTATTAAGTACCAAAATCAGTAAATTTTGTTCAGTGCCGTTCTTTCCTGACGTACCTTTCAGCAGGGATGTATTGCTAACCAATTTTTTTTTACAAAAAGTTTATAATATCCTTTATAAATCTTCCGCTGGATTATTATTCATTTGATTTCTCTCCTTTAGGCAATTCGCCCGCCGGCTTTTATCAGAAAGTGAATTTTCATTTGTATCTAAGCAGTTTAACTCTTCGTGAGCAACTTCTGGATCCTGTGAATTCTTTATCCTTTTCTCGTCTTGGCGACCTTGAGACACAAACTCTGGCGTTTCTGTGTGGTCTCTGACTCGTAAAACTGAAAGGCCAACAAAAAGCAAACAGGTTAAGACTGGGTTTGATGCGATCCCTATACGATTGGTGAAAATGTTCGGCGAACGTATTGTCATATCGTAGCCCTGGTGGAGGCAGTCAAGGGAAGTTTGGGCAGGGGGATGCCGCCGAGCCCTTTAAACCCTGACCCTGCTCAAGATAAAAATTGTTCAACAGAAGTGACCTGCTTTCACGACGCTGGTTCATTTCGTTTCGCACAAGAATTAACCATACCCTGTTCCGCGGCACATACCCGCCTTGGCCAAACAAGGGAGTGCCCCATAAAACATGGGTTTCTTTAAAAATTTTGACCAACATCTCATCCTTTTACATGACAATTCCACCCAAAAAGTCTTCATATTACCTGACGAATTCAGAGGGCTTATGGCTGTTCGGGTTTCCTGTAAGTTAGACGATATCTCATCAACACTGTCTTTTACGGCTACATCTTCAGTTTTCAATAAACTTATAAAATGCATCATTTCTATCAACTGTTCTCCACCGTTGTTATCTTGTTTGTGACAATATTCCTTAGATTTATCTGTCGATAAAGAAGATTCTTTGTTTCTGTTTTGATACCTTGGTGCTTCCATTAATTGGCTCGCGCATAGTTTTCTTGTACCATCAAGCTCCTCATAGAAATCACGATGATCAGTGTGATTTGTTTTCCATAAAGCAGGTTCTATGTTTCTGTTTTGATGTCTCGGTGCTTCCATTAATTGGCTCGCACATAGTTTTCTTGTACTACCAAGTTCCTCACGCAAATCATAATTGCCCGTCTGATATGTTTTCCATAAAGAAGGGTCTTTGTTTCCGTTTTGATGTCTCGGTGCTCCCATTAATTGGCTCGCAAATAGTTTACTTATACTATCACGCTCCCCGCATAAATCAAAATTATCAGTCTGAATTGTTTTTTGGGTCTCGATCTCATAGTGATTGTAATCAAGGGTACCTGAAAAGGATTAAACAAAAAGCAAATATTTAAGAAAGTGAATTAAAAATGTAAATCATATAGTCTCAGTGCAGTGCTCTGGTCTTGTTTTGTTTTGTCTGTCTGTCTGTTTGTTTGTTTTTGTTTACGAAGAGTAAGCTGCAGCTGCACATACAGCAATTTGAATCCAACTTGAACCCTAAATGAACTAAATACAAGACCTTTTCAAATATTCGATTTTTCTTGATTTAAGACTTTATGGTTTGAAATCTATACATTTTTACTAACATTCTGACAAGGAAATCTTCCAATAAATAAACTTATAAGCTTTTAATATCTAACTTTTGCTGACTTAAAAACTTTAAACTAAGATAAATTAAATTTGTTCGTGTTTTTTTACCCACCAGGATTAAAAATCCGTTCGTCATCTGAAGATGAAGAAGCCTCATCATCTGCTTCATAATCACTTTCCTTAACAGTACGTCCTGAAAATAAATTTATTAAACAGCATTTTTTAGTAATATCGGATAGTTTCTTTTCTCTAAGAGTGAACCGCAGTTAGATTCAAAGGTTCGAACTAAACCTTGAGTGGACTTCAATTACTTCCTTTCAGTTTGGACATGCTAGATAATCGGAAGCTTATTCATGAGCCTATGTAACTGTATTTTCCACGGTAAACCGGTCTGCGAAAAAATGTATTCACCCGATAATAAATAAGGTAATCAATGTGAACAACCTCTCTTGTTTTGAAATACCAGTTGACAGCAAACTACCTGACAGCTCGCTCACTGAGCAGCAGTTCAAATACAACAATCTAACTCAACTCTCCCACCCCTAGCCCCGCTGAAATTGCCTTCTTTTGAATCCAAATTCGTAATCTCGCCTATAACTAGGCTATAGTCGACTGGGACGGAACAATAGAGGCTTTTAGATTCAAAGACGAGGACGACTAAGAGAATTCGTGATTTTCGCAATAGGCTGATTTAGCAACAGGACGGGAACGTCATTTGACGACGGGAAAGCGCGCGGAAAGGACTAAACTCGACTTCCGGTGCTCAATTTGCCGCTCTGCCATTGGTCAAGACAGTTGTTTGATTTGCGCGCGCCGTCGTCAACTGACGTTCCCGTTCTGTTGCTAAATCAGCCTAATACTGAGAAGTGCACGCGCGTGAACCAGCGCCTTCATTTTACTACGGATTTTGGAGAAAATGTAGTAGTGGGGGACTGCTATTTCGGGAAGGGTTGTCGGTAAAAATGTGCAAGCGACAATCCGGAAAGCTATTAGAGACCTTAAGATACCCCGAAATCGGTGTACGGGTAACGGGTAGCGCCATGTTTTTTCCATTTTGTGGTGACGTCATCGACCTTACCCGGTAGAACCAGCCGTTTTTCCGGGGTAGACACCAGTTTACCCGTAGAAGATTTACGAGTAGCTGCAAGTCCTACATGATGGAGAAGCGAGTAAGTTTTAAAGACTTTTTAAGTACAAATGTAAATTGTATGACTCCTTGGCAATGTTATTGCAAGTCTGTTCAAATATTTTTGCCAAATTTGAATTTTAACTGTAAAGAAAGCGCTTCAAAATGTATAGTGATTTTGGACCTCAAATGCGCAGGTTGAACTCTGAAACGATGTCAATTTGTGGCGGTATTTGGGGGGCATTTCTGAGAATTGCTCGAAGGTCTGAGTTTCGCAAAAGAAATAGCATTGAAATATTTAGCATGGGAGCCACTGTTGAAGTTGACAATCAAAGGAATTGTTTGGTGATGTGCCTCGATCAAAATGGCGGGGTTTGCGATAACAAGCTTTCGGTCGAGGGAATTCCCGCCAAGTTTCTTAAAATCTTTCTATGATATTTCAATAAGCTTATGTATGAATCAATTATTTGTTGCAGCTTGTTGTTAAGATATGAAGTGTAGAATTTGAGGGAGATTTTGTATGCATTAAGCGACATGCATGTACGAAGTTAATTTTGCGTGCTTGTTCTTCGGGTATCTTAATCGAAATAGTCACGCACATGAACATTTTACGTGTACGGGTACACTACCCTTACCCGTACACCGATATCGGGGTATCTTAAGGTCTCTAATATGGGATATGATCAATACGCTGTTCCTGACAATGCAGCTGTCGAACATACGTTTGTTGCTTTCCTTTACATAAGTCCGTGGCCTCGCGTGCCATTCTTTCTAATTTCTTTGAAGAACAGTGAATTCAAAACCACCTAAGATACCTTACGGGGTTGTCGTGTGGACGTTTTCCGACAACCTTTCTCGGAATAACTGTATTAGAACCAGCGCCTTCATTTTACTACGAGTTTTAGGGAAGATGCAGTAGTGGCGGAAACACATACTTAAATACATGTATTAGAAGTACTAACCTTTCTGGTGAATAGGCATTTCGGGGTGTCTATTTTTTGAGAATGCACTAAAACATTTAAAGTTAAATCGCGTCCTCGAATCTAAAGATATCTAATATCATCTTTTGCAAACATTTGCCGGCATAAGCCTCGTTTCTGTGATATTTCCAGTTCACTACCGTGAATGGACGAGTCGTCTGCAAAGCATCGCTTAAGCTAGAGCTTTACCTGTCACTTGGGAATTGGGAGGTTCGTGTGTATTGTCATCCGTTTCACTCGGCCTGCTTGTAAGTTTCTCAGCCAAAAGATAAAAATACCTCGCCTGTAGTTTTCTGTCATGAAGGAGTATCTGCAGTACATGTTCGACCTCATCTACATATTCAAATGTAGTCTCACCAAGTAAACGCCCGCTCATGGTTTGTACTTTGACGGCTACGTGGCCTGGCGCCTGTCCAGCTAAAATGCATAACAAAAAACAGCAGTATATAAAAACTCGTGATTGTTCCACGGAATAAAACAGTTAAATTAAGAAATTGTTCCTCATGTTAAGAAACTGGGGATAAATTGGATTCATGGTTCTGTGTATGAACCACGAGATAGATGTGAAGCATTAAGCCCACAAAGCGGAACGGCGAAGGAGTCAGTTGGGCGGGTGCTTCAAAATTACTTTGGTTACTAACAACCGCTCCTATCAAGGATCCACTGTCTAACGTTAGTTCTCTGCGAAAACAAGCTTCGAACCAATAGGCCCTTTGCAGCTAGCCATTCACGTGGTACAAAATCGCCATGCTGGAGAGCAAAAGTCGCACTGGAACACGACAATTGCGACTTTCGACTTTTTCTCTCCAGCATGGCGATTTTGTACCACGTGAATGGCTAGCTGCAAACTGCCTGTTAAAGGTTTCAAGTCCAACAATATAGGACTTTTTGCATTTTAAGTTGCGAAAACAAAAATTTGTGAACGTTCAACGCTTTTTTGTCACATTTGAGCGCTTAATCAACTTCATTGAAATATCTTGGCAAGTTTGTTTTGTATTCAGTAAAATGCGTGTCACCATATGACCTTAAAGGCAATCATTTTGACATACAACAAGTGTCATCAATTGACAATACAATCGTAGTTTGCTGCTGGTCCTATATTTTATTTTAATCTTTTCTTTTTCATCTTGTGGCCGCCTCGATAGTGCATGCGCTACCTACGGACCAAAAGCATTGTCAGTAATGACATCGAAAGCTGTTGAATAACGATGTTGTTGTGATAACAGATCATTCAATCGAAGCCTCGAAATAACTGTGGTTCACAACTTTGAGTTGGCGTGGCGGATTGAACTAATCAAGTATGATAGTTAAAAGCCCTAGTTGTTGGCGTTATTGTTCATTGTATCGCAGTACAGTACAGTACAGTTAAAATCCTCCACGACGGTAAACCTGTTACCATATCTTAAAAATGTGGTCAACGGCCATGTAACGAAAGGCCCAAAGAGCCTGAGTGTCTAGGGGGTCTAGGGGCATGCCCCCATGAAGTTGCACTGGCAAAACACGGTCGACCAGTGCAGCGAAACCACTCTTATCCTGTGTAGATCTCTTTGCTTGTTCAATGGAGACATTTAATAATTTAGCTATATTTATCCAAGGGTCCCATTTGTATGGACGCCTAGACTTCACAAACAATAACTCCATCTGTCAGCGTAGTGTTTGGACAACGGCAAACAAGACCAATATATTTTAGATATTATTTGGCTCCTGATAACATTTCTGAGACTGTTGTTTTTATATTGGTCATCTGTCAATAATATAATGCCTTAATGATATTGGATATGAAGACTCAAAGGTGATTTAAGCGTTAAGATTGGTTTCTTGAAGACAGTCAATTGACTATGACTCCGGTAAAGCCTTTCGAACAGGCTGTCCCACAATGTTCAGAACTACACTCAGTCGGTCGATAACGTTCCTACCCCTCCCCTAAGTCAACATCAACACCTATTTCTCACTTAGGGCAAAATGTTGGCTTAGGGGAGGGATAGCCGGGTCGGTAGTTTCCCAGAAACGTGTAATGATCATCATCCATAACGGGATGTCTAACCTACTTATGGTATAACTCCAGGGTTCCAAACGCTTACAAGATAACTTTACGTCACGATTGCTCTTAAATACTAAGAAATAAGGTAAGCACTTGTTTCCATATCTCAAACCGCCCTCTCCCTTTTCACTTACACTTACATGAAATTTCTTAGTTTCTTGACTCAGAGACTTAGTTTCTACTCAACAAATGTCATCAAAGTGCAAGACTCTTCAATTTCAAAGGAAAAAAAAAAATTCGAGTCAGGAGCAGGAATCGATCCTGGAGTGCTAAATCTGTAGTCCCATGCCCTAACCACTACACCACCGAGGATTGGCTATTTTGGGGGAGTAATTTAACTACCGTAGCGAAAACCCTAACCCTAAAAAGAAGCTAACCGTTAACCCTAATCACTATTCTAAGTGCTTAACTCTAATCAGTATGGTCAGTACTTAGCCCTATTCAGTATTTTCAGTGCTTAACCCTAATCAGTATTGTTAGTGCTTAACCCTAATCACTATAGTCAGGGCTCACTCATATATGTATACATATATGCTTTTACTTTGTGTAGGCATCACAAGGTATCCAAGGGCGGTTTGAGATATGGAAACCAGCTTTTACCAAGAAATAAAGGAACTCACCCGGGACTCGCCCCCTCATGTTAAGTTCATTCAATTTTATTAAAGGAACAGCACCATGGTTTCCAAAGCGAGCGATCGCAGACTCGACATCATAAGGCAGGTTCTTGTTGAAAATAAGCGTGAAGGGTACTCCACCCTGAAATGTTTTTAAAAACAGGTAAATAGAGAGAAGAAGTGTGACACCACGTTCGGTTGCCATGGTAGCAAAAAATTCTGGATCACAACAATAGAGAGCTTAGGGCCTGTTTGCATGGAGTGGGGGACCCCAGGTAGGTGAGGTAACCCGCTTAGGTGGGGTAACCCGTTTGTCCATATAATCTCTCGTTTTAATTTGATCACGTTTACATGATAGGTGGGGTGACCCGCCATATTTTACCTCACCTAACTGGGGTCTCCAACCTCCATGTAAACAGGCGACGATAACGGCGACAATAACGGTTTATAATAGTAAAACTGTTGTTTTACTAATATAAACGCTCGCTTGCATCACATTTTTTTTCCAACGACATGGAACATTCCTTTTTTCTAAACTCAGGTGTGCTACTTTCGAATTCAACCCCAGAGAATGTCGCAAACCTTCAACTGAATAAGATCGATGAAATTTGAAACAGTGCGAATTCACTTTTTAAGAGATGTTTTTGGTTTGTTGTCATCCAAAATTTTTGCAACCATGGCAACGTGACGTAACAACTTCTCCTCTCTTTTAATTGATGAATATATCGTTATAGTTATCGCTGTTGTTATTATTGTCATTATTATCACGATGATGATCATGATCATCATGATCATCATCGTCATCATCATCATCCTAATCACTTCCAGTAAATTTGTCGGAAACATAAAAAAAATCATTCGACCCAGTAACAAATTTTACTTGCTCATTGGAAGCCACTGAGCAAGTGAGCTTATAAAGTTACTCGCCCATCAAGAAACTCCACTTGTCCAAGAGAGGACAGGAAGTTCTTCAAGCCCTCAATTTATTGGGCTAGGTACAGTAGAGAAAACTAACTCAAATTTAACAGAATGGGGTTAACAATCACTTCCTATAAGAGACACTACGACTAGCTGTTCTGCTTCAAAGTAAGCAATCCTTGTGCACAGGCAATACGGAACCTGCAGTCTATCTAACCATTCCAATTTTCTCCTAACAATACCCATACATCATCAAGAGGAAAGGTTTTGAAAAATTTATCATATTATGACCAATTATATAAACCCAACATCTTTTGATCAAACTCTCTCAAATAGTTCTTTCCGCTCGTTTGAAAACCTTCTAAAGTAGATTGTTTTGAGACTAAAAGTGAACTTTACAAATCATGAAAAGCTTACCTCAAGTGGGCTTGACCTTGGACAGATCTCGTTTACTGCAAGCTTAATAAAATTTTCGAGTCTTATTTGTGTGTTTGTATCGTAAATCCCTAGCATACATGTAGTCCCTAGGTTTTCCCACGGCTCAGTTAGAAATGGAATCTACTTTCGCGCAGTGACATACCTCGAGACAGAGGTTCCGCGTGGTCAAAGTGACAAATGAGAACTCCTGGGAGCCACAGAGCTCCATTAACACAAAAACTTAAAAATGTTTAAAGCTGTTTAGTTAAACATGGCTGAAAACTTGTTTCCGTAATAGAAGCTTCTTTGTTGAATTGAGTTGATTGCAAATTAAGTGCAAATTACAAAACCTGTTGAATTTCATTTGAATCCTGTGTAAAACTGATCTGTGTTCCAGTCTAACCTGTATTTTTTTTTTTTTTTTTTTTTTTTTTTTTTTTAACCGGGTAAAATTAAACACGTTTAGTTGGTGTGAATGAGGTAGGTTGTAAATCCCTACCAAAAAAAACCTGCTGTTAGGTATCATCTAGATGTTAGCCATTTCAGACCCGAGCACACTAGCTTTAATTAGATACTATTAGAAGCATTATCTATTAGATACATTAGATACTACTAATTAACTTTACAATTAGCAATCAAGAACTAGAACTGTGTCATCAAAATTAAATGTCCCTTAAGAGAGATATATTTTGAGGTTACACACCTATATAGTTCACAAAAAAAAACTATGAATACGTACCTCGGAATTCGAAAGGGCCACACCACTCAGCAACTCAAGGTTAAATTCTAAACCGAAAGATATCATCTTTTAGAGCAGTTTTCTACTAAGACTTAACAGTAATTTTGCACCTGATAAGACCTTGCTTTAATGAACTTTGTGAATGGTTAAAAAAAGTTGCACTAATCTCTCCACCAATCAAAAGCATGTGTTTTCAATCCTCGGCGCCGGCTTCATGCAGTTTCTTTGAGTTCTGATTGTTTAAATCGATTATCTGTGTACATTTTGGTTGTCTCGCGTTCTTTTCTCTGCCAATCAGAAGAGAACCAGAAACTTATAAATCGGCCACTTCCGAGTTCCAAAAACCCTCACTTTCAAAATGAGGCTAGGTGCACAATCTTTCTTGTGAAATTATGAGGATGAAAAATCATTTCCATATCAAAGGCTGAGCACTTAACCTCGTTTTGAAACAGAGGCCCGGGGAAACTCGGAAATGGCCTATTGTGACTTTCTCGGTGTAGTTTTCCTGCGCCAGACGCCGGCCACATGAAGTTGTTTAGAGATTTTTTTGGTTAGAATTTGTGCGCACATTTTGATTGTCTTTTAAAAAAAATGGAAACCTTTCAGTCTCGACTGAGTGGCTCTCCTGTGAATTTACCCACAACTTAACCTCACTTGATCCTGATTTGGTAATATTAAACTATGTAAAGTGTTCGCTATGATAACGGAGCGTACCATCATTGACTCCAATGCTGTCGCTAGTTTCTACTCCTGAGTCTGAGGTTTCCGATGATTGCGCCAGCTGATGATTTTACATAAAACACAATAACCTTCTATAAGTACAAAGTAAAATAATCCACTGTTCATTAAAAAGCAATAATGTGGTGGGGGTGACATTCTTGTTGACATCTGCATTCTCACATGCTGTACCCCTGTACAAATCAACAAGAAACCTTCTGTTACTTACTGATGCTGTTTTTGAACGGCCATGGCTGTCATGTGATGGACGGCCTATGCACTCAACTGTTTGAGCACTCTGATCTCTTTTCTCGGCGTTAACTTGTTTCTTTAATACCTGAGGATTCTCTAATGAAATTTTCAACTTGTTCATGGAAGGTGTTAAACTTGAAGATACCACAGTTTGTTGCACTGCATGAGTAACAAATGGCAGCCCTGTATGTCTTGCTTCAACGAGGCCATTAGGACGCAAACCTGACTGAGCTATGAGCACCCCCGGCCCAACCATCTGAGGAAACATCATCGCACCTAAAAATGAAAACATAATACACGGCATTATTTTTGTTTGTTTGTCACTGTTTGATAAAGTTCTTGTTTTCACTGAGCATATATATGTGTTGCGGTTCAAATTTATCCACGGATAAACTTGAACCACAACATGTATACAGCTACTTCGAGAAAGGTTGTCGGATAAAGTGCACGCGACAACCCCGAAAGGTATTGTGGGTGGTGTTGAGTTCACTGTTTTTCAAATAAATTTGAAAGAATGGCAAGATAATTCATGGACATATGTCTGCGAGTGCTAAAGGAAAGCAACAAAAGTAGGTTTGACAGCTACAGTGTTAGGAAAAGTGTATTGAACATATCCCATATTACCTTTCGGGACTTTCGCGTGCACCTTTCTCGAAATGGCTGTATACATTCAACTCCCGCGCGTTGTTGCGACACACCTAGGTCGAGCGTCTGTAGTGAATAGCAAGCCTTCGTGGTAAGGGCGAGACGGAAGGGGAAAAGGGCGAGAAGGAACTTCGTGTAACATATCGTCATACATGTATTTAGATGTATTGAGAGAAAACTTTGGCGTTTAAAATATTTGGACAGCCTGGAAGAAATTATAAACAATTATTGGATGAGGTCTTCACGATATCTGGATTAATCAAGGTCGAGGCAAGGGATATCGGCTGAGGGCGAAAGCCGAGGTGGATAGCACATATATTGTACCGAGAAGCGCCGTACTAAGTGGAGGTTGGCCTCTTAATAGTGGTTGGTCAGAAATTAACAAGCTCTTTAGCTTAAAGATCACTTTATTTTTACTGGTCCACCATCAGTTGCCACCTTCCTTTTCGGATTGTATTTTCCTTCTTCACGTTTTCAAAAAAAAATCCAAACTAACTGTATCAAACCCTTGATAACCGCTTAATAAAGGTGACAAAAATGCACGAATAAACCTTTTTACCGATACGGCGGTAAAAAAATGCCGAGCTGGCGTAAACAGCCACGTACACGATTTTGCATGAACAAGCTTAGAGGAACTGTTTACGAATTTACTTAATAGACCTTTTTACCGATACGGCGGCCATATTAAATTAATTAGATTTAAGGAGTATCATGGGATGCCCAGGGGGCACTCGCTCAGTATTTACGCGGACTTTTCGGGCAAAAAGAGAACTTCAATGTATATTCCTCGGGAAAAAGGCGATCATTATTTCATCCAAACACGGCACAACGATCTTTTTTTCCCATTACGATCTTCTTCTAGGAAAACTTGAAGAAAAATTGGCCTTAAAAGCGCGCGTAAATACTGAGCGAGTATATCGGATCGAGCTCATGCCCCTGGGCATCCCATAATACTCCTTAAATCTAATTAATTTAATATGGCCGCCGTATCGGTAAAAAGGTCTATTGAAGAAATCAGACTGTGGAGCTGATCGAAGGTAAATTCGTAAACAGTTCCTCTAAGCTTGTTCATGCGAAATCGTGTGCGTGGCTGTTTACGCCAGCTCGGCATATTTGTCAGGCACGTGCAGGAGAAATTTCTTCGTCCTTTAAAGTTTGTGAGTTTGTTGTCAAATTTTTCTCCCCAGAGACACAAAAAGATTGAACGGAACTGATCTAACCGCCCCTGGGTATCCGAGGATAGCGACTCCCCCAAAAGGAGAGCTTGTTTGCAGGCTAATGGTACAATTGAACACTGTGTAATGTAATGATTTACCCATTTGCATGGAATGTGCCGGCACAGCACTTATGTCTCTTGCATTCATGCTATCCTGAACTGGCGTCAACTTCTTAGATTGACTGCCTGGCAATATGATTCCAGGTTGACTGCTCACTCCAGCGACTCTGTCTGGCAGTTTTTGCCGCAACTGTGACAATCCTTCAATTGGATTCGGTTGATCACTTTTCTTCACAGTTGTTTCTTCCCTTGGCAAACCTTCTTGCCCAAACGTTCCTGCGGTGGCATAACTTGAATCACGTGAATCACTGGCTGCATATCGCTTAGCATGTTTTTCTCCTCCCGCAGGAAAATTTTTTAAGGGTTCTAAAGCATCTTCGGATGCTCCTTCTATCTTTGGTGAACGCTCAGCCGTTTCATTCCCTGGAGATGTGATCTGGTCATGGGATCGTTTTAGTGTTGTCAGCGTTTCTGAAAATTTAGGAGCCTTGAGCTCATGCTTCATGCTCATGCTTCCCTAAGACAAAATAACAACAAAAATATTTCATGATTCTGTCAAGTTAGGTATAAGTATAAAAGATAACAGTACATATTCATGATTGGAGAATCTCTCCTATGTGTAGCATTAAGCTACGTGCATTTGTACATGTATAGGACCAAAAGCATTACAATTGGTCAGAACTCATTTGCAAACGAAATTTATTATATACATGTACTGAGATATTCTCACTGAAAAGCTATGTCATCAATTTTTGTTCGCAAATGAGTTCTAGCCAATCAGAGAAGTGAACGATGTGTTTTTCCATATGTGAGAAAAATGACATGTCCAATCAAAAGCCACAGAAGTGTGTGAGTTTAGCGCCAAAATTCTCGCCTTCTATAAGCAGAAATAGATTTATGATCTTATAGGGTTTTATATACTAGACAAACAATGCAATAAATGCCAGTAAATGAGAGAAGTCAAAGCTTTGTGTACTAGCCTGCGAAAACATTCATTTCTTCTCGCTCTCACCCCTAGGGACGTTTCACGCGAAACGTCCTCAGCGGCGAAGAGCGAGGAGAAACGGATGCTTTCGCGGGCTATTTGTGTGCCATCAGTCTCTTTTTCTTCTCAAATACAGCTAGTTATCATATTGAACTGCAGAGTGCATCTGTAAGACTGCGAGCAGTCTCTCTTTTTCTTCAGATTTACTGCGGAGTGCACGCGCGCGCGAGCGTTGAGCGACAAAACCGCGAGACGAGTCGAGAAACGAGGGCGGCGCCTTCAGTCACGAGCGTGGTCATTTTCGTGTCACGTGCGTTTCGCTCGACGGACTAAGAAAAAAGAGACTGCTCGTAGTCTATGCATCTTTTGAATCAGGCCTCTGATGGGCTGTTACTGCAAGGAAGGTGGAAAAGCTTAACCTGACAAACAGTAAGACTACCATAAGGTTCAATAACAATAATGAAAACAGTAATTAATTTTACTACAATAGCCATCTGATAATACCCCATCAGTATAAATGTAGAGAGCGGAGTTTCCCTTTATTTTCTGCTTTATAAGACGTCCATCCCAAATCCGACGGTCTCCATGGAAGTCTAACCTTGTTCGATTGTCAGCTGCTCCTGCACAATAAAATCTACATAAAAGAGTTTTAAAAGAAACCATGACAAAAAAGAAAAATTAATCAAGAAATTCTAAATTCCCGAAGCATTTTTGCAAATCCTGTTGAGGTTGAAGAACGCATGGGGAAAAAGGTATCTATATAAGTAACCTGTGATCTGCAATGACCTTTAAAGGGTCAATTAATCTTCACAAATTTTTCACATTGCAAACAAGCACAAATTAATATTAAAAGGAGAAACTGAAAGTTTATCAAAAGTCCAGGAGTTAGACCCCTTCATTTGTGCACAAGAGTGGATTTAGGGGTGGGCCCAGGGGGCCCCGGCCTCCTCTTTTGTGGTTATTTAATATTTCAGCATTACATGTTCAAAATTGAATCCAGGCATTTGCTAGATTTAAGTGTCCAGAATGCGCTAGATTGCATCTCAGAGAACTTCAAACTCGAAAATTTTCACAGAGGAGCATGCACCTGAACCTCCCTAGAAAAGTGCGCCGCTCGCAGTCCTGATGGGTGCTATTGCACCCATAATGCCACTGCCTACTATATATTTGGGCCCCCTCTATCACAAAATCCTCTGTCCACCCCTGGTACACCTTGCAAAGTGGGAGGAGAATTTTTTATTTTGTCAAACTGAGTTGGGACACAACCGAGGTTTCTCATTCACTAGCATTTAAATACTCCATTTCCTTAGAATTCCAAAGGGACAAAGAATCGGTCCAGACAATATTTTTAAAACATCAAAATGCTTGACTGTGATGTACATGTATGAGAGTAAATATAACTGTTCCATCAGTGTAGCAATATTATTACCTTTTATTTTCAAGGAAGGGAAAGGTCTCCACTAATATCAGTTTTATGTCACTTTCACTCATCTTTGAAGAAATCTGCACATTTGTTTTAAACTGTCCTTTTTCTGATTTTTTAAGTTGAGCCATTTCAATTGTGTTCGGCATGAACACTGTGCCATCCCTTTCTACAACATCACAGGGCTTCAACACCACAACACTCTTCCCTGTTAGAGCTCCAGGTTCTTTCTTAGCTCGCTTCAGTGCAACTAATTCATTCTCACTGCACTTGAAGGTAAGTTGGACATAGCTATTGTCCACAGCAGGTGGCTTTGCCATGATACCTGTTCAGAAACACAAAGAAATCAACAAATTTAGTATATTCACTGCTGTTGAAAAAATGGGCTAAATTCCAGACCCGTACAAGTGCCTGGAGATTAAATGTATGTGATAATCTAGGAGGGGTGGAATAATTGTTTCCGAACATCTACTATATCGCTTTACCAGCTTTTAATATAACACTACATTAGAATTATGATCCTCTGCTTTGTGAAAGTATTCAATCACACATGTATGAAATAAGATAAGGCTTAAAATTCAAAGTTTGCTTTTAGAAATTAGCCCATTTTGGAAGAAACCACTGAGCTGATTCAGTTGATCAAAAATTATGCATGCATTATTATGCACATTGTTTTCAACACTGAAATCAATGCGTAATTTACATGTCTGAATAGATGCAAGGAAGTTCAATATTTACCAGCAGTCAAATTTCTTCCTGATGAAACATGATATGGCAAAAGCTGAAAAGGACCAACTTTGCAAAGTCAAAGAGGGCCAGCAATATAACATCATAACTGCCATCATAACAGAAATCTTGCTTGCTTCCCAAACAAGCTCAGCTGGGTATACATGTAGTACACTGGTTGACTGAACATGATTAAAAAACACTTGCATAACAGAAACAATTGTGAATAATGCTGGAACAAGATTTATCATAACAAACTTCACATGGCTGTTCTATAATTAAACTCCCACTTGCTGATTGCTTTATTCCTGGTCTCCATGCAATTGTTCAAGTCTACTGATTATAAAAAAAAAATGAGCAGGTTTCTTCATGCATAATAATACTTGCTTAAATAAAAAAAGTCAACCCTTAGTCTAGATCTGCAGTGTGAAAACCCCTGAAGGCAAACTTCAATTGAATATGTTACACGATTTCAGTCACTATATACCAATTACTGGCAAGGTAGTGCAGATTATAAATTTGACAATTAAACAAACATTGTAACATAATTTTTGCACTATCATAGTTGCACGCTGTGACACATGACAAGTAATTTGATCACAAGACGGAAGTGAGATCGTCACAATAATTATGCATGTACATGTAGCTTTATAACGTCCAAGATTTGAACATGAAATCTTTCTGAAAAAAAGTCACAGAATCCACATACAAAATCTTCAGACTGATCTTTTGAAACATCTAGTACTAAAACGTTTTTTTCTGAATGAGAGAAATTTGATAAAATATCAAAACATTTGCTGAATTCTCATAACCTTTCTTTCTTGATGATGTGTTTGTAATATTGTTGGGAGAAAAGTGATGTTGGTCACTCACAGGACTTTAACTAATCAATGGACAATTAGGGGAATAACATCTGTGAAAGGTTTGAACCCAAGAGTCATTTCATAAGTAGGCTGAGCACTGATCGTATGGGTGAACATAGTCCTGAATAGCACTATTGTTGATGGTGACTGATGTTTTAAGAACCTGTGAGGTACATGCAGCCACCTTCTACATCACCTAAACCAGTTCAAAATTTTTAACTGTAAATATATAATATTATATTGACAAGAAAAGGCCAATATCACAATAGACTGAGTGTAGATATAACAATAAAATTCACTTGAAAGGCCAAATCACTGATCCATTATATTGACACTTGGAGTAAACATGACAAAAGATTATCAATAATTAGTCTGGTGGAGAAATGTATTTAACATAATTTGTTTTAAAGTACTTTTAGATCTGTGGGGGCTGGAGTCCAGTTATTTGCCTTTCCAAGGCTAGTACTTTAAAGTGAGTCACGTACAGCTTTGATCTTAAATCATTGAAGCTGGCAAAATTTGAGTCTCAGGATGACTAATGGCAGCTTTTTTTAAAATTTTCACAGGAAGTAGCATACTGGCAGGGTACTTTGCAGAAGCCCAGTGGCAGCCGAACGCCGAATGACTGATATTTAGTGATTAGCGTTAGGAAACCATGCAAATCAGGTTCCATTTACGTGTAAGGGTCATTGGGCAAACTGACAAGAAACTTGATTCACTCAGTTTCAGGGTTGTCAAAAGTAGCTAGCTGCTGGTGAAAATCACTGCCTGCTTGGTTAGCATCGGCTGGCTACTCTGCTTGCCATTTCTTTACAGATGACGTTTTTTAAAAAAATCCCTGGACTGGCCGCTTACTTTGACAACTCAGCCGTCTACTTCAAAACTTTCTGACAACCTGCAGTTTCCCAACCCTATAATCACTAAACTTAGGAGTCATTTGGTGTTCGGTGTTCTGCAACATACACCCGCCAGCAGCATTTTTCCCAACCCTACTTGAAGCTAACACTTTCAGGAGAAGGACATTGGGGGGTGCCCAATACTACAATTTAGTGTGACAAAAATTGGCAAATTAATAGCGAAATACCGCATTGAAAAACAACGAAATACGATACCGCATTTCTGATCGGTCATGCTTACTTAAAGTTGTATCCTTCTCGCGTGTTTGTTTATCTCAAGCATTTATGCACCAGCAATCAACCTCAGCCATTGTGAGAAAACATGAGGAGATGACAAATTGATCAGTACAATGATGAAGAAGCATTTCCTTCCAATTTCATCATAGATAAACTGAAATTGTGCAATCATTTACCACTGTGTCTAAAGTCTTAAAAATATTGACCTGCACTAGACAGGAGAGTGCATTGAACAGTACCACAATAACGTGAATCATGATCTTTTACCGATTACTGTTAGCCAAAAGGACGAAAACCGCAAAGTGTAGGACTAGATGATACCGCAATTCCACACTTAAAAAGCAAAATTACCAAAATACTGCTTCAAAAAAAGCTCAGTACCACATTACCATGAACCCCCATGTCCCTTTTGTTCAGCACTTGCTCAAACATTCAATTCTTGTGCTAAGACAGAGGGCAGACCCTTCATTTACTTTCAAGAAGGTGAAACAACATTATTTTTGGTTATGCTGCATTTTTATTTTTTAAACTCTTATGACTGGGTAGATTAATTTGCCATGGTTATTTTTGTTAATCGAAAAACACCTTTCTCGACATTTGATACTTTTTACTTTGATTTGAGATAAACTGTAAATTTTTTTCTGCCAATCAACTGGCCTACTTTACCCATTATATCAGAGAAAATCATCTCTCAAGATTTTATAGAAAAGATCTGAGAGAGGTTTACTGTTCACTGTTACTTGACCATTTTTAAAACAGCTAAAAAAATAAATTAATTATATATAAATTGTGTAAATATATTATAAATAAATTGTACCCACCTCTGATATTATATATAATTTTACAAAAAGTTTGGTGCTAAACGTGTAATGCCAAATTTGAGTTTCTAGAGTACTCAGAGGAGGGTACAATTCTACCAATCCACCAACAAACTGGATCTGATGCAAATGCATGTTTCTTTAGACCTTCTCAAAGTCCTTTGATTGTCATTTCTGGTTTTGGTAGTTGGCCCCAGCATGAAGGACTTTTATCCCCTGCAGTGAGCTAAATTCAGAGGAGGAATTTTTCTCCTGAAGGTTTTATCCAATCACAAATGGTTTTACTAATGCGCCATCAATCAAACCAGATGACGCCACATCAAACGTGACTCGAATTGTTTTGATCCAAATTCAGCAGTGTATTTTTCTTCAGGCGGTATTATGACTGTTTTTATTCAAAAACAAAGCCGAGTGCAAGTGACAGTGCAAATGCGTTCTATCAAGCATGCGATCATGTATAGGTTAAGGAAAGCGAGTTACAAAGATGTTTGCGAACATCAGCAACGAGGCTTATTGCTGTGGAAAGGATGTGTTTTTTTGTTTTTGTTTTTGTACTTTGACAGCTCGCGACGACACACACGCGACGACACACACGTGATGACAAGAAAGAGACACAAATAATTTGCGCCAAAAAGATGTCACTTGACGCGATTTTTTGCAGGGGAAACAAGTTGAGTTCCGGGTCTCTCGCTCGCTTTTGCTGCAGAAAACATAAAAACTCTACTGCTCACACTTCACGCTCATGAAAAACTTTGAGCTCAACTTTTAGGCAAGTCTAATGTTTCTTTGAAAACCAATGGTTAGAGTGATTTTACTTGAACCATGAAATAGGTAGTGCAATACTACCCACTATTATGCACTAATTCTATTGTCTTCTTTTGTGAAACCTCTGGCTATTTTGCACTATTTGTTAGCATCTGTTTCACGGTTCAAGTAAAATCACTCTATTTATTCTTTTTATGCTTGGTTCAAGCTCTAAAGTAAACAGCTGGCAGAGAGCCCGTCGTTCACAAAATAATGATGACCACCAAGACAAAACAAGGACTTCTTGAGACCTCGCAATAATTTATTCTTCAGTTCATGGCCATGCCTGAAGCACATGCATTAAGGATGATACAAACTACTTCCACTTATGCAAAGTAAAAGGGTTAAAATCTTTGCCTCATTTGTCATGTGGATATCACACCAAACGAACGAAATGAAGCTCGGACAAACAACTACGGTGAAGGAAAGCGAAACTCGCAGTTTCATGGCCCTGCATGTGACAACGGACAGTACATGCAAATCCAAGAGAAAGGACACGACATTTGAGAAACGGCGGAAACAAGTTATTTCTCTCGGAAATTTAAAATAAACAAGAATTTCGAACGACTCTTCAATAGCCCCATGTTTCCGCTAAGGGAACTGTTTCATAGAAAATGGATACGATGGAAATTTAAAACGTTCCCAACAGCTTCCCGATATTGAAAAGACAAAACTAATTTTCATGCGAACTCGATATTTTCTTCAAGTAGAAAGGCCAAAGATGTCAGATTAAGTGTATAAACGTTTTCTTTTACCCATCTTTGTTCATTTTAGCACAGTGCGGGGGTATACTTCGTCAAAAGAGAGATCACCGAGGACTAAACTAGAGCTTCCTCTTTCGATTTCATTAATTTTCGAGATTCTGGCGAATTAGGATGTGTTACCTAGTACATAAAGGCTTCTTTGAGACACTTCAAAACCGCTTGTAACATTGGTTTCTTAAACTAAATCACCAATCTACAACAAACAGCTTCGAAGCACAAAGGGTGCTTGATCGACCGCGCTTCGCCAGCGTTTTCTAGTAGTTTTGCTGGTGTACAAAGGAATATCTAGGAAAATTTTTCGGCGAAGAAAAAACTACTTTACATTCGCAAATTTCATAGAGGAAAAACTATGAAAAACAAGCTATACCCTTACCTTTTCTTTGAAATATTTCAATAGCTCCTTTATCGCGCTTTCGAAGATTGGCACGGTCACGTGGTTATGCCCACAACCCACAAACAGCTACGTTTCAGTTCTTGACGTCATTTGGAATTCCGAGAAAACCCGAGAAGTCCTTGGGGACGAGGTTCAGGTTTCAGGTTTCCGGTTCACATGGTCCGCGGCTTGGTAACGCCATCTGATAAAAAGAGGATTGGACTGGATTGGACTGGATTGGTAAAACCTGCACTGCCATTCCGCAAACTCACCAGTTCCTCCTTTTATCCTCACCGAAAACAGCGGTTCTGTCGCAAAATGTTTGCTCGAGTCGACTGTTTTTTCGTAAGTAAACTTGAGTGTGGCTTGGTTTTAAGCCTCATCGTCCTATAGGGTTCCCTGCTAGCAGAGGTCTCTCACGACGAGGCAAAAATGAGAGAAAGGAGAGAGTCTCTCTCCTTTCTCTCATTTTTGCCTCGTCGTGAGAGACCTCTGCTAGCAGGGAACCTGTAGGGTTTTTACTGCCATTAAGACTAAAGCGTGAATAGAAGCGACTGCTAACATCGCAATCATGAAACCTTCAAATTGGCAGGCTACGACGTTAAACGGCCAGTCGGAAGTCACCAATGCTGAAACGGAAAAAGGCACTGAACGGAAAAGACCTAATAATAAGTCGGAGACAAAAGTGAAGAGAGGCTACCAATAAGTTTGAAATTGTAGTCTCATTGAACCTGCACCGAAAACTCCGAAACTGTCTGGAACAGCGAGAGATGCACAGCGGAAATCTGAACTTTGCAGATTCGATTTCAGTTGCCAAGAATAAGTCGTCAATGTTCTTATGGAAGCGAATGTAGGGTTTCTGCCTCTGGCGTGTAATAGTTACGCAATTAAAATATACCGAAGAGAAGAATCCAGAAAAGACAAGGGGATCTTGTATTGTGAAAGAATAGGCGATTTGCACAATGATGTGGTTTGACTACGACGTACGATCAGAATCTTTCAAGGTTTTTCTTTCTTTTGCAAATAAGGGCTTTTACCTTACAGAGGTGTCCGTCAAGAAAGAGTCGCCTGTAGTAGTAAAATGACGCCATCGTGCAAATTATGGCCTATTAACTTTAATATCTGAAATGAATTGATCCTTCTTTAGAGCCAAAGTATGATTAATAGTCATGAAATTAATCATTTCATGTCTTTTTTTCATCTTCCTCTTCTTATGACTGACTCCCATCTAAGCTTCACTCCTTGTATTTACTATATCTTACGTCTGTTGCAGACCAAAATAAAAGAACTGAACTAAAGTCAGCGAGGGAGGTAATTTCAATTTCTTGATTGCCTTTGTCGAAATCCGTATTCAATGCTAATACAATACTGCATTTCATCCTCAGTTCCCTCTATTTTGCATAATATAGTACGGGTTGTTCCTTTTATAATGCAAACTAGATGACAAAAAATACGATCTTCCCCATCTGTCTTTTAGCGCTGAAAACGTGATTTTCTATCAAGAAACGAAACTGACGGACTCGGATAAAAAGCGAGTCGGCTCTTACAGTTACTACATACAATACAGTCACGCAATGAATGCGAACGAATGGCGTTATTGAGAAATGAGCTGGTATAATATCTTTTTTGATAACAAACTAGTTGTTGTTAAGACTCAAAACATCATGACTCGTGGCTTTCTGAAGCAAGATCAGAATATCATTGGTACCCTGTGTAACCTACGCGAATACCAGGCGACGCGAACGACTTAGTAAATACCCACAAACCATTTCGGAAAGAAACTTTTACGAGCAGAAAAGGGAAGAAACCTTTGGTTAGGTAAAATGTATCGATGTCCCGTTAGCTGGCAATTTTCATCAATATCTGTGACGATTTCCGTCACAGGTGTCCTAAATTGTAGTTATAAGTGAACGCGAAATTTCGCTTTGTCACACTGTTCACAATGAACGTGGAACACTGTTCCGCACTTTTTTCTTAAAGCTTCTCTTTCCTTTCTTTCTATTTTTACTGCAAGCTGAACAAATTAAATGCTTACTTTTGGAAGAATGTGACCTTGAGTGAATTAAGGCTTTCTTTAGGCCTTCCGAAATATTTTTTTGGATGACTGAAAAGACGTTTTTTTCATCTTAAGTGGAATGGAATGTACGAAAAATCTCCAAAAGTAATCTTTTTTTCAGGTAATAGGGAATGTCCGACCGTAAGAACCGTAATTAGCGTTACGGTACAAGCCCTGTTTTTTATTGTTTAAATTCGCGATTCGATGTTATCACTGAGATAAAAGAAACGTTTTTGGACAAAAACTACAAAAATAACTAGGTTATTTGAGGCTTGGGTACATACATGCATACATAACTGAACACAGATACAAAAACAAACTTTATTTCCACACCAACTGTAGGGTAGCCAAAAAGGCTAATATCTCCGTACAACATACAAGAAATTAAAACGAAACTTATTTACATTACTAGTACAGTGTATAACGAATATGGTTCTTGAAATTCGACTGTCCTCAACAGACGTTTTATAGAGTTCCTGCTATAAAATTCAATCCAAAACACTATGGCAAACGAATACATTGTACATCAATCTATCGTCCTTGCCTGGTGATCCTAAATATACTAAATTCAATGTAAAGTCTTCCGGATGCAACCAGGCGCTGGTCAGTCTTAAGGCTGTCCATAACTCTAAGCGTTTAACTAGCATAGATCAGTGGAATATGGTTTTTGTCGCTGTTTATACGTTTATACGCCAATTGGCGTTAATAGGGAGCTTAAGCAAAGGCGTTTTTAAGCGACGGACGTCAACCGGAAGTGAGGTATTTTTCCTCTTAACATGCCTTGATGATATAAATTTTGTATTCCTTAGCTTCTTTACTGTTATAGAGGCGATTTGACTGAAAATTTGCGCGAAACCGCCGTCAAAAAATCAAAAAAGGCCACTTCCGGTTGACGTGCGTCGCTCAAAAACGTTGTTGCCTAAGCTCCCTAATATGACGAAAACTACGTACGTGGCTGCAGTGACCAGTGACACCTTTAATTCGCATTTGCCTTTACTTCATGCAATGGCCTCATTTCCATGCCTACAACAGCCGTCCTTCCAGGCAAGGCCAACGGTGCCACGACAACTTGAGATCGACAGCACTTGCAGCGAAGAACCCTCCAATAATTCTTACGAAAACTCTTATTCATCAAGCCGTAAATTACAGGATTCACAGCGCTGCTTAAAGTGGCCAAAAGCGTATATGAAATGTAAACCTCAGAAGGGAAGATCCATTTTTGAAAAATATTGTCCACAACTTCAACTGCCAAGACTGGAATCCAACACAGGTTAAAAAACATCACTATAACGAATATGGTGCGCGCCACCTTAACTTCTTCTACGTTTACCGAACTTATTGGATTCCCAGGGAGATGAAAATTTCGGTTGTGGGTGCGAACTGTTGTGAAGATTCTAAAATAGCAGTAAATAATAATACAGTTTGGAATACCTATGTAAAGCAGATTACCAATATATACCATTTTTCTAATGGCAAAGTAACAGATGAACTTAAAAGGATGAAAGACCATTTTGCTTCCACTTAGCACGAGAGGCAATGGAGCACATAAAGAAGAGAACCAGGACACGAGAATCATGATGAGTGTTTTCTTTCTAGTGAAGTAGCGTCGGTACTTTGCCGGTTTGACGATTCTATAAAATCTGTTCACTGCCATTAAGACCAATGTGTGAATCGAAGCACAGACCAATGTAATAAGCAGATAACCTTGAAATTGGCAGGCTGTGTCATTAAACAGCCATTGGGAAGTTACCAATGCTGGAATGCAAAACGGTACTGAACAGAAAAGTCCTATAGATAAGTCAGAAACAGCGAGTGATGCTACGAACATGTTTGGAGTTGTTCTCATCCGTCGGTTTAACAACATAGCAAGGAGTGTAAAACTGTTCCCAAGAAACAAGAGCAACAAAATAAGCACGTATAAACCTAATACCAAAGCAGCTTTGGCTTGGCTTCTTGATTTAAACTCTCTTAACATTTCTGCCAGTTGGTTCTGTGCCGTGTAGTTCATTTTTCTTTTGTAGCATCAAACAGTTCCTGGTAGATAGAAAAATATACGCAAAGGTTCAAACGAGATCATTGAAGTCATTGAAAAAGGTGGGGTATCCGGTCCAATGGGGAAAGGTCGGAAAGGGAACACATGGGGAAGGCCAACCTCTGCGCACTATTGAATTTCTCTTTAAACAAAAAATTAAATCGTCAAGGAAAACCGGCTGATTATAAAAACTACTTAACAGTGATTTCCATGACTTCTGCCGCTGAAAAAATCCTGACGTGTCTAAATAAACGTAAAAATACCACTATTTTACAAGTACAGTGTATTTCTATAAGAAATCAATGATTTACCTGTGTTTTCTATGACAAAAGCCTTTGCAGAAGATTAAAGAGCAAAATATTTCGTCCGAATATTACATTGAGGACCCAAATTAACCACAGTTAATATATGGGTAAATAGTACTCAAAGAGGAATCTGAAAAGGAAAAGCGAAGTTCAGTTTCCTGTGGTTCTTTTAGTCTTCACATAAGCAAGTAAACCTTGAAGACTGAACGTAATACTTCATAGTAAAACTGAGCTCAGAGATTGACTATTGTCAACTGACAATAACTATAACCGATCCGCGAGCTCAGCATTTAATTCTTAGTTTGAATCAACTAGGGGCAGGTGTTTCTGCCACAAGTGAAGTGCATTCTGCCTCAAACGTCAGGCAGAACAATTTAAGTAAGAAATAAAATGATAATTTTCTGTCTGATTGAGAAACCATGAAAAAGTTCAAAAGTGCAATATTTCATCCACTTCAACTGACCTTCATCAAAATGGAGTAGATCACGTTCATTAGGGTCTTGAAAGGGCTAAAATAGCGTCATAGATGTTGGCTATTTCGAGGCAATTGTCTCTTCTCAACCGGATCTCGATTGTCTCCCATCCTTTTCGGGCGTTTTTCAAAAACATTTTGCTTTTCACGGCAACAGAAACTTTCTTTTACTAGAATTCTGATCTAACGTCAATTCAATGTCAATAAATATCTGACAAGTTCCTCGATAGACGTTTCTTAATTCAGAATTTTAACCAATGGGAGAGTCGTCAGTAAAGGGAACTCTGCTTTTTAGTTGGATCTATTCTTCTTTGTCATTAAAATGTACTTATAGCAATCTGAACGAATTGAAAGCTTGTGGATGAGTGGTATTTTCTCTGATTTATCAACATTTTTCTTTTGTTTTTTTTTTTTGCAAAACCGCGTTTGATCTGTTGTGACATACAGTTGATATATCGCTACATATAGTATAAAAAAAGGGGAATAAAAGAAAAAGTTTAAGTTACCTATTTAAGGGATTTTTGAAACAGCAGCTCCCTTGTGCAGAATCTACCAGGTTACTTAGTCTTTTCAGGAGCTTTACTGACGTTACCCTAAACTGTTATACTTACCATATTGTTGTCATATCGCCCTCCAGTCTGTTAAGTGGAAGAAACTAATAACTTTCCATTTAAAGATAATGGCAGCAATTCTAATAAACGGCCTTGCATATGTCTTTTGAGCTTTATTTATGTTTTTTACCCTAAACTAGACCACGTGTCCTCAAAGTATTTTAATTTCCCCGTTGTCTGTTCCAAAATTATGCATACATGTGCACCTGAATAGGAAAACATTTTAAAGAAACTCTTCTGTGGGGAAACAACACATGGTCTGAAATGAGGAACAAAAAATACAGGCTAAAAAGATCTTATTTATCGGCTTTATTGGTAACAAAGTGATTTTTATTAATCGCACGCAAGTTCTTCCTTCCTTTTGTTGTAAAAACGTTTAATATTTTTAATGTACTTTTTTATAGTGATAACAAATTCATTCCAAACGAACGCTCAGTTACCAAGACTAAATTCAATTTATTTTCTTATTAAAGCTAATGTAGGGAGTAGCCTTGACTTCTATTAGTGACGCAAGAATAAACTATACCAAAGTTGTGTGTGTTTTTAGCCGAAATGCGAAGTTCATAGTCATGAAATTTTATTCTAGTGAAAGTACAGGAATAAATAGCAGTTTCTTAAGATGGTCATTTTAATTTCTAGGTTACCATGTTAAATTTAAGAACTGTATTTTAGCAACTCCAAGTTCTTTTTCCAAAAAAAAAAAAATGGAAAATTTAAAATCTGTCGAGATCCTTTTTCAATCCATATAATACTGCATTTTGTCCTCAAGTTTCTCTATTTTGGGTAATATATTATGAGTTGTCCGTTCAGTTTTGATCCAAACTGGAAGACTAAATCCTGATCTTCTCCAAGAAAGTAATTTGCTATCAAGAAATAAGACCGCAAAAAAAAAAAAATACAGTTTAGCAATGAATGCGAACGCATGCACATCAATGTTGTATAATAGTGTTGTTGAGATATGAATTGATTTCCATTCTAACCGCATACATTGTTGCATTTTCTACTTTTTTAGTCTCTCCTGGTGTATTTTGTAAAACTCATTTAATATTTCAAAGTATTAAAAAAATTGTCATTATAAAGACTTACAAATCATCGAGACTTGTGGCTTTCTAGCGAAAGAAAAACCATCATACCCTCATTGCAACCTACGCGAATACAATGAAATTGGTAGGCTGTGTTGTTAAACGGCCAATGGAAAGTCACTAACGCTGGAACAGAAAAAGGGACTGAAGAAAAAGGTCCAATTAAAAAGTCGGAAACTGCCAGTGATGCGACAAGCATGTGTGGAACAGTTCGCATTCGTCTGTTTAACAACCTCACCAGAAGTGTAAGGCAGTTTGCAACAAACAAAAGTAACAAAATAAGGACGTATCCACCTAATAACAGAATGGGTTTGACTTGGCTTTTTCTCTTATAACATTTCTGCCAGTTGGCTCTCTGTGGAATCCATTGTCTGTTGTGCTGGCCAACCCTTTCCTAATGGATAGAAAAAATGTACGCAAAGCTTAGGGGTAAACGAGGTCTATGGAGTCAATGAAAGAGTTGAGGTTTTTTGTAACGCTTAGGTCGAGTGGAGGAACACTTTTCTCAGTTCCCTATACTATTTTTTCCGTAAGACCGTCTGAGAGCGATCGCTTTGCGTTACGGGCGGCCATCTTGGTTTCAAATGTACCAATTACAGCCTGGCCGGGATGATTTTCAAATGTACCTAGGGAGCAGGGGATAGTTGTAAACTCACGCCCGTCCCCTCGGTGCATGCAAAATCAAGGTGGCCGTCTATAGCGCAAAGCGCTCGATCTCGACTGTCTTAAGGAAAAAAAACATGGACTGTGAACAATCTAGGGGGAAGGGAAGACAGAGGAAATCCAAACTCGGGGCACTATTGAGTCTCTCTTAAAGGAGGGTCTGAATGGAGGTATCTTGATAACACTAAACACTTCATTTTTTGACTTTGTAAAATGAAGCAGTTAAATATTTAGGCATTTTAAGACTAACAGTAAAAAGTTGTTTGAAACAGTAAATTTTTTCCCAGAAAGAAGCAAAAACGGCTCCAAGGAGTTTTTGGCCATTTTACAACTATTCCTGATTATTTCAGAAGAATTCCGAAGACTACCGACGATTCCAGAAGACTTTCGAAGATTTCCGAAGACTAGTGAAGAGGTCGGACCCTAGCCAAAGATGTCCGAAGAACCCTCCAAACACTTGACAGCACTTTCTTCGGAAACAGTAAACATCAAAGAATTGGCCAACTGAACAGCAAACACTAAAATTATGGGCAAATAACACTAAACCTCATTCAGACACTCTTACAGAGGAGACTTGGCAGGGAAACCTGACTTATTACATAACCTACAGTGCTTTACTTTTTATTGCCAAATAATCGGGTCTAAACAAAAAAAGACTATTGTATGAATGTTTTACTTCAGGTAGTCAGTGATCTACATGTGCTACTGAAAACCGTCGTTACATTAGAATCACTAGGAAAAATAATACCGTTGATATTTAGGAATAACGTACAAAAAGAGGGGGTAAAAAGAAAAAAAAAGAAGTTTAGTTATCTGTGGTTCTTTTAGACTTCACAGTGAGCAACAGACCCTTGCACATTGAAACGAATACATGTACTTCATAAAACTGAGCTCACTGGGATCGACTATTGTCAACTGCCTTTAACTATAATTCTTATATCGTAGTGAGATATGGCCAGCATTGAATTCGGTTGCAAAAATTTGCTAGCGAGTTCTTTTCGCCGTTTTGGCAAAAAATTATTCACAAGAAAGTGTTGTGAGACAGTTACTTGCAGATCAACTATATATTTACCAAAGCCAAAGCCTGCTGAGACAAATAATTGAGGCAAATAATCTCCGTTCAGAGATGATACAGAAGAGACACGAGGACTTGGAGTGCTGGTAACCGCGAAAGTAGGCGGAGTACGTCGCTGTGGGAGCGACTGAAATGTTGATTAAACTGTCGACGAAACAGAGTCCTGGATCACCGACCAGGCGAGCGTGGCTTCCCGTAACAGGAAAATTCAGTTGGTGTAAGCGAAGCCGGAGTACTTCACTGGAGAGCTTTGAAAGGTCGGTACTAGAACGCGATGCATATGTCGCGGGCTGAGAACGTGGTTGAGCCAAAATTAACAAAATTACTGAACTGTTTCCTTTCGTGCAAGCTAGCCAACTTTGCAGACGACATTGCTCTTTTCAGTGATCATCAGTTCCAACAAGCGCAAGACGTACTCAGAAATGTTGAAGAAGCGTCGGCCCTGGTTGGTCTTCTACCAAATGCAAAGAAGACAAAATACATGTTCTCTAACCATCATGTTGATCCTGGGCTCAAAACACGAGACGACGCAGTAATTAAACCTCTTGAGAACTTCAATTATGTGGGCTAATGGATCAGTGACTCAGAGCATGACCTCAAGGTCAGAAAGGCTTCAGCTTGGATACCTTGGAACACAATGAGAAAAGTGTGGACCTCAAAGCTGCCACGAGCAACAAAGATCAGACTGTCTAGAGTAACTGTGGAGTCTGTCTTACTCTATGGAAGTGAAACGTGGACCGTGACGTAGAACCTGGAGAAAAGTGTCAGTGGATGTTACACCAGAATGCTGCGAACGGCCCTGAATGTGCAATAGCAACAACATATGAACAGCAAGGAGCCGTGCTGAAGCCTCCCAAGAATTAGTGAAACAATCTGTGCGAGACGATTACGATTAGCTGGCCATTGTACAAGCCGAAATGAAGAGACTGCTTCAAAAGTGCTGCTTTGGGAACCCCGACAGGGTCACCCAAATCGAGGTAGACTTAGAACTACATACATTGATACTATCAAGGCTGATACTGGACTGGACAATACCAAAGAGATAAGAGACGCAATGCTCAATCAGATCGTGTGGAACGATTTTATTAGGACGGTCCGGGATAATTCCCGGCCTAAGTAAGCCTAAGTAAGTAGCCAAATAATGACCAGGATTGGCATAAGCAGAACTTTCTAATCAGACAATGTCTTAAAGTTTGACCGATAGACACAGTTGTATTTATAAGCTACCTAAACTTATCATGATTAAGGTCTGGCCATGAATAGGGCCTTGAAAACAGTCACCAATCTTTGCGAAGGTAAGAAATATAAGATGACAAACATGCGACAAAGTAGTAAGGTTCCAGCCATGAACAGCCTTGGTTACAGCTTATAGAATAGAGTACTTTTATTTAATAAATGAGACTTTCAAGATACAACTCAGCATATGATGGGGCAGGCTTTTTCACCCCCCCCCCCCCCGGGGGGGGGGGGGCGACATGTTCCCTTAACTGCATTTACCGTTTACCAGCTGGTAAATGTCTTATTATTCTAGCTATTAGAAATATTTCGCCGTTTCTGACTGGCTCCCAGCCGCCCCTCCCATCCCACTTCTAGCTAATTTCCTTATAGCCAAAATGGCCTTCATGGCTATCATCTGGATGGCCACAGAAGATGATGGCTATCCAAAGACAAAATAGCTTAATTTCCGGCTAAAACGGAATGGATGAAATGCAAGAATATGCTTTGGGAATTGTGGTTGCAGGCCCACCACATGACCAAGAGTTCATTCCCAAGCAATCCGTCTAAGTCTTTTAACCAGCCATTCCTTAAGGAATCTGCTGGAAATGTCTCCGAGGCATACAATGTTTTAGGTGCAATTTCAAACACTTACGCCTGCTTTACATGAGGAGGCAGTCACCAGGCCTCTAAATGCAATCGGGGAAGCTAATTGCCGCCGTACCTCACGCTCTGTCCATTCCAGTACAACTACCAACGCCAGTCAAAGTAAATATTTTACAGTTTTTTTAAATACCTAAATGGCTATCCGACCAAGTTGAAAGATTATCTTTGAAATGGATTTGAACATGGGTTTTGTCTTGATTATGTAGGGCCGCACAAGCTCTCCATGATTTGCAATACGAAACTCATATGCCACTCAACTAACCCTGCAGCCGTGAATGATAAACTGTCATAAGAGTAAAGAACAACTTTTTACGCATTTGTCCGTAAGGGAAATTTCTCCTAATTTACAACCTATGTTTTTTTCCCCATGGTGATTCTATTAACCTTTGCATTTCTCAAGATGCCGACCTCCACGATTAACTATGCATTGATGAGACGATGCGAATAGGCTTCATTATTAGGCGCACTCGAACCACTTCCTGATGCAGATGCGTGTAGTTAGGTCTTTTTATTAGAATTAAACTTATGATCGCATAGCTCGTTTGAAAATGTCTTATAGGTAATGAATGGCCAACGTCAAAACGTTAAGAGGTAAGAGTGCTGGACATAAATTCTGAGATCCCATGTTCAAGTCTTGTCATCGTACCTATTTGTCCCCGTATTTACCGTAAGTCAACTATTGATTGCCTGTGAGGGTGGCGTCATATACTCGACCCGGTGGTGATTTGAACGCCAATGCCGTCAGTTTAGGCTAAAGTCATCGTACTCGCTTGTCCTCCCAAAACCAACGGTCTCACGACAGCTTGAGATCGGCAGTACTTGCAGCGTAGCACCTTCAAATAATTCGTACGAAAACTCTTGTTCATCACGCCGTAAATGAAAGGATTCACCGCGCTGCTTAAAGTGGCCAAAAGCGTATAAAAAATGTACACATCAGTGGGGAAGATCCATCTTTGGAATGCATCGTCCAAAACGTTAACTGTTAAGACTGGAATCCAACAAAGATTAAAAAACACCACTACAACAAATATGGTGCGAGCCACTTTAACTTCTTCTACGTTTACAGAGCTTATCGGATTGCCTGGAAGATGAACATTTCTGTTGTGATTGCGAACTGTTGAGAAGATTCTCAAGTAGCAGTAAATAATAACACAGGTTGGGACACCTATGTAAAGCGGACTACCATAATACATGTATGTATTTTCTATGCCAAAGTAACAGAAGAACTTGGCAGGATGAAAGACCATTTTCCCCCCACTTAGCACGAAAGGCAATAGAGCACAAGAAGAAGAGAACCATGACACGAGAATCATGATGAGGGTTTTCTTCTTTGTGAAGTATCGTCGGTACTTTGCTGGTTTGACGATTTTATAATATCTGTTCACTGCCATTAAGACCAATGTGTGGATTGAAGCGAGAACCAATATGATAGATACGTAACCTTGAAATTGGCAAGCTGTATCGTTAAACAGCCAATGGGAAGTCACTAATGCTGGTACGCCAAAAGGCACTGAACTGCAAAGGCCTAATAATAAGTCAGAAATAGCGAGTGATGCTACGAACATGTTTGGAATTGTCCTCATCCGGGGATTTAACAACATAACAAGGAGTGTTAAACAGTTTCCAACAAACAAAAATAACAAAATGAGAAGGTATCCACCCAATAACGGAATAGCTTTGGCTTTGCTTCTTGATTGAAACTCTTTTAACATTTCTGCCAGTAGGTTCTCTGCCGTGTAGTTCATTTTTGTTGCGTGAAACAGTTCCTGGTAGATAGAAAAATATATACACAAAGTGTTAAACGAGGTCATTGAAGTCATTAAAAGAGGTGATATATTCTAGTATCCAGGGGGAAGGGAATATTCACACTTATTCAATTACAATACAACAACAATAACAAAAATCTAAAGAAGCAAAAACAGAGCTAACTATACATTGAATTAAACATAATAAAGGGAAAAAGTGTGTAGCAGAAAAAAGGAGCCCAGCTTTCGAGTTGGCTACTACCACAGAGCGGTTACAAGTGGGTGGAGGTTATAGAGTTTATACTATTACATGAGAAATTTCTGCAATTTGATTGGCTTAGAGCAGTAGTATTTCAGCTTAATTTGAAATGCCTACATGTGAAAATTACAACCTTTTGTGCGTAGTAGTATAAACAAATAGTAGCATGATTTGTACGCGATATTTGGCAAAAATATCACGAGTGATATTTCACAATTGTCTCAAATTTGATTACTTATAACAATTTTGAAATATCACTAGTGGTATTTATGCCAAATATCACTACTAATCATGCTATTACATATGCAAATAATACAGTAGAATAACAAGCAAAGTATTTCGTCCAAATATTACATTGAGCATTGAGGACATAAAACAACCACAGTTGATACTATATGCCTTTTGGATTTTTAAAAATTAAAATTATTACGTCAAATGGTGAAGAAAAAATTTGAATATTATTTCTTTATGAGCGTTAAATTTGAAATATCTGGTAAAAAGGTAACGTTAACATTATCCGACTATCCAATAAGAACCAGTGACATTTCTTAAGATTTACTAACAACATAATTGTTTACGAGTCTCTTGGCTCACAGCCACTTGGATTATATTTCTGTAAATCTTAAGGAGTGATTTTTGCAAAGTCTGCAAAGGTTAAACCCAGTCAGTCTCGAACTAAAGAAGCCATTTCTGAGTCACCCCAAGCCTCCTTTTTCAAAACGAGGGTGATTGCGAAGACACGTTTCTCCAGGTTAATCATTGTTTACAGTTTTCTTCTCGTTAGCTTTCGCTTCCTGTTCTCTAATCAAGTTGCAAAATTAAAAATGCCACTGAATATTGAAAGGGCATAGCACATTTACCTCTTCCAAAACTGTAAAACCGAAATACAAAATAAGTTTAAAATATGTAATGTTAAAAACTCCAACTTGTTTAGGAGAATACAGACTTTGAATAACCCTTTGTCACCCCAAAATTTCGCATTTTCAGAAGGGTGATATTTCCTTAGCTTTTAAATGCAAAGAGGGAAAACCTGCACAGACTGCTAAGTTTACACTGAAGCTCTTATAGTTACAAAGTCAATTTTCATTTGGAAGAAATTGCTTAATATATTTTGTTTACCGTTGGCTAAAAAACCGATCAGTCAGTTTCCTTTCCCACTGGTCAGGAACCGAAACAAGCTAGTTTATTAGAAGGTTTTTTAAACTAAAAACGTAAGATTCGTTGACACTTAAACTCATACTTTGGATTGGATTATTCTGGTCAAGAAAACAGTTTCGGAAATTTAGTGGTGGAAATTATGTTTTTTCCAAAAATTTGAATTCATTAAAATGAATGCTAGGCTGTTTGGCAGAAACGAGCGTGATATATATTTTAAGTCTATTACCGGTCTTATGCATAACCTTGAAATTTTGCAAGAAAATGAGCAAAAAATGTTAAAGAATGCACGTTTTTCGTTTCCTTTTCATTTCTTCATCGTAAAACCTGTGCTAAAGAGGGCCAGTCAAAAAATGTAAACAGTTAAAAATATTAAATTTCCAATCACGAAGGTTTGAAGTTCCTGAAAACAAATTTACAACCCACCAAAATTCTTTGGATACTGTTAGGCCCGGTTCAGACGACGAACTTTTTATGAGCCGAACCCAATTCGAATTAAGGCCGACCCAAATTATTTAGACCAGCTGAATTGATTCAGACGCCGATCTTAATAATTCCAGCCGAACTAAATTCAAATCGAGAAAAAGGCTCATTTCGGTCGGAACTACTTACAAAATACGTTAATCGTAATTTAGGCATTAGGTTCGGTACATGAAAAGTTCGGCGTCTAAATCAAAGCCGTTCCAAAGTCGATCCAAAGGGTTAAATTCTCGGCCGGGTCAGGCGAAAAGAACGGCTGATGGAGCCGTTCCATATTGAAACAGGCATTCCTAATTGATTCAGAGACCGAACTTTTCATGTACTTAATTCAATGTATTAGGTTCGGCTCATGACAAGTTCGGCGTCTGAACCGGGTCTTAAAAGGGAAAAAACGAAGCGGTTTTCTGTAGTCTGCAGAGAACGTTTGCAAATTATAATGGAAATGTTTCTGAAGGTACTAATTTATAAGCAAACAATCCCTCACAATTTGAAGACATCCTTTCAGTGCATTATGATCATTTAAGTTTCCCATTTTGACAAATAAAATTTTAAGGAAATGTTTTTGATAAATAAAACTGCCATTACAAATGATAGAATAATAAGAGTGTGTGGAGTAAAATTCTTACTGTGTCGTGTTCGTGTTTTTCCTGTTTGTGCACGATATAAAATTTGCACCTGTATTGTGAACAAAGTAAAAATGAAAAAAGCAAATTTCAGTTACCCGCTTTATGTCTTTCCTTTCAGGTTTTTCTAAACAACAGCTTGTTCGTGACAGAGTCCACCTCACTATTAGAGAAGCATCGGCTAAATAGGGCAAAACTAATTAAGCCGGAATTTTATTAAAACTGATCGAGCTAATCAGTTGTCTATCGCAAGTTGATGTATTTTGACAGAAATATCATCTTTCTATGCGCCAGCTGAAGGCCCATAAGGTTATCATCATTCAGCCTGTCCAATCAGCTCTGTTTTGCGCAGCCGTCCTGTTCATACAAAATTAGCTTGTCAAGCATGCCTTTGAGTTTTAGCTAGGCTACCTAGAGATTTCTCTTTTGCGACTTTAATTTTAAGCAAAGTGTCGAACGTAAAACGTTCAACTACAACCGGCGACGATATTATTGAGACGCTGTCGTCAAATAAGTAATATTTCGAAAACAATCAATTCCGACCCCTCCCTGTACTTTGTAATACATCAAAAGTTGATTGTTTGTTGTTTCTTACGGTTAGTTTGCACAGTGGCACAGCATTCATGATATTGTTTAGAGGGGAGGGGAAAGGGAAAAAAATCCCAAGCATAATTCGTCATAACCAACTATTGTCGACCTTGGAAGCATTTTGCGATATGTGAAAAAGGACGTCAATCGTGCAGCAAAATTGCCAGATAATTGAACCGTCAACCTACAATACTCGTCACAAATCGTTGAAACAGGAGCCATCTGTCTTGAATTTTCTCCAAATTTCTTACATTCACGCTTCACACCTTTGTTCTCACTCAAATCCCCAATGTTGAGCCGAGCGTATTTTGGAGCACTGAAATGACTGCAAACCCAAATCAACATTGGGGAGCGAAAAATGACACAAGTGTTTCAAGATTTTTGACGAGGATTGTAGAAGACCTGGAGAAGAGGTTGAGTTGTTTTGGTAGTGACTACAAAATGGTGGAACATTTCACTCGTTGGAAGTCGGCGAACTATTAGCTGAAAACATAGCAAGAACAGCAAGAAGACAACTCGATGGACGACATCTGCTATTTGGAGAATATTAATTTGCAGACCTAAACAACCCTTTATCTACTAAACTTGCTTTTAAAAATGCTCTATCGGAGATGAACTTTACATCGATGGAGGTAAGCATGTTTCAGCTTGGTTTTAAACTAGGCATTATTTTGAATTAATAATACAACAATTATTAAATTCGGCTTTCGTATCATCTGAAGAATAACGGAGATCTCAGAGAGTGTCATCCGCCTCGGCGTACGGCCTCGGCGGATGCACCTCCTTGATCTCCATAATTCTTCAGATGACCCTCAGCCTCATTCAATATTTGTTAATTATTGGCTAATATATACCTAGTGCTCACTACGTGCAGCGTTGCACCTTCAAATAATTCTTACGAAAACTCTCCTTTTATCAGGTCGTATCAGAGGATTCAAAGCGCTGCCTAAAGTGATCAAAAACGTATATGCCTTATGTGGAAACCTCAGGAGGTTAGATCCACGGTAAAAGCACCGCTATGATAAAAACGGTGCACCAACTTCCTTGCCAGAAAGATACAAATTGTTATTAGGACTACGAACGGCTTTTAAGATTCTCAGATAGCAACAGAAGATGGTGCAGTTGGAAACACGAGATAAAATGGTTGACCCTATAGGTCATGAATGCCAGCACTGTTTTTTATTGGATAATGACGGAACCATTCTGTTCCTCGCCAGAAAATATGACAATGACTGGCATGAAGACAATAATAAATGTAGCGGCGGTAATTTGCTAGTTTTACGATTCTGTAAAACCAGTTCAGCGCCATCAAGGCCATTTTGTGGATCGAAGCAGCAAACATGTATTATTTAGTAGCAAAATCCGCATTTGGGGTGTGACGGCTTATTATTAATCCTCTGGTCAACCTGCCTACAAAACCTCCTGTTGTCTTCTTGAATGAGAGGGCAAAAGGAGGCTCTGCTTAAATAGTGTCAAGCATTTGAAGTCGCTGACGTCCGAATTTCTGGAACTGGTTTTCCGAGTGTAAGCATTCGTTCATTGATAAACCGATCGTCATAACTTAGCAAGCTGTACCACGCGCACGACAGTAACCCTACGTTTGAAACTGATCCCAGCAACAAGCAGCACGTGCTGAACAAAGATCTACCCGATTCATGCAGAATAGGCTTCATTATTAGGCACACTCGAACAACTCCCTGATGCAGAAGTGCGTAGTTAGGTCTTTTTGGTATGATTAAACTTATGATCGTACAGCTCGTTTAACTGATCTTATGAGTAATGAATGGCCTACGTCAGAAGATTAAGAGGTAAGAGTGCTGGACATAAATTCTGACATCTGGTGTTCAAGTCCTGTAATCGTCGATCCCTAATTATCTGATTTGTTCCTGGATTTACCGTAAGTCAACTATTGATTGCTTATGAGCGTGGGGTCATATACATGTACTCGACCCGGTTGTGATTTGAAAGTCAATGTTTAGTAGAGAAAATACGTTTTTTCAGCTTTCAAATGTGAGACACAACCTAAATTATTAAGTAATTCACTTCCAACTGTATATTTTTAAGCGAAAGTCATCGTACTCGCTTGTCCTCACCGAACCAACGGTCCTACAACAACTTGAGATCGGCAGTACGTGCAGCGTAACAGCTTCAAATAATTCGTACAAAAACTCTTGTTCATCACGCCGTAAATTAAAGGATTCACCGCGCTGCTTAAAGTGGCCAAAAGCGTATAAAAAATGTAAACCTCAGTAGGGAAGATCCATCTTTGGAATGCATAGTCCAAAACATTAACTGTTAAGACTGGAATCCAACAAAGATTAAAAAAGACCACAACTACAAATATGGTGCGAGCCACTTTAACTTCTTCTACGTTTACCGAGCTTATCGGATTGTCTGGAAGATGAGCATTTCTGTTGTGATCGCGAACTGTTATGAAGATTCTTAAGTAGCAGTAGATAATAATACAGGTTGGGACACCTATGTAAAGCGGATTACCATAATGTATGGATGCGCTTTTTTCTATGCCAAGGTAACAGAAGAACTTGGCAGGATGAAAGACCATTTTTCTTCCACTTATCACGTGAGGCAATGGAGCACAAAAGGAAGAAAACCATGACACGAGAATCATGATGAGGGTTTTCTTCTTTGTGAAGTATCGTTGATACTTTGCTGGTTTGACGATTCTATAATATCTGTTCACTGCCATCAACACCAATGTTTGAATTGAAGCGACAACCAACATGATAGATACGTAACCTTGAAATTGGCAAGCTGTATCGTTAAACAGCCAATGGGAAGTTACTAATGCTGGAATGCCAAAAGGCACTGAACTGCAAAGGCCTAATAATAGGTCAGAAACAGCGAGTGATGCTACGAACATGTTTGGAATTGTTCTCATTCGTTGGTTTAATAACATAACAAGGAGCGTTAGAGAGTTTCCAACAAACAAAAGCAACAGAATCAGCACGTATCCACCTAATATCAGATCGCTTTGGCTTTGCTTCTTGATTGAAACTCTCTTAATATTTCTGCCAGTTGGTTCTCTGTAGAATTCGGCATTTTCTGTTGCGACAAACGGTTCCTGGTGGATAGAAAAGTACACGCAAAGGCGTAAACGACGGCTGTGGTGTCACTGAAAGAGCTGACCGAAGTTTTCTGTTGCGTTTAGGGCGGGGGAAGGTAGACTGTTCACAGTCACCTATTTTTCCGTAAGAGCGTCAACATCGAGCGCTTTGCGTTAGGGGCGGCCATCTTGGTCTCAAATGTACCTTATCACCTGAAATTTTGGCAACACTTCTATTTAGCGAATATAGAAAAAACACTTAATTAAAATGCACCTAAATTACAGTCACGGCAGGTCAAGCATACCCCAAGATTGCATTAATGAATCGATTATTTCAAAATGCATCCGTTAGTCTTTGCCGCAACCAATCTCAAATTCAGATCTGCATTCCTTCATGGGGAGATGACAAAATGCAAAGTCCTACTCTATTGAGTACCCTATGGAGTACCTAAAATGGACTACCCCTAAAAAACATGTGTTGGTCAAATAAAGATCAATAAATCACTTGCTCAACATGGTGAACCATTCAGATGTACATACTTCTATTTATTTTGAGATTGCCAGCTCTCCGATTGTTACTGACCGCCATCTTTAAAATTTTACAACAAACCGCTGACCACTTCAAAAGGAAGGCTTACCCATTATCCTCCGCTTGGCCAGGATCGGCTGGGATGTCAAGTATAGAAGATTTATCAAGCTCCGGGTGGGTACTTTTGAAACGTTTTTTTTTTTTTGCCTCTTCCTGTTGTAATCCATCCTCGGAGACCCAGGGGCAGATAAAGGGGGCGAGGGAAAGTCTAAACGGGCGGAAAAATATATATGGAACGAAGAAAAGTAAAGAACGGCGAGAACAGCCCCTGGGGACAATGTCTTACCAGACCAGTTCCAAACGGTCGCCGCCGTTCTGGCTTCTGACTGGTGCCAGAAAAAAACAAGTTTTCTGGCACCAATAAGAAGCCAGAACGGCGGCGACCGTTTGGAACTGGTCTGCTAAGACATTGTCCTCAGGGGCTCTTCTCACCTTTGTTTACTTTTCTTCGCGCCACATTTTCCCGCCCGTTTAGACTTTCCCTCGTCCCCACTATCTGCCCCTGGGTCTCCGAGGATGGTTGTAATCGATTGTGAGATCAAATTTAATAAAGTATATTTCAAAACGTTTTAGCTGAATTTTTTTGTTGTTATTGTGTTAACAAATAAGGAATGCCGCATCACTAATACTCACCTGGAAAAAGCTAGGTATAAGCTTACCAAAGTGCTCTAAACTACAATGAAAAATTTGGCTCTTTTGGCCTCTTGAAAAAGAAAACTCTCAACTCAAGGATAAAAGCCTTCTATGTGTGGTGGTCAGCGGTTTAATGTTAAATTTCAAAATGGCAGTCAATTGACCAATAAGCATTGTCTTTAGTTTATCTTGGGAGTTAAAGTGGCCACAAGAGAAACTGAAAACAATGCTTATGCAAAATTTTGGGGTGACAAACTAAGAGCATTATGGTATGTTATGGTATTTTCTGGAGTGGTCAATTACTGGTGGACTGCATCGAACTGGGACAATCGGAGAGCTGGCAAGCTCAAAACAAATAAAGGTATGTACATCTGAATGGTTCACTATTGTGAACAGAATAGAACTAGTGTTTATTTGACCAATACATGAGTTTTAGGGGTACTCCATGGAGTAGGGCTTCGCGTTTTCATATCTCCCTCCTGCATGCTTAATGAGCAGTGAATTTTTCACGATAACTCCTCTGTATTCGGTCAGATTGAAAAAATCTTTGATTGAATAGAATTGTTTCAACGACGTAGTTACATGAAATTCAAGAAAACTGTGCAGAAATGTCTCGAGTGTGAATTCACTGCTCATTACGTATGCAGGAGTCTAGAGTAGTTGAAACTGTAATCTACAACTTTCAAGGATTTAACCTTCGAATAATAAATTCATTAAAGCAATCTTGTGGGGTATGCTTGACCTGCCCTGACTGTAAGTGTCGCTAAATTTAAAACGTCGCTAACTTAAAGTGAGTACAATATGAAATTTCTCCATCTGGTCAGTTTCACACAGTCACGGTCGACTACAGGGTGTCCTAAAAGTTCGTTCCTCTACTTTATAAGTCTGTATTTCAGTACGATTGGACTTGGTAAGCAAATCATTGAAAAAAATTTGTCTTTCAGTCTAATTCACTATTTTCATACTTGTTGTAATATTTTTTGATTCGAATATTCGATTTGTGTAATTCCGCGCCAAAGGTGTTCGTGCGCGAGTACATTTTCCAGCCACATATGTTTTGTATTTTATGGCCCAAATTGCTCGAACGCCTTCCTTGCTTTTTGTGAATGTCACGAAAGATAAATACCCTTAACGCAAAAACGTTCAGCTATTTTCGGGGGATGAGCTTGTATATTTCGATTTACTGGCTTATCTGTCGTAGAAACTGCTAAAAACTGGAAAAACACCGAATGTTGGGTGGTAAAATGATCATGAAGGAATGAAGGTTTTCAGTGAAGGCAAGAAATGAAGGGGGAGACCAAACTCCTGAATAAAGCAGCCAAACAGTTTTAAAGAAAAGCTAGATACAAAAAAGGAGACTCGACGAGAAAGCTCTCACATAGTTAGCAAGCCAAGTCCAGAAAGGGTCAAGAAAAGCTGTTTAAAATGTTTAAAATTAGAGACCCCTGAGGTGGCAAAAAAAACCTCTCTGCTTAGTCTGCCAAGTAACGCCCAGCTCGTCTCAAGTTGTAGAGAAGTACGAAACCTTGCTGTGGAAGGAATCCGGGATGATTATCATTTTTGGATGAATGCCCAAAATCTATTTTTTCCAGCTGCCTAAACTAAACAAATATTGGTTGGGGGGTTGAACTAGCTCTTGCGTACCAGGTGATAAAAAAGCTCAAAACGGCTCATTTGCGGGTCTACACGCTGTATCCCACTTCGTGCCGCAACAGCTAAAGAATGTGATAAAAAATCAAAAAGGGCATGCCAGTTACTGAAATTCTGAATACATGTACTCAACAGAGAAATAAGCATCTTCTAGCAATTTCATGTAAAAATAAAGTTTTGATCAAAAGTCATGGTGCATGAATTTAGAGGAACGAACTTTGGGACACCCTGTATAGTGTGTATCATTGACTTTGTGTGACAATGTACCTTAAAAATGAGTGAGGACAGCATTAAGATATGTCATTGCAATTGCACTTTAATTTGATTGTTTCGTTCAAAACAAAGTTTCAGAACGTTGTGTGATTTTGATTTAAATTAAACTATTGACGTTTATGATTTTATCACATAAATCAGTGCTCTATTGTCGTTCCAAAATTTACGAAAAATGGCAAAATTAAAGTGCCGTTAAACTGAAGGATTTTTCAAAATCGCTCATTGAACGTGCATGTCGCCAAACTTTCTTGTAATAAGGTACCGATTCTAGCCTGAGATGAGTGTCAAATGTACTTACGTGGCGGCCCCTTCCCTTCGGTACATTTAAAATCATATGGCCGCCCCATAACGCATAGTGCTCGATCTACGTAGATGGTCTTACGGAAAAATAGGGGACTGTGAACAGTTTGATGAGCAGTTTGGAAGAACGGACTGGCAGGGTACATCCAAATTTGAGGCACTACTGAGTTCCTCTTGAAACGAAAACGTGGCAAGGAAACCCGGTTTATTACATAAACTACAAACAGTGCTTTACTGTTTTTTTCTGCCACTGAAAAAATATCGGGTCTCAAACAAATGTAGAAAAAGGCTATTTTATAAATGTGTTATTTTAGGCCATCAGTGATCTTCTTGTATTACTATAACAATCGTCGTTTGATTAGAATCACTAGGAAAAATAATATTCCGTCTTAATACTGCATTAAAGCTAAAAATAACCACATTTGATACGTGGCTATATCATACAAAAAGGGGGGGGGGGGAAGTTGTAGTTTAGTTACCTGTGGTTCTTTTAGACTTCAAAGAGGTACCAGGAACCCTTGTAGATTGAAAGGAAATTTTCATAAAACTGAGGTCAGAGATAGGCTAATGCCAGCTGCCCTTTATTTATATTCTATCCACGAGCTCAGTTTTTATGTCTTATGTCGAAACAGGGGGCAGGTGTTTTCAGTTTGTGACAAGTGAAAAGGATTCTGCCACGAGCAGAAAAATTTAAACAAATAAAGGAAGTAATTAAATAATTTCTTGCACTCAATAAACCATTAAAAAAAAATTCAAAAGTGGAATATTTCAACAGCGACAAGAAAGGAATGATATCACGTTCATTAGGGTTTCTAGACCGCTCAAAATAGCAACCATTGGCCCCGTGGGCCAGCCCTACGTGATGTACTTTAGACCCGTTTATCAATAGTTATATTGTAGCAATAGGCCATTTGCATGATGGCGTCATTTTATTACTATGACCACCAGGATCATTCAGGGCTTTTGTCTCATGTGCAAATAAGGGCTTTTGATATTTAAACCTCACCGGGGCTACCAAATTTAAATATGAAAAGAAAAACGAAAAGAATTCTGGTCGTAGTAGTCTGAAAATGATGCCATTGTGCAAATTGCCTGTTTCAATACAGTTACATTGTAGCAATAGCGCTTTGCACTATTATTAAAATTAGGTTTACCCTAGACCCCCGCCTGACTCAGACAAACTTTGCATTCTAATCAAAGGCTTTGTATGAGCAACATGCGTTTCCGACATGAAAACTGGTTATAAAATTCGCAGTGAGCGTCTTTAAAAAGTATTTTGAGCTTTATTCTAATATATAAAAAGCAATACTGCTATAGGGAGCAAAACCTGGGCCAAGTAACTAACATAAATGGTTTAAGTCAGAAAATGAAGCGACTTGATCAAATAAGGCTGCTGAAATCGGATCCCAAGCTGTATCAGTCAGATGGTACTCTTGTACAATGAAACATGACATGACATTATTTCTGGCTATGTAATACTCCAGAACCGAAATTGCTAAAGAGAAAATCGAGTGTTTTGTGCTTCTCGCAAGCCTGTGGCAGAATTTCTAAGCTGAAAAGCACACCAACATTAGCACAAACTGGAAATTGTATAAGAGTTTGTTCTGTTGTTGTGCGGCCAGGTAGGAACCATAGAGAGTAGTTTTATATCCTATAGTACTAAGTAGCGTAACATAAGCACTCGAAAAAAAATTGGTCAACCTTTGCCTATAAATTTAAACTAATGCACCATTTTATGACCAGATGGCGGGAAATGGTTATAAACAACGACGCCCCCTCCCCCCCGGCCCCCTTCCCTTCCGTACATTTAAAATCATATGGCCGCCCCATAACGCATAGTGCTCGATCTACGTAGATGGTCTTACGGAAAAATAGGGGACTGTGAACAGTTTGATGAGCAGTTTGGAAGAACGGACTGGCAGGGGACATCCAAATTTAGGGCACTACTGAGTTCCTCTTGAAACGAAAACGTGGCAAGGGAACCCGGTTTACCACATAAACTGCAAACAATACTTAACTGTTTTTTCTGGCACTGAAAAAATATCGGGTCTCAAACAAATGTAGAAAAAGGCTATTTTATGCATGTGTTATTTTAGGCAATCAGTGATCTACTTGTATTACTATAACAATCGTCGTTTGATTAGAATCACTAGGAAAATAATATTCCGTCTTAATACAGCATTAAAGCTAAAAATAACCACAGTTGATATCTGGATATATCATACAAAAAGGGGGAAAAAGTTGTCATTTAGTTACCTGTGGTTCTTTTAGACTTCAAAGAGGCACCAGGAACCCTTGTAGATTGAAAGGAAAACTGAGCTCAGGGATAGGCTAATGCCAGCTGCCCTTATTCATATTCTATCCACGAGCTCAGTTTTTATGTCTTATGTCTAAACAAGGGGCAGGTGTTCTCAGTTCGTGACAACTGAAAAGGATTCTGCCACGGGCAGAAAAATATAAACAAATAAAGGAAGTAATTAAATAATTTCTTGCACTCAATAAACCATAAAAAAAAATTCCAAAAGTGGAATATTTCAGCAGCGACAAGGAAGAAATGATATCACGTTCATTAGGGTTTCTAGACCGCTCAAAATAGCAACCATTGGCCCCGTGGGGCAGCGCTACGTGATGTACTTTAGACCCGTTTATCAATAGTTACTTTGTAGCAATAGGCCATTTGCATGATGGCGTCATTTTACTACTATGACCACCAGGATCATTCAGGGTTTTTCTCTCATGTGAAAATTGGGGCTGTTGTTATTTAAACCTCACCGGGGCTACCAAATTTAAATATGAAAAGAAAAACGAAAAGAATTCTGGTCGTAGTAGTCTGAAAATGACGCCATTGTGCAAATGGCCTATTACAATATAGTTACATTGTAGCAATAGCGCTTTGCACTATTATTAAAATTAGGTTTACCTTAGACCCCCGCCTGACTCAGACAAACTTTGCATTCTAATCAAAGGCTTTGTATGAGCAACATGCGTTTCCGACATGAAAACTGGTTATAAAATTCGCAGTGAGCGTCTTTAAAAAGTATTTTGAGCTTTATTCTAATATATAAAAAGCAATACTGCTATAGGGAGCAAAACCTGGGCCAAGTAACTAACATAAATGGTTTAAGTCAGAAAATGAAGCGACTTGATCAAATAAGGCTGCTGAAATCGGATCCCAAGCTGTATCAGTCAGATGGTACTCTTGTACAAAGAAACACGACATGACATTATTTCTGGCTATGTAATACTCCAGAACCGAAATTACTAAAGAGAAAATCGAGTGTTTTGTGCTTCTCGCAAGCCTGTGGCAGAATTTCTAAGCTGAAAAGCACACCAACATTAGCACAAACTGGAAATTGTATAAGAGTTTGTTCTGTTGTTGAGCGGCCAGGTAGGAACCATAGAGAGTAGTTTTATATCCTATAGTACTAAGTAGCGTAACATAAGCACTCGAAAAAAAATTGGTCAACCTTTGCCTATAAATTTAAACTAATGCACAATTTTATGACAAGATGGCGGGAAATGGTTATAAACAACGACGCCCCCTCCCCCCCCGGCCCCCTTTTTTTTACCATAAAAATCTTCAAAGAAGACGACAATTTGTTGGCGAACGTGACTTTCCCATACAAAACTCTTAGGGTCCGTTCCTTTGGGATGATCCGAATCAGGTTCAGTGATCCCAGATCACTTGGATCCTGGTAGATCAAATGAACCGATGAATCCACTCGGGACAAGGATTCATCGGTTCATTTGACCTACCATGATCCGAGTGATCTCGGATTACTGATCCTGATCCGGATCATCCCAAAGGAACGTACCCTTACACTGGCCAGGTTCAATGTCTGAGTCACAGCAGCGGCCAGAAATGCGTGTCGTCATTAGTACAAAGCGTTATTGTCATCACTATCTAGAGACAAATTAGTTCGCCTTTTCTGAATGGTTACATCAGTGAATTCTGCATTCATGTCTCCTTTGCAGCGATATATATCTAGTAATTACAAGTATTATTCAATCCTGCTCATAATGGCTTACACCTCAGACATTGACTCGCTATAAATCTCTGGTCGACCTACAGATAGTCCGGTCAGACCCAGCAGCGCTGGCGAGATGGGCTAGGCACAAGAGGTCGTTCAGTTTGCGTTGCTGGTCGTAGGCTTCAGCTCGTAGTGCTGCCGCTGTAACGCGTTGCTGGCCTAGGTTACGGTTCGTAGCACTCTAGTTTTCTTCTGATCGTTCAATAATCTTCTCGGAAGTGGCTCGTTGCCAGCCTAGGTGTGTGCTGCCGCTGCAGCGCGTTGTTGGCCCGGGTATGGGGAGGGGGTACTGCTGATTGCAAGTGACGGGGATGATCAAATGGGGGCAAAAATCAAAACCCCTAATCCTTCCAACAAAACCCTCCAAAAAAAAACCTTGGACGAAAAACTAATCCCCTAAAAATCCCCTGCCGAATTTCCTCGCAGGGATACCCAGTCACTACCACGAATCTTTAGATCGTTTTGAATCTCTCAAAAGATCCCTACTTAAATTAAGCCACCCTAAAAAATATTTGCCAAATCTTCTTACCCCAAAAATCCCGCAATTGAAAATTGTAAACCTATGCAAAAAAAAAAATCCTTCGATTATCCCCGACATTTGAAATCTGGGTACCCATCCTGGCCAGCTCTTAGTGTCAGGAAAGTGAGGCTTTAAAATGGTCACGCAATAGAAGTAAACAGTTACCTGCATGCCACTTCCAGCGTCATGCGCCGGTACCCTTAACTAAAATTAGACCAAAGCTACACAAAAAACTGTCTCGAATCTGAGCGCGTTTCCTAAAATGTTTGCTTGAATATTTCGGTGCCAGACACAAGCATTTTTGTGCTTCAAAGTTAGCCATTTAGAAGAAGAAATTATACGGCCATAGCATGTTCACACAGAAAAAAGGATTTAATTCTTGCCATATTTACGCTTCATACGTTTAGCATACGGTTAAGTTTCGAGAAAAACGCGTACCCGTCATTTTTTAATTCTGTTGAAGGATAAAATCCGATACCGCTAACAACTATTCGCAGTGCTTTTTTAAGAAGTGTCAAGAGAATTGTGTTTCCTTTTTGGGATTTATTTTAAGTTATTGAAAATGACTAAAACATATTCAGTTGAGGAAAAGTGATCATCAAGGCCTACGTTCCTTTTTCTTTTCGTACATCGCCACTGGTAATTTCGCTTTCCCTTCCATTTGATGTGTAAGGAAGAAGGCGACAAAGCCAACGGGTCAACCCGACGACGCGATCATCTGAACAGCGAAAGGTTTTTCATCACAAATAGCATGATCTCATCATTTTTTTTTTGATAATCAACTAAAAAGCAAGACTGGTTATTTTGTTAAAGTGATCAGCTAGTACCCGTTAAAGTTTCCACAACAATACTGTTCAGCCAACAATTTGCAGTGACCAGTAGCAACTTTAATTCGCATTTGACTGTACAACATGCAATGGCCGCGGTTCCATACCCATAACAGCCGCCCTTTCACGCATGGCCAACGGTACCAAAACAGCTTGAGATCGGCAGCACGTGCAGTGCAGCAACTTCGAATAATTAGTACGAAAACTATTGTTCAGCACCCCGTAAACTAAAGGATTCTGAAAGTGCCGCTAATAGTGAAAAAAGGCGTATATGAAATGTGCTAAACATCAGAAGGGAAGATCCATCCTTGGAAAATTTTGTCCGCAACGTCAATTGTTAAAACTTGAATCCAACTCAGATTTTGAAAGAGATATATGTCATAGTCGGCACGCCACTCAAATAACCAGAAACAAATAATCCAAATAGAAAATAACAGCAATAAAAACCCCTAATGGCAGGAGGCAATTCCAGTTGGCTTTACGAGCTTGGCCAAGGATCTGAACTGAGGAAGACCGAGAACAATTCCAGCAAGTGATAAGAGCGGGGCTCGATCAAACCCGGGACCGCCGGATTGAGAGACCGAGGCGCCGGTCACTCGGCCACCCTGCATCTCGTGACGTCAACTTTCACGTTTCAGGTAAGAGTTATTGAACATGGCACAGCCTAAATTATTGAGTAATCCGATTCAACCTGGATATTGTTTCGCAGTGGCTCCTTGCCCACAACACTAACTATTCCTTGCAAAGCCAACGGTTCTACTACACCTTGAGAACGGCAATGCCTGCAGCACAGCACCTTAAGATAATCCTTGCGAAAACTTTTGTTAAGCACACCATATATCAGAGGATTCAAAGCACTGCTGAAAACGGCCAAAAAACTATATGCTAGGTAGGCCTCGCGAGGGAAGATCCATTTTTCATTGATGGTGTCCACTAGATCAATAACCATAACTGGAGCCCAACATAGATTGAAAAACACCACTGTTATAAATAGCGTGCGCGCAACCTTTACTTCTTCCACGTTTATCGTGTTTACTGGGTTGCCAGGGAGACGAAAGTTGTTATTATGGTGGCGAACTGTCTTGAAGATTCTAAAGTAGCAGTAAAGAATGATGGCACATGAAATCCCCAAACACACTGTGCCCGAAATTCCCACAACCGCAATGATTTTAGGAACGCAGAAGAGCTTAAAAGGATGGAAAACCATTTTGTGGCCACTCAAGAAATATGGCAATGGAGCACTTAGTGACGACAACCAGGACACAAGAATCATTATCGTGGTTTTCTTCTTTGTGAAGTAACGACGATATTTTGCCGGTTGGACTATTCTATAGTACCGGTTCACTGCCATCAGGACCAATGTGTGAATTGAAGCCACTGCTAATGTGATAGCTATATACCCTTGGAACTGGCAAAAGGTATCGTTAAATGGGTCACTAGAAGTCACCAATACAGGAAGAGCTGAAGGACCCGCGCCCAGAACTCCTATGAGTAAATCTGAAAGAGCGAGTGATGCCACGAACATGTTTGGAATTGTTCGCATCCGTCGGTTTAACAACATAACCAGTAGTGTTATGAAGTTTCCAACCAATAAAAACAATAAAATAAGCCATAAAAAACCCGATTCCAGAATAAGTTTTGCTCTGCTTCTTGATTCTAAGTCTCTTGACATATCTGCCAGTTGATCCTGTGTAGAAATCATCTTTTCTGTTCCTTCAGGTCCAGCTATAAATAGAACATATGCACAGGGCATTACACGGTGTTACATGTCTAATACTACACAGTGGCGCATCAAGGGGACGGAGACCGGGGGACCCACCTTGTTGTTATGCCAAACCGAAGCCGAAATCAGTTTCGATGAAGGTCCCTCCCTTTCCTTAGAGTCTGGATAGGGTCTGGATGAATTCAAAATTTTTACGAATTTATGTGCTTTGATTGACCCTTTGCCAATCCAAAATTGTAATTTGCATTTTCTGGTGGCTGATCACTATTAATGCAAAGAGCAAAAAACTGCACAGGCTGCTATTAAGTTTAACAAACTCTTTTACCTGCGAAAGTCAATTTTCTTTTGGAAGAAATCGGCTTATTTTCAATTCACACACCAGAATTTTGTTTACCGTCTGCTAAAGAAACAGTCAGTTTCCCCTTGCCACTAGTCAGGAACCAAAATAACAATGCCGGTTTATTAAAAGATTTTATTAACTTAAAACTTAAGATTCCTCGACTCTAAAACTCATACTTTGAGTCAAGAAGACAGGTCCGCAAATTTGCCTCTGTAAATTATAAATTATTAAGAAAACATTGAATTAAAAACCTTTGAATGCAGAGGTCCACTCAACGCGTAAATAGAACCGACTGGTTCTTTCTCGCCGGATGTCTAATGAAGAGGTGCTAATGCCTAACGTCACTTGAAGTGGGTCGGTCAAACAAAACCGAAAGTAAGGCTGGCAATACGGCAAAGGGCTGATTTATTGAGGCCAATATTTCGGCTAACAAAATTAGCCTTCCTCAAGGCCAGAGCTACATTGAATTAACTGTTTGGCAAAAGAGAACTTATTCTGAATCATATTTTAAACCAGAAGTTTTTACGTGTTATGCAAAACCATAAAGTCGTGCAAGAAAATGAGAAAAGAACGTTAAAGAATGGTTCTCGTTTAACTTCGTCAAGCTCTAACTAAAACACTTGAAGTTTTTCTTTCTCTAATTTTCTTTCTTTCTTATTTATTTTCATTGTAACACCTGTACTAAAATGGGACAGTCAAACAATGTAAGCAGGAAAGAATGTTAAATTTCCAACCACGACAGTTTGAAGTTCCTGAATTAAATTCTAAATTCTTTGGAAAATGTTATTATTCAAGTTAAAAGGGAAACAACAAAGCGGTTTCTGAATTACGCAAAGAACGTTTACAAATGCAGAAAAAGGTTCTGTAGGTACTAATTCATAAGTGCACAATCCCTCACAATTTTAACTCATCATCTCAGTACATCATACACGTAGGTTCCGATTTTCACAATTAAACTTTTAAAGGAATGATTAATGAAAGTGCCATCACAAACGATAGTATGAAAATGTGTGGAGTAAAATTCTACTGTGTATGTTGAGGCCCAATGTGCATGTTGTGTTTTGTGCATGGTATAATATTTGCACCAGTATTATGTACAAAGTAAAAATGAAAAAAGAAAATTTCAGTTACCTGCTTTATCTCGGTCCTTTCAGGTTTTTCTAAACAACAGCTTGTTAATGACAGAGTCCACCCCACTATTAAAGAAGCACCGGCTAAGTAGGGCAAAACTAAGCCGGAATTTAAAGCTGATCGAGCTAATATCGTCGACCGCAAGTTGACGCATTTGACAGACCCGCACCGTAATAAATGCATCATCATGCCTTATCATCTTTCTATGCGCCAGCTGCAGGCTCGTAAGGTTATCATCCAGTCTGTCCAATCAGTTCTGTTTTGTGCAGCTGTTCTGTTCAAAACAAAATTAGCTCGTCAAGCATGCCTTTCGTTTTAGCTAGGCTATCTAGAGATTTCTCTTTTGCGACTTTAATCTCAAGCAAAGTGTCGAGCGCAAAACGTTTAACTACAACCGGCGACAAAATTGAGACGCTGTCGTCAAATGAGAAATATTTCGAAAAATATCCATAACTCTGGAGCCCTCTCTCTATTTTGTAAGACATCAAAAGTTGATTACTTGTTGTTTCTTACAGGTAGCTTACATTAGTTATTGGCTAATACATACCTAGCGCTTACTATGTGCAGCGTTGCACCTTCAAATAATTCTTACGAAAACTCTCCTTTTATCACGTCGCATCAGAGGATTCAAAGCGCTGCTTAAAGGATCAAAAATGATATGCCAATATGGAAACCTCCGGAGGTTAAATCCATGCTAAAAAATTGTTATTAAGACTACGAACGGTTTTTTAGATTCTAAGATAGACATAGAAAATGGTGCAGTTTGGAAACACAAGATAAAATGGTTGATCATATAGGTAATGAATGCCAGCACTGTTTTGGTTGGATAATGACGGAACCATTCTGTTCCCAGCTAGAAAATATGGCAATGACGGGCATGAATAAGGCCACGACACAAGACTCATCAGTAGAGTTTTCTTCCTGGTAATAAAGTAGCGGCGGTAATTTACTAGTTTTAGGATTCTATAAAACCTGTTCAGCGCCATCAAGGCCATTGTGTGGATCGAAGCAGCAAGCATGTACTAGTGGCAAAATCGGCATTTGGGGTATGATGGCTTATTACTAATCCCCTGGTCAACCTGCCGGCAAAGCCTTCTTTTGTCTTATTGAGTGAGAGGGCAAGAGGAGTGTCTGCCTAAATCGTGTCAAGCCTTTGAAGTCACTGACTCCCGAATTTCTGGAACTGGTTTTCTGAGTGTGAGCTTCCGTTCATTCAACCAATGGTCATACCTGAGCAAGCTGTACCACGCGCACGGCTAGTAAGCCTACGTTTAAAACTTATCCCAGCAAAAAGCACGACGTGCTGAACAAAGATCTACCCGATTCATGCAGAATAGGCTTCATTATTAGGCGTACTCGAACCAATCCCTAATGCAGAAGCGCGTAGTTAGATCTTTTCGGTGTGATTAAACTTACGATCGTACAGCTCGTTTAGCAGTATCTTATGGGTAATGAATGGCCAACGTCAAAAGGTTAAGAGGTAAGAGTGCTGGACATAAATTCTGAGATTCCGTGTTCACGTCCTGTCATGGTCCCTAATTACCTGATTTGTTCCCATATTTACCGTAAGTCAACTATTGATTGCCTGTGACCGTAGGGTCATATACTCGACCCGGTGGTGATTTGAAAGCCAATGCCGTCAAGAGAGAAAATACGTTTTTTCAACTTTCAAATGTCAGACACAACCTAAATTATTAGGTAATTCACTTCCAACTGTATATTTTTAAGCGAAAGTCATCGTATTCGCTTGTCCTTACCGAGCCAATGGTCCTACAACAACTTGAGATCGGCAGTACGTGCAGCGTAACAGCTTCAAATAATTCGTACGAAAACTTTTTTTTATCACGCCGTAAATTAAAGGATTCACCGCGCTGCTAAAAGTGGGCAAAAGCGTATAAAAAATGTAAACCTCAGTAGGGAAGATCCATCTTTGGAATGCATAGTCCAAAACGTTAACTGTTAAGACTGGAATCCAACAAAGATTAAAAAACACCACTACTACAAATATGGTGCGAGCCACTTTAACTTCTTCTACGTTTACAGAGCTTATCGGATTGTTGGGAGGATGAGCATTTCTGTTGTGATCGCGAACTGTTATGAAGATTGTTAAGTAGCAGTAGATAATAACATAGGTTGGGACACCTATGTAAAGCGGATTACCATAATGTATGGATGCGCTTTTTCCTATGCCAAGGTAACAGAAGAACTTGGCAGGATGAAAGACCATTTTTCTTCCACTTATCACGTGAGGCAATGGAGCACAAAAAGAAGAGAACCACGACACAAGAATCATGGTGAGGGTTTTCTTCTTTGTGAAGTAGCGTCGGTACTTTGCTGGTTTGACGATTCTATAATATCTGTTTACTGCCATCAACACCAATGTGTGAATTGAAGCGACAACCAACATGATAGATACGTAACCTTGAAATTGGCAAGCTGTATCGTTAAACAGCCAATGGGAAGTCACTAATGCTGGAATGCCAAAAGGCACTGAACTGCAAAGGCCTAATAATAGGTCAGAAACAGCGAGTGATGCTACGAACATGTTTGGAATTGTTCTCATCCGTTGGCTTAATAACATAACAAGGAGCGTTAGAGAGTTTCCAACAAACAAAAGCAACAGAATCAGCACGTATCCACCTAATATCAGAACAGCTTTGGCTTTGCTTCTTGATTGAAACTCTCTTAACATTTCTGCTAGTTGGTTCCCTGTGGAATTGGGCATTTTCTGTTGCGACAAACGGTTCCTGGTGGATAGAAAAGTACACGCAATGGGGTAAACGACGGCTGTGGTGTCACAGAAAGAGCTGTTCGAAGTTTTCTGTTGCGTTTAGGGCGGGGGAAGGTAGACTGTTCACAGTCCCCTATTTTTCCGTGAGACCGTCAAGATCGAGCGCTTTGCGTTAGGGGCGGCCATCTTGGTCTTAAATGTACCTTATCACATGAAATTTTGGCGGCACTTTAATTTAGCCAATATAGTAAAATCACTTAATTAAAATGTACCTTAATTACAGTCACGACAGGCCAAGCATACTCCCCGCCCCCCCAAGATTGCATTAATGAATCGATTATTTCAAAATGCATCCGTTAGTCTTTGCCCCAACCAATGTCAAATTCAAATCTGCATTCCTTCATGGGGAGATGACAAAACGCGAAGCCCTACTCCATTGAGTACCCTATGGAGTACCTAAAATGGACTACCCCTAAAAAACATGTGTTGGTCAAATAAAGATTAATAAATCACTTCATCAACATGGTGAACCATTCAGATATACATACCTAACCATTACGGCCAACAGTACAACAACCCCACGCCGCAGGTCACCATTCAGATATACATACCTAACCATTACGGCCAACAGTACAACAACCCCACGCCGCAGGTCACCCCGACTTCGCAAAAGGCCCAAAGGGGCGAGGAAGGATGCTTCGTTTTCCTGTCAGTCACGCCAGACGATGTGCGAAAAGTGATATTAGACATGCCTGCTAATAACGCTCCGGGCTTTGATAAAGTTCCCATTTCGGTGGTTGAGGACTGCCTTGAGCACATTCTCCCAACGCCGACTGACCTAATGAATCACTCTTTCTCAAGTTTCGTTTTTCCGCGAGCGTGGAGAAAGGGTGAAGTAGTCCCACACCCAAAAGAGGGCGACCATGAGGTGGCGAATAACAACCGTCCCGTCTCGCTACTACCAGTCTTCTCTAAGGTAGCGGAGAGGATTGCTATGCGTCAGTTCAATGACTACCTGACATTGCATAACCCATTGACGAGACGTCAAAACGGAAATCGATCTCTGCACTTCACGGAAACGTTGAGCCTGTTAGTAGCGGACGACATCTTTAGAGCGATGGATAGCAGGCAAATAACGGCAATGGTTCTAATAGACTTGAGTAAAGCTTTTGACAGTCTCTGTCATTCTACCCGACTCAGCAAACTCCAACTGCTTGGCACCTCAGAGAAGGCACTCCTCTGGTTTAAGAGCTATCTGTCAGACAGACAGCAGTGTACTCGAATTGGAACATCATTGTTGGATCCCCTAACGATAACTCACGGGTTACCTCAGGGGTCGATATTAGGCCCGATGCTGTTTACACTCTATATGAATGACCTTCCTACGGTAACTAAGTTTAGTAACATCGAATCCTATGTAGACGACAATAATATTTACTTTTATAAAATAACTAAGATTGTACGCGCGCTCTGATTGGCTGAGAGGAATGTTTGCATGAGAGTATGTAAACATGGTTGTGGCGTCAAGATGTTTTGCTTTTCGCGCGCTAATCACGCAAGCACGAATTTGAAAAAGTTTTCAAGTTCAAAACTCAACAATGTCCCTTTATTTACCCATTCCTTCGTCGACTGAAACTTGGAAAATCGTTACAAAGAAAGTGTGTCAATTTTTTTTCGCTTAAGCTAACATTTTAAGCGAGAAAAGTCCGTATTTTGGATAGCATCTTTTTGCAAAACAAGAACTGATTACGCGTGCAAGACTTCGTGGACAAGACTTTGCGACTGGTAAGAATTTCTCTTTTAATCAGTGCCATACAAAGAGTTTTGCGTTTTTTCTCGGGAAATTTATTTTATAAAAGCAATAGAAAACTTTTTTTTCCTGTGTTTGCATAGCCTGATATAAACACTCGAGGCGTTGGGAGAATTCTCGACAGTTATGCAAACCCTAGACTTCGTCTCGGGTTTGCATAACTGTCTCGAATTCTCCCAACCCCTCTCGTATTTATATCAGGCTATGCAAACACGGAAAACGTTTTCTATTGCTTAAATCTCGTGCGTTTAAAGATTTCCACTCTTGTATGCAACAAGTCTCCGAGGATCTTGAAAGTATTGCTGGCTGGTGCTGCGCAAATCACCTGCTTATAAACCCGGATAAAACTAAACTTGTGCTCTTTGGAACACGGCAACTTGTATCAAAGCTACTTGATGTCATTGTATCTTTCCTTGGACAACAACTATGCTCTGTCTCGTCCGCCAAAGATCTGGGTGTTACCCTGGACTCTAGCTTAACATTCAATAATCACATCTCATCATTATCGTCATCTTTGCTATCTAGTTTGTGTCAAATAAGTAGGGTCCGCCACCTGTTTTCCAAAGACGTTTTGTATATAATGATCAACTCTGTTGTGTTCTTTTACTGTTCCGCTGTATTGTCTGGTACTTATAAACAGAACATCCATAAACTACAACTCATGCAGAACTTTGCTGCCCGTATACTAACTGACACAGGGAAATACGATCATATTACCCCAGCCCTGAAAGCTCTTGGCTGGCTGACTACAGAGGAGCAACTTTGGTTGCGGGACGTGACAATGATGTATAAATGTGTTAACAATTTAGTGCCAGCATATATTAGCTGTAAAATAGGGAAGCGATCCAATGCGCACGCTTACAATCTCCGCAACAGTGAAGATCTAAACCTGCCAGGATGCCGGACAGCGGCTGCCCAGAGTGGCTTCTTTTATAGGGCAGCAAAAGCGTGGAATAGTCTCAGTAACAACACTAGAACTGCCCGATCATTAAGATCATTTAAAAAGCATGCAAAGGCAGAATTAATGAAGAAATAGGATACCGGTATACATATCATAGTATCTTATTACATTGTTAGTTATTATTAGAAGTAGTAATTTTAGGTTGTTATTTATATATCAAGAACATGTATATCATTAGTTTTAGTTGTATTATTTATACATATTGTAAATTAATTCTGAAAAGCCCCTCGGGGAGAATTAATAAAAGTATTGCATTGTATTGTATTGTATTGTAACTTTATTTATTTTGAGATTGCCAGCTCTCCGATTGTTACTGACCGCCATCTTTAAAATTTTACAACAAACCGCTGACCACTTCAAACGGAAGGCTTACCCATTATCCTCCGCTTGGCCAGGATCGGCTGGGATGTCAAGCATAGAAGATTTATCAAGCTCCGGGTGGGTACTTTTGAAACGTTTTTTTTTTTTTTTTGCCTCTTCCTGTTGTAATCGATTGTGAGGTCAAATTTAATAAAGTATATTTCAAAACTTTTTAGCTGAATTTTTTTGTTGTTATTGTGCTAACAAATAAAGAAGGCTGCATCACTAATACGCGCTTTGAAAAAGCTAGGTACGCTTCGCAAAGTCCCTTGAATTACAATGAAAAATCTGGCTCTTTTGGCCTCTTGAAAAAGAAAACTGTCACTCAAGGATAAAAGCCTTCCATTTGAGGTGGTCAGCGGTTTAATGTTAAATTTCAAGATGGCAGTCAATTAATCGTGGACTGCATCGAACTGGGACAATCGGAGAGCTGGCAAGCTCAAATAATAAAGGTATGTACATCTGAATGGTTCACCATGTTAATAAAGTGTTTTACTTGACCAATCCATGAGTTTTAGGGGCACTCCATTTTAGGTATGCCATACTAGGGTTCTCCATGGAGTGGGGCTTCGCGTTTTCATATCTCCCTCCTGCATGCGTAATGAGCAGTGAATTTTTCACGATAACTCCTCTGTATTCGGTCAGATTGAAAAAATCTTTTATTAAATAGAACTGTTTTAAAGACCTTTACATCAAATTCAAGAAACCTGTGCAGAAATGTCTCGAGTGTGAATTCCCTGCTCATTACGTATGTAGGAGTGTAGAGATGAAGCTGAAACCTACAACTTTGAAAGGATTCAACCTTCGAATAATAAATTCATGCAATCATGGGGGGTACGATTGACCTGCCCTGACTGCAAGTGTCGCTAAATTTAAATCGTCGTCAACTTAAAGTGAGTACAATATGAAGTTCCGCCATCTGGTCAGTTTCACACAGTCACGGTCGACTATAGCGTGTATCTTTGACTTTGTGTGACAATGTACCTTAAAAATGAGTGAGGGCAGCAGATATGACATGGCAATTGCACTTTCATTTGCTTCGTTCAAAACAAAGTTTCAGAACGTTGTATGATTTTGATTTAAAGGAAACTATTGACGTTGATGATTTTATCACATAAATGTTCTATTGTCGTTCCAAAACTTTCATGTAATAAGGTACCGAGTCTAGCCTGGGATGAGTGTCAAATGTACTTAAGTGGCGGGGGATGGTTATGAACCCCGACGCCGGCCCCCTTGGTAGATTTAAAATGATATGGCCGCCCCATAACGCATAGTGCTCGATCTCGACGGTCTTACGAAAAAAATAGGGAACTGTGAACAGTTTGAGCAGTTTGAAAGAAGGGACTGACGGGAAACATTCAAACTTGGGGCACGGTTTATCACATAAACTACAGTGCTTTACTGTTTTTTCTGCCACTGAGAAAATACAAATGTAGAAAAAGGCTACTTTATGAATGTGTTATTTTAGGCAATCAGTGATCTACTTGTATTACTATAACAACCTTCGTTTGATTACAATCACTAATAAAAATAATATTAAGTCTTAATACTGCATTAAAGCTAATAAAGAATAACCACAGTTGATATTTTGATATATGATACTCAAAGAGGGGAAAAAAAGTTGTAGTTTAGTTACCTGTGGTTCTTTTAGACTTCAAAGAGGCACCAGGAACCCTTGTAGATTGAAACGAAATATTCATAAAACTGAGCTCAGAGATTAGCTAATGCCACCTGCCGTTATTTATATTCTATCCAAGAGCTCAGTTTTTATGTCTTAGTTTTGGTAAACAAGGGGCAGGTGTTTCTGTGACAAGTGAAATGGATTCTGCCGCAAACGTCAGGCAGAAAAAAAAGTTAACAAAGAAAGAAAGCAATTCACCTCAATTAAACTTCATCAGCGACAAGAAAGGAATGATATCACGTTCATTAGGGTTTCTAGGCCGCTCAAAATAGAAACCATTGGCCCCTTAGGCAATCGCTACGTAATGTACTTTTGTCAATAGTTACATTGTAGCAATTTCAATAGTTACATTGTAGCAATTGTTATCACTATCTAGAGACAAATTAGTTCGGCTTGTCCTGAATGGCTAAATCAGTGAATGCTGCATTTATGTCTCCTTTGCTACGATACATACCTAGTAATTATAAGTATTGTACAATCCTGCTCATTGGCTTAGGACTAAGTAGTAAAAGTAAAATTAGTTTGGAAGGTTGTACAACTTAACAGTAGTCCATTTTAATCCTCAAAAAAGAGAGTTTTCTCTTTTGCTAAATATCCCCCGTCCCCCCTATTCAATGTTGGGATATAACAAAACAATTACGCGCACAAACATTAACGTTTTGATCAACATTGGGCCAGGGGAGGGGGGAGGAAGGAAAACAAGAGGTAAAAAAGGCAACCTTCCCAACACGTTTGACGATGATTGTAGCTATAAGTCTCTGGTCGACCTACAGATAGTCCCGTCCGACCCAGCAGCGCTGGCGAGATGGGCGAGGCACAAGAGGTCGTTCAGTTTGCGTTGCTGGTATTAGGCCATTTTTGGTTTAGGTTTCAGCTCGTAGCACTCTACTTTTCTTGTGACGGGTCAATACTCTTTTGGGGGGGGGGGGGGGGGGGGGGTAAAGGTACTGCGGGTTTCAAGTGAAGGGGATGATCGAATGGGGGAAAAAATCAAAAACCAAAAAAATCCCTAGTTCTTCCAGCAAAACCCCCTTAAAAAAACCCAGGACCAAAAACTAGTCCCCTAAAATCCCATGCCGAATTTCCGAGTAGGGATACTCGGTCACCACCACGAATCTTTAGATTGTTTTAAATACCCCAAAGTATCCGTACTTAAATTAAGTCACCCAAAAAATATTTGCCAAACCTTCCTACCCAAAAAATACCGGAACCAAAAATTTCAGACCCAAAAAAATTCTTCTATCATCCCTGTCACTTGAAATCCGGAGTACCCCTTCTGGCCAGCTCTTAGTGCCAGGGAAGTGAGGCTCAGTAAAATGGTCACGCTTTAGAAGTTAACAGTTACCCGTATACCAATTCCAGCGTCATGTGCCCGTACCCTCAACTAAAATTAGACCAAAGCTACACAACAAAACTGTCTCGAATCTGAGCGCGTTTCCTAAAATATTTGCCTGAATATAAAAATAAATTTGACTGAAAAGTCAATGACACAATATACACTTAATTTCAGATCTCGAGGGAAACAGTTAGTTTTGTTTTCCCGCGAGTCCTGATGTTTCCCGAGACGAAGGATACGTTCACAAGGATACGTTCAAGCGGAGCGAATCAAAACAGTGGACTCGGTACTTAGCTGTACTTGTAAGAACACAAATTTAATTCTCAAAACCACTGAATGAATGTTTTACAAAGTACTTTCCTTAAATTATCTGCATCTTTTTCCTCCACCAGCTGCTGTTTCTCTGTTTCTCTTCGGGGATAACTTTGAAAATCGTTACTTTTTTAGCTTGAGGCTTCATGTTTGTGTTGTTTTGTTCATCCATGAAAAAGAAAACTGACAGACGAGTGTTTTTCCCGCATTCTGTCACGCCACTTTCCACCATGCTTTGATCACGTGCTGTAATGTAGCCCGAGCGGGGTACATTGCTTAATGTATCACGATCGAGATACATTTGATTTTAGTCAAGGACACGTGACCAAGAATCAGCCAATGGCTGTCCCTGTTTAGTTGAGTGAAAGTCTAGGAATATAACAATGCTAACTGATGCATTTCCATTCTAAAATGTAATTTTCTCTACTATGAAGTACAAAAAGTACCTTAAATGCCGCGCTGAAATCCTGTAAAAACTTCACTCACTCGGTTGCTCTACTCACTGTTCTATAGCCTGTGTGGCATGGCGGTTACTGCCATGCTACGCAGGCTAACTGTTCCACTGAGCTCTCCGCCGCGAAGTAAACAAGGATGAAGTTCTTCAAGGCAAATTTGTCCCTTGATATTTCAATTTTCCTCAAAGCGACAACTGAGTACTTTTTCATCTTCTACTTCTCAATTATATATTTCACCGTGTGCATTTAATTGACCTTACAAGAAGGGATATTTGCTAAATTTGCCTCAATTTTACCGCACAAGCTTTTCGTTAGCGTGAACCAATGGGCAAATGGTTGATGGCTAATTGACCAATCAGAGCGCACGCTTTACTTTTGTTATGTTATAACTATCCTTATGTAATCAACTGGACTGTCAGTTTTTTTAGTAAAAGAAAACAGAGATTAGTATTGGACGGCTTTGTCACCAAATTTCTTAGCATCAACAGAGGTGTAACTCAAGGTACTGTTCTTGGTCTTGCATTGTTCTCTATTATGGTAAACGACAAAAGTCCTGTCTATCTGGAACGCAGTCGGGTATTCAAAGATGGTACATGTAATAATCTTACGCTATTATAGTATTCTTGTCAGCTTTAGGGGCTTCGAGACCCAACTTGGCGTTAACCAAGACCAAAAATTGAGATAACAAAATTGGTCAGATTACTAATTTGCCTCCATCTGTATCTCTTAAGGCAATGGCCTAATGGCGACCACATTTGCTCCTCCTCGCAGAGCCAACGCTTCTAAGACAGTTTGTGAGCGGCACTACCTGCAAAGTCAGAATGCCTTCAGATAATTCTTCCGAAACCTCTTGCTGAGCACGCCGAAAATCAAAGGATCCAAAGCGCTGCTTATAGTCTCCAAAAATGTATCAGCCACGTAAGCCTCGGGAGGGGAGGATCCATCTTTGCTGAACCGTGTCCACAATGTCAATTGTTAAAACTGGTAGCCAACATAGATTAAAAAACACCACTATCTTCTACGTTTACCGAGCTTACTGAATTGCCTGGGCGTTGGAAATTGGCGTTGTGATGGAGAACTGTTTTGAAGATTCTTAAGTAGCAGAAAAACAGGTTGGAATACTTACGTAAAGAGGAGTACCACAGGCTATAAATACACTGTTTTCGAATAGAATACAACAGAAAAGCTTAAAAGTATGGCAAATTATTTTGCTTCTTTTTAGCAAGCCAATTCATGGAGCAAATATAGAATAGAACCATAACGCAAGAAACACGAGAAGCGTCTTCCTCTTGGTGAAGTAGTGATCGTACTTTGTCGATTTGACAATTCTATAAAATCTGTTTACTGCCATCAAGACCATTGTGTGAATCAAAGCAAAAACAACCAACCTAATAATTATGAAACCTTGAAACTGGCAGGTCTTGTCATTAGCGGCCAATGGGAAGTCACCAATGTAGGGATACCTAAAGGAGCTACACTTGAAATTCCCATTAGTATGTCGTAAACAGCCAGTGATACTACGAACATGTTGGAATTGTTCTCATCCGTCGGTTTAACAGAAATAACAAAATAGGCACGTACAAACTTGATACCAGAATAGCTTTTCCTTTGCTTCTTGATTTAAACTCTCTTAACCTTTCTGCCAGTTGCTTCTCTGTGCAATCTATCTTCAGTACTTTCAAACAGTTTTAGCTAGATAAAGTAAGCGCAAAGGATTAATGACAAGCTTGTTTATAAAAGTACAGTGGAATCTCTTGTAAGTGAGCACCCAGGGAGGTATTCGCTACGAAAATCTCTGGGAGGGAATTCAAGAGAAGGTTGGGAAGGGGTGTGCCTCCAGTGCCTTTAAATCCATACCCTGTTCAAGACAAAAATCTTTCCAGCCCTGTCCAAGACATGCGAACTTATATCATTTCTCCGGATTTTTTTCATTTTGTATATAGAATTTTCAGCTACTGAGTTTTTTTAATAAAAAAAAAAGAATAAAATAAAAAAAATGATAATTAAAAAAAAACTTGTCGGTACCGAAGACGTCGACCGTGTATACCCAACGTTCACCGCCTACCTAAGCGGCTTCAGGTCTAAAACGAACCCTGTTTAAGGTGCCGAAAGGTCTTTAGGACACCACACCCCTTAAAAACACTACCCTGTTCAGCGACACATAGAACTACTGACAGAGAATGGAACAACGGATGGTCTCCTTTCTTTCACCTGTTGGAAGAAAATGCTTTGCATGCAATATATAAGGTATATGATATACATTAGGTAGTTTAATGTTGTTATTAAAAGTTCTTCGCACGACCTGAGAGGGATCGGACAAACAGCTAATGTGGAGATCAGACCATGTGCTGAGTCATCGCTTAGAAGAGGTGAGTATTTTCCACGTTGAGCACCATAAATTAGGAAACGAAACGTCGTGCGCAACCGTACAAGTTGCGAGAGGTTCAACGTTAACGTTTACAAGCCTCTCTTTTATATTAATTTATACTACTACCGAAAAAATTTCTGCTATTTGATTGGCTTATAGTAGTGGTATTTCAGCTTAATTTGAAATACCTACATGTGAAAATTACAACCCTTTTTGCGGGTAGTGGTATAAACAAATAATAGCATGAATTGGACGTGATATTTGGCATAAATACCACTCGTGATATTTCAAAATTGTCTCAAATTTCACTGGCCTAACGGCTCGTGAAATTACGCATAACAATTTAGAAATATCACTTGCGGTAGCCTGCGTAGCCGGCATCGAAAGGGGTAGGGGATAGGGAAAAAGGGAAAAAGGGAGGGGTAGGGGAGAGAGGGGAAGGGACGCCTGCTATAGAACCCCCTTTTATTCAAATTCCTGATTGGCTGAGCCGTAATGAGTAACTTATTGGCTTGTATCCTGGCGAGTATTAGTGTGAGAGACTGGCATAAGCTTTGGAAGATCAAAATTACTCCAATCATGTAGCAACTTCACGAGCGAGAACCAAGAACAGTAGACATGTAGCACGAACAGTAAAAATGTTTCATTTCGCTCGATTATGATATCACTTGAAGAAAGCGTCTCAACTTGACAATTTCCGGTAAACAAAGTAATTAAGTTCGGACCATGCTGAGAAGCCCCGTACTCGTGATTGGTCACGTATTGACAGTGACATTATCGGATTAGTTGAGAAAATGGTGGGCGGATTACAAAAACACCGGCTCTTATAGCAGACGCTCCCAATACCCTTTCCCCTCTTTCGTGCTTTTCTCCCTCCCCCTTCCCCTCCCCTTTTTGAGCCTGGCACGCAGGCTACACGTGCGGTATTTATGCCTAATATCACTACAAATCATGCTGCAACCTATACAAATTTATTTGCTCACGTTAAAACACATAGAAAATTAAACATCAGTGATAATTCGCCATAAGGCATCATTCTCCTTCTGACAATTACACTTTTAAAGAAAATTTGTGTTTAATAGGCGTTCTCGGCGCGGTCAATCCTGGACTCTACCGTGAGCTGTGACTTCACCGAGAGATACTCGCCGAGAACGGCGTTCTCTCGCCCGCTCTTTCCCAAACTTCGCGCGGACAACGTGGCAAGAGAGAACGCCTAGGAACTAGGCTGACGCCGTAGTCGTGCAGTGACAGGAAGGTAAAGAAAGTTGAAAAAAAGCGTGATACACGTGCAAATTTGTTGTGTTGCTAATCTTAACCCATTGAGTTTTTGCCGTTCTCGTTGACGTTCAGCTCGTCGTCGTTGCTTAAGCTCCCTAATGTCAAAAGAGTTACGTCTAGGTCGTATTGTAGGGACAGTTTTAGAAGCACTGTTTCTTTCCTTACGCATTTATCCGCTAGTGAAATGTCGCCTAATTCATCACCTATCTTTTCCTCGTGGTGATCCCATTAACTTTTGAATTCCTAAAGATGCCTCCCAGGTTAACTATGCTTCAATAGACGATGCGAATACTAGGCTTCAGTATTAGGCGCACTCGAACCACTCCTTTATGCAGAAGAGTGGAGTCACTTACTTGACCCGGTGGTGATTTGAAAGCCAGTGTTCAAGAGAGAAAAGACGTTTTGTCAACTTTCACATGTCAGTTAAGGATTTTTAAAAGACACAACCTAAAGTATTAAAACTTTCACTTCGAACTGTATATTTTTAAGCGAAAGTCATCGAACTCGCTTGTCCTCACCGAACCAACGGTCCTACTACAACTTGGGTGCCCTTGAGAACTCTAAGCGTATAACTAGCATAGATAAGCGGAATATGGTTTTTGTCGCTGTTCATACGTCCATTGGCGTTAATATAACGAACACTTTCGTTATTTACGTCATAATTCTCGTTTTTCTTGAGATGAAGTTCATTGGGAATTGTGGTTGCAGGCGCACCACATGACCAAGCAATCAGTGTAACTCTTTTAACCGCGGCCATCGAAACAGAACTTTTCGCGAGGATTCTGCTGGAAACGCTCTGTCTTGTCCAGTAGAGCTACCAACAGCAGTCAAAGTGAACATTTTACAGTTTTTTAAACCTAAATGGCTATTCGACTAAGTTAAAAGACTATCTTATAAATGGGCTGAAACATGTGTTTTCTCTTAATTATGTAGGGCCGCACAAGCCCTCCATGATTTGCAAAACGAATCTCATTTGCAACTCAACTGACCCTGCAGCCGTGAATGATAAACTGTCACAAGAGAAACGTCTAGGTTGGATTGCATTTATCCGTTAGGGAAATTTCGCCTAATTCAACACCATTCTTTTACCCATGATTCTATTAACTTCAGTTTGCATTTAGACTGCAAAACAGTCGGTTTTTTTCACAAAATGCCAGCCTCCACGATTAACTATGTCTCGATAGACGATGCGAATAGGCTTCATTATTAGGCGCACTCGAACCACTTCCTGATGCAGAAGCTTGTAGTTAGGTCTTTTTGGTATGATTAAACTTATGATCGTGTAGTTCGTTTAACAATATCTTATAGGTAATGAATGGCCAACACCGAAAGGATAAGAGATAAGAGTGCTGGACATAAATTCTGGGAGACCGTGTTCAACAGTGTTCAAGTCATGTCATCGTCTCTAATTATTTGATTTCAACTTTCACATGTCAGACGCAACGTAAATTATTAGGTAATTGTCTTCTAACTGTATATTTGTAGGCGAAAGTCATCTTCCTCGCTTGTCCTCATCGAACCAACGGTCCTACGACAACTTGAGATCGGCAGTAAGTACAGCGTAGCACCCTCAAATAATTCGTACGGAAACTCTTGTTCATCACGCCGTAAATTAAAGGATTCACCGCGCTGCTTAAAGTGCCCAAAAACGTATATAAAATGTAAACCTCAGTAGGGAAGATCCATCTTTGGAATACATTGTCCAAAACGTTAACTGTTAAGACTGGGATCCAACAAAGATTAAAAAACACCACAACTGCAAATATGGTGCGAGCCACTTTAACTTCTTCTACGTTTACAGAGCTTATGGGATTGCCGGGAAGATGAACATTTCTGTTGTGATTCCGAACTGTTGAGAAGATTCTCAAGTAGCAGTAAATAATAACACAGGTTGGGACACCTATGTAAAGCGGATTACCAAAAAGCATGTATGTCCTTTTTTCCATGCCATAGTAACAGAAGAACTTGGCAGGATGAAAGACCATTTTTCTTCCACTTAGCACGTGAGGCAATGGAGCACAAAAAGAAGAGAACCATGACACAAGAATCATGATGAGGGTTTTCTTCTTTGTGAAGTAGCGTTGGTACTTTGCTGGTTTGACGATTCTATAATATCTGTTCACTGCCATCAACACCAATGTGTGAATTGAAGCGACAACCAACATGATAGATACGTAACCTTGAAATTGGCAAGCTGTATCGTTAAACAGCCAATGGGAAGTCACTAATACTGGAATGCCAAAAGGCACTGAACTGCAAAGGCCTAATAATAGGTCAGAAACAGCGAGTGATGCTACGAACATGTTTGGAATTGTCCTCATCCGTGGATTTAACAACATAACAAGGAGTGTTAAACAGTTTCCAACAAACAAAAAACACAAAATAAGAATGTATCCACCCAATAACAGAATAACTTTGGCTATGCTTCTTGATTGAAACTCTCTTAACATTTCTGCCAGTTGGTTTTCTGCCGTATAGTTCATTTTTGCTGCGTGAAACAGTTCCTGGTAGATAGAAAAATATACCCAAAGGGTTAAACGAGGTCACTGAAGTCATTAAAAGATGTTTTATATTCTAGTATCCAGAGGGAAGGGAACTGACAGGGGGCATCCAATTAACTCGGCGCTCTACTGGATATCTCTTGAAAAATGAAGAAAACATGACAGGGAAATTCCTAAACTTCTGTTTTAATTTCAGGCAATCAATGACTTACCAGCTGTTGTTTACTATGATAACCATTTATACAGTAGAATAACAAGTGTTTCGTCCAAATATTACATTGAGGACACTAAACAGCCACAGTTGATACTATCTGCCTTTTAGATTTTTCAAAATTAAAATTATTTTGTTAAAGGGATAACATAGAGGTAAGGAAAAAAATGGTGAAGAAACAATTTGAATAGTATTTCTTTATGAGCCTTGAATTTTAAGTTTGTGGTAAACAGGTAACATTAACATTATCCGACTAACCAATAAGAACCAATGACATATCTTAAGATTTTACTAACAACATAATTTTTTTCCGAGTTTTGTGGCTCACAGCCACTTTGATTATATTTCTGTAAATAGGAGTGATTTTTGCAAAGGGTAAACACAGTCAGTCTCGAACTGAAGAAACCATTTCTGAGTCACCCCAAGCCTTTTTTACAAAACGAGGGTAATTGCGAAGACACTTTTCTTCGGGTTAATCATTGTTTACAGTCTTCTCCTCATTAGCTTTCGCTTCCCGTTTTCTAATCAAGTTGCAAAATTAAAATGCTATGTCTGAATATTGAAAGGTCATAGCACAATTACCTCTTCCAAAACTGTAAGATTAGGCCAACATACTAAATATGTTTTAAAGTATTTAATGTTAAAAACTCCAACTTTTTTTTTTTGGAGTATACAGACTAGACTTTGAAAACCCTTTGCCACCTCAAAATTTTGCATTTTCAGAGTGCTGATATTTCCTTAACTATTAAATGCAAAGAGCGAAAACCTGCACAGACTACTAAGTTTACTCTGAAGCTCTTATAGTTACAGAAGTCAATTTTTATTTGGAAGAAATTGCTTATATTTTGTTTACCGTTGGCTAAAGAACAAATCAGTCAGTTTCCCTTGCCACTTGTTAGGAACCGAAACAAGCTAGTTTAGCTTACTTTATTAAACGATTTTTAAACCCAAAACTTAAGATTCGTTGACACTTAAACTCATACTTTGGGTTGGATTATTCTGGACAAGAAAACAGTTGCGGAAATTTAGTGATGTAAATTATAAATTATTTAAAAAAATTTGAATTCATTAAAACGAATGCTAGGCTGTCTGGCAGAAAAGAGCTTGTTTATATTTTATTATAAGTCTTTTACGTCTTATGCAAAACCACAGAGATTTGCAAGAATGTGAGCAAAGAAAGTTAAAGACTAGACTTTGAATAACCCTTTGCCACCCCAAAATTTTGCATCTTCAGATGGCTGATATTTCCTTAACTATTAAATGCAAAGAGCGAAAACCTACACGGACTGCTAAGTTTACACTGAAGCTCTTATAGTTACATAAGTCAAAATTGATATAAAGAGCTTCAGTGTAAACTTAGCAGAATGAACTTTTTTCGTTCAAATTTGGCAAACTTTAACGAAAACACTTCAAGGTTCTCGTTTCCTTTCTATTTCTTCATTGTAAAACCTGTACTAAAGAGGGACAGTCAAAAACAGATGTAAACAGTTAAAAATGTTAATTAAAATTGCCGACTACGAAGGTTTGAAGATCCTGAAAGCAAATTTACAACCTACCTCGATTCTTTGGATACTGTAGTGTTATTTTAGTTAAAAGGGAAAAAACGAAGTGGTTTTCTGTAGTCTGCAGAGAACGTTTACAAATAATGAAAATGTTTTTGAAGGTACTAATTCATAAGCACTCAATCCCTCGCAATTTGAAAGCATCATTTCATTACACCATATAAGTTTCCCATTTTGACAAATGAACTTTTTAAAGAAATGTTTTTGATGAATGAAACTGCCATTACAAATGATAGAATGAGAGCTTATGGGGTTAAATTCTGACTGTGTCGTGCTTGTGTTTTGTTTTGTGCATGATATAAAATTTGCACCAGTATTATGAACAAAGTAAAAATGAAAAAAGCAAATTTCAGCTACCTGCTTTATGTCTTTCCTTTCAGGTTTTTCTAAACAACAGCTTGTTCGTGACAGAATCCACCTCACTATCAGAGGAGCATCGGCTAAATAGAGCAAAACTAAGCCGGAATTTAAAACTGATCGAGCCAATATTGTCAACCGCAAGTTGACGTATTTGGACAGACCCGCACCGTAATAAATGTATAATCTTGCCTTATCATCTGTCTGTTTGCAAGCTGAAGGCGCATAAGGTTATCATCATTCAGTCTGTCCAATCAGCTCTGTTTTGTGCAGCCGTTCTGTTCATACCCGATTAGCTCGTCAAGCATGCCTTTGAGTTTTAGCTAGACTACCTAGAGATTTCTCTTTTGCGACTTTAACCTCAAGCAAATTGTCGAGCGTAAAACGTTGAACGACAACCGGCGACAAAATTGTTGAGACCCTGTCGTCAAATAAGGAATATTTCGAAAAGAATCAATCTGGACCCCTTCGTCGATTTTGTAAGACATCAAAAGTTGATTGCTTTTTGTTTCTTACAAGTAGCTTGCACAGTGGCACAGCATTGCATGGTATTCTTTAGAGGGGAGGAGAGGGGGAAAAAATCCCACGCATAATTCATCACTGAACCAACTATTGTCGACCAAATTTGGAAGCATTTTGCGATATGTGAAAAACGACGTCAATAGTGCAGCAAAATTGCCAGATAATTGAGCCGTCAACCGAGAAGACCTGGGAACAAAGTTGAGTTGTTTTGGTAGTGACTCCCCGCCAGAGGCCCGATTTTAGTGCGCGCAGGAGGAGGCCTAATCTCCACAGCAACCACCGCAAATCGGTTTCCAATAACAGACAAGGTAATTAGTTTTAAGCATTCCTCCAGACACCTTTGGAGAGCACCGGACACATTGCCTGTCAAGGAACTTTGTACTTCTGATTAAACGAACCAGACATCTCAAGGAAACGCGAAATTTGATCAGACTATTTGGGTATTATAAATTCATTTCACGGTCGATTGAAAATTTGGAAGTCGATCTTCGCGCCTCTGGCTTCGCAATTGATAACTACAGTTTTCTCGCCGCATTTGGATTCAAATAGGCTTGATACGCTGTCAATGGTTTTTCAACTGCTTTCTTTTAAGAAAATAGTGCTCCGATGGCTTATTTAACTTCTGCCAAGAATGGTATGCCGTGTCAACATTGGTGACCTTCGAAGCGAAAACAGCGAGTCGGCGTATCAAGTTTTTACTGTGGAGCCGCAAGTAGGAATACACTCTCTGCTGGCACATCTTTCTCCAGTTTGGAAGGAACTCGGCTTGGAAAAGACCCTGACCAAAGAAATTTTTAAATCTTCTCTATTTGAACGTTTGAGAAAAAAAGCCGTCAACAATGCACATTTTATAGTCGCCGGAGAAAACGAAGGCGAGAGCTCGAGCTCTACTTCACATCCCCTTGAGGAACAGCAACACCGATTATCTGATTCAATGGACTACCTTTTTGATCAAACGGCGAAGGATTCAAGTCTTTTTCTCTGGCTTAAGACGATGTAAGCGTCGATGTGCCTCCAGTGACAAATCACTCTCCAAAAAGCCCGCCAAGCACTGTCGAAATCCCGCCAAAATCTTATTCGCTGGAAGGAGCCCAAGACGCTGGATTACTCCAGATATTCTAGCTTCCACTTCAACATCTTCGTGTTCGCGTGGGCGATCTGTATAATCAACGTCACAGATACAGTATGGTTTCTATATCAGTCATTTTAGCCTCCTTGAAATGTCAATCATAATCCAAAAATTATTATTTCAGGTTACCTTTGTATTGTTACTTGCTTTTTACTTAATTAATAGGCCACATTATAGGGCTACCCTCTCCCTCAGAGCTTACAGGCGGCGCGCCCAAGATTCTGAGGTGAAGGTAGTCTCTCTTTTGAAATGTCGGTCATAATCCAAACAATTTTTGTAGGTGATTTTTGTAGTGTCATAGGCCAAATTATAGGGCTACCCTCTCCCTCAGAGCTTACAGGCGGCGCGCCCAAGATTCTGAGGTGATGGTAGTCTCTCTTTTGAAATGTCGGTCATTATCCAAATTATTATTGTAGGTTATTTTTGTAGTTTCATTTGTTTTTTAAATAGGCCAAATTAATTATGGCGCTACCCTCTCCCTCAGAGCTTACAGGCGGCGCGCCCAAGATTCTGAGGTGATGGTAGTCTCTCTTTTGAAATGTCGGTCATTATCCAAATTATTATTGTAGGTCATCTTTGTTTTGTCATTTGTTTTGAAATAGGCCAAATTATGGGGCTACCCTCTCCCTCGGAGCTTACAGGCGGCGCGCCCAAGATTCTGAGGTGATGGTAGTCTCTCTTTTAAAATGTTGGTCATTTAACCAAATTATTATTGTAGGTTATTATTGTAGTGTCATTTGTTTTTGAAATAGGCCAAATTATGGGGCTACCCTCTCCCTCGGAGCTTACAGGCGGCGCGCCCAAGATTCTGAGGTGATGGTAGTCTCTCTTTTGAAATGTCGGTCATTATCCAAATTATTATTGTAGGTTATTTTTGTAGTGTCATTTGTTTTGAAATAGGCCAAAATATGGGGCTACCCTCTCCCTCAGAGCTTACAGGCGGCGCGCCCAAGTTTCTGAGGTGATGGCAGTCTCTCTTTTGAAATGTCGGTCATTATCCAAATTATTATTGTAGGTTATTATTGTAGGTCATCTTTGTTTTGTCATTTGTTTTGAAATAGGCCAAATTATGGGGCTACCCTCTCCCTCGGAGCTTACAGGCGGCGCGCCCAAGATTCTGAGGTGATGGTAGTCTCTCTTTTAAAATGTTGGTCATTTATCCAAATTATTGTTGTAGGTTATTTTTGTAGTGTCATTTGTTTTTGAAATAGGCCAAATTATGGGGCTACCCTCTCCCTCAGAGCTTACAGGCGGCGCGCCCAAGATTCTGAGGTGATGGTAGTCTCTCTTTTGAAATGTCGGTCATTATTCAAATTATTATTTTAGTTCTTCTTTGTACTGTCATTTGTTTTGAAATAGGCCAAAATATGGGGCTACCCTCTCCCTCAGAGCTTACAGGCGGCGCGCCCAAGATTCTGAGGTGATGGTAGTCTCTCTTTTGAAATGTCGGTCATTATCCAAATTATTATTGTAGGTTATTTTTGTAGTTTCATTTGTTTTTTAAATAGGCCAAATTAATTATGGGGCTACCCTCTCCCTCAGAGCTTACAGGCGGCGCGCCCAAGATTCTGAGGTGATGGTAGTCTCTCTTTTGAAATGTCGGTCATTATCCAAATTATTATTGTAGGTCATCTTTGTTTTGTCATTTGTTTTGAAGCTCTTGCTTTTCATCAGTTGTTCCTTGGACGGCGACCTTTTCTTGTCCCGAGTACAATATCGATTCTCGATTCTCGACTCTCGATTACCGTATCTTGCTGGTGCAAGGTTTCGGCAACGGGACCAGTACTAAAACCATTGCAGGAATATCACTGCCAAACTGCGCAACAGAATGCACGAAAAACCTCTCCGGTAGTTGAAAAACAAGAAAAAGAACCTGCGATGTAATTAGGTAACTTATTCATGGTGTTCAGCTTCCGGTTTATTCAGCTTATTGCCAGTTGTAGGCAAAGTTCACTCGCACATTATCGCATTCTAACTGAGTCGATTGTGAGGAAACTGTTATGTCAGTCATTGACTAAAAACCCCCGCGCGTTAAGCCTTTGTGCGACGGACGTCCCTTAGAAATATAAATTGCCCACACTGATCACCAATTCTACTTGCAAAGTGTTGCTGATTGAGTTCTGTAATGTATTCTAGAGTGTAAATTTAGTACTAACCTCGCAGACAAGGATGCAATGAGACATTTATTTTGCGTAGTTAGGCCTGCTATCCATTGGGCAACCATCCCTTTTATTTTCTTTCGATAGCCTGTCCATGCACTAACCTTTGGGTACACAAACTAGCTGCCTCTCGCTGTACCAAAACTTGATAGTTTTGGCGTTCAATATTTTTAACGGATGCTCACAAAACACCGGGACTGCATCGTGCGCCTTTGGCGCTTTGGTATCCTGCGAGCTTTGGTTCATCGCGTTTTGAAAGATGGAAATTTTGATATTCCCGCGAAAAAGAAGACCGATAAAACGCATCTTTCATTGACTACGGTGAAACGCCCGGAAATGAAGGATGTTTTGAAAGAAACGGGAAAACTGATAAAAGTAAATATTTGTTTTGATCAAGTGAAATTAATGAGAAATAACCATAAACTAGTTTTGTGTTTTTGTTTTTTAAAAGCGGTTTGTCTGGTACCAGATTTGTACAATTACTTTCAATCAAACATGGATCGGGTTTTGTTAATTATGACAGAATGTAATTAAAAAGCATTATGTTGACAGCTACAAGGCACATGCTTGCCTTAAGCTGCGAGTACCCCGCCTATTACCCCTATTATATTTTAGGCAAGACAAATTACCATAAAATCGAGATTGTAATTCGAACAGCTGTGTAGGAGCTGCTCGTGAGGTCTCTCCTAATTGGTCGCAGGAAACAATGACATGTCATTCTTCCCATTGTTTTAGTATTGTTTGGGGTTAGGGAAAACTCGCGTTGTTTTCAAAATTTGCATAAATCGGGCGCTGCAAAGAAATATCTCGGTTACAAGCGCTTCGAAATACTGTACCTTCAGAACGGCATAGCTTTTACTTGTTGTGCTATATGTTTCAAAACCATCGATCGATTCTAGCTCAAAAACTCTCAAAGCGGCTGTTTAAATGTTAAAGCCCGTGGCTGGTTGAGACCGTGTCTTGTTTGTTTTCAAACGATTTAGGATGGATCGAATCGACTTTGGATCGATTAATATTTTATCAGCTTGTGGTATGAATAAAACGTTTTTCTTCTCGATAAAGTTCACTCAACAAATTTGGAAAGATTTACTTGACTTTTCATATGTGGAACGAACTGACTATTTTATGGAACTATCTGACTATTGATTGGAACCAGAGTGTGAGGTTTTTACTCAAGGGGCTACTCCAAAACTACTTCGTAAACGAGGGAAGGTGTATCTGTCGTCTAAGCATCAAAGCACAGGCGGTTTTGGTGGAATGAGATATCCAAATAGGCTTTTAAGTAAGAAATTGTCCCTCTGTACATGCAATTATCCATTTTATAGTGCTTACAACAGTTTGAATCACCGGGTTAATTTTGACCAATTTAAGCTTTGTACTGATATAGAGAAGAATCCAGGACCTTCAGTTTATGTATATACTACAAAAACAATTAATGCTCCATACTGTCAAGGAAATGTTACAGTATTTGGGGAAAATGCTGGACAACAATGTGTCGCAATGAGTCTATGCGCTTTAATTTACAGTAAGAAAACAAAGATTACTTCAGTTGATGATATGACTCAAATAATGATTGTTGGTATTCAATTATATTCTAGTCTGTCACTGCTTGAAAGACAATCTATGTTATTGTTAACAGATTGCCAGGAATGGTTACAGTGTTTGAGCAATTTTTCCACCTTGAATACAGTGACAGTTATACTTGTAACATCCATCACTACTGTATATGCCACTCACAGGGTACAGCATTTGAAACACTCTTGGCACTGAACTACAACACATTCATTTTAACGGTGGCAATTATTGGTGTTGGTATCTACAGCATTGAGGCTGGGGGATATAACGTATTTGATTCTCATGCTAGAGATATGTATCATAACAGTCATAGTGAAGGGATGTGTATTGTTGGAAATACTATCCATGCATAAATTAGTACAATATTTTCAGACTGTACATAGGAATGAAGATATATATGAACTTAAAGGTGTACATATTGCCACCTTTGAACCTCATCTTTTCTCAACCAATGTTGAACATTGTAGTATATCAAATGTTAATAGTTACCAATGTTCATGTAAACAGTGCTGATTTATAGCAGTTTATGTAATGTGTTACTCTCTTATTAATCCTTGTGGATACTGGACTTAAGGAACTTTATTTGCGCTTGTTAGTAACCGGAATACACTGTACAATGTGATGGGTGTAAAAACACATCTGCCAGTATCGGTGGAGCTGAGATAAACCTTACTCTCCGGGCTGTAACCACTTATGTCCTATGTTGCAATTTGGCTCCAAGCATGTCTGCATTGAAGATGTGCATATTTTCAAACATTGTCATGAAATGACACTATTTTTGTTGTGGATTGGGGCATACTGTATAAGCTGTGTGGTTCAGCAAACAAGTGGAGTAAAGGATTTATCTTCTCTGGTAAGTTATGATGACAGTTCTTTAGCTACAATAAGGCATGTTCAAAGTATCATATCCGTAGACGACCACGCCCAAATATACGCTCCCACAGCGTCTTGTTCATGGCTAATTTGTTTATTGGGTTTTTGGTTGAGAAATATGTCGCTTGTCAAAGTCGGAAATCCGATTTCGGATGGCATCGTTTTCGTTTTCACCTTGCTTGATGCGTAAGAGGGTTGCAAAGTCTGAAGCGATACTGGCCTTACTTGATACTTTTCAGGAGCTGCATCTCGAATGGTAAGCCAGAGTAATTATTATTTGATGTCGAGCGTAGTTTATGCGGGTATTTAGTTTATGCACGTTTGTAAGATTTGAGACAATGATCTGACCGAGTATCAGGTTTGATATAAGCTTACAGAACTTTAAAAAGCCTTTAGACAGTTTCTCACCGCAAATAGAAAGGAAACGTTCCAAAGAATATTTGGTTATAATTCTGGCTGTAAAAGAAAGCTTTGAGCGATTTTCTTGCCTCGAGTTCGTCTTTGAAAAAAGCAAACACCGGGAGCCGACTTAAAATATAAACTTAAGCTTGAAGCTTGAAGCTTGAAGACTCAGGATTTTTAGGGACACTTTAATACTTGTCTTCCTGAATGAAAGTTGTTGTCTCTGTATATGTTTCACCGAATTATATTTCTTTTATTGATTGTTAGTAGTCTCTCTTGTAATTTTAATCGCTGTGCCGATTGTTTTCAGTCGTTCAGTGAACGTCGCTTGCAGGAGTACTCAAAATGCCGCGCGTTAAACCATTAAATAAAAAATAAACATAATAAATTCTTTATAGCGGAGCTCTCGCGCGCGAAGCGCGCAGCGGAGCACCATGGGTAACAAAATGTGGTAAACTACCCATCCGAGAAAATTTGGTAATCACGTGACCGTACACCGACCGCCCGCCCGCCCGACCGTCCGTCCGCACCACAGGCATACCAACGCAAAATTTCGGGTAGTCTGTGGGGGGGTTTTTTGGCGCGAAAACGAATGGCAACCCGCGTTTTGTGAAGCATAAACAACTTAGAAGTTCAGGAAAGTCAACTCAGAACAAAAAGAAATTTTTCGTGTCGGTTGACATTTTTTATACATCCGTATTTTCTACATTATTTATTTATTATGCCCTCTAGTTTGGAGTATAGAGATAAAGAGAGGCAGAGAAAACGAGAAAGTAGGCGGCAAGCAAGCCAAGCTCAACGAGAGAGAGAGCGGCAGAGAGCTAGAGAAAGCGGTGAGGCAAAACTGCTCTGACGAGCAACGGGAGAGGGAGCAAGAAAGAAACAGAGAAAGGAGGCGCAATTTTACTGACCAGCAACGGGAGAAAGAGCAGGAAAGGGATAGAGAAAGGAGGCGCAATTTTACTGATGAGCAACGGGAGAGAGAACATGAAAGGGATAGAGAAAGGAGGAAACATTTTACTGAGGAGCAACGGGAGAGAGAACAGGAAAGGGATAGAGAAAGGAGGCGCAATTTTACTGATGAGCAACGGGAGAGAGAACATGAAAGGGATAGAGAAAGGAGGAAACATTTTACTGAGGAGCAACGGGAGAGAGAACAGGAAAGGGATAGAGAAAGGAGGCGCAATTTTACTGATGAGCAACGGGAGAGAGAACAGGAAAGGGACAGAGAAAGGAGGAAACATTTTACTGAGGAGCAACGCGAGAGAGAGCAAGAGAGAAACAGAGAAAGGAGGCAAAATTTTACTGACGAACAACGGGGATATGCGCAAGAAAGAGAAAGGGAAAGGCGACAAAATTTCACTGAAGAGCAACTGGAGAATGAACGAGAGAGAGCAAGAGAAAATAGACGCCTAATAAGCGACGAGCGGCGAAGAACGGAGCGAGAGACAGCAAGGGAAAACAGGCGTCGTATAAACGAAAAGGAACGAGAAGGAGGAGAAGGTGAGCGAATTTTTGCCGAGGTTTGCTTTCAATCGGGGATTTTACGAATACAGAGATAGCTTTTGTTTTGTTTGTTAATCAATAACCTCTTTGTAATTGCATCAGTTTTTTTGGACCAATCACCACACGTCATTTGTTGTCACGCAGTCTAGAGTTGATACTTTTATCATCCATTGAAGTTGACCTCTGTCCTCCAAGTTCGTTGAAGAGAAACGATATGACTGAAATTTCACTTTAACAAGACAGTCGCGTCCAAGATAAAATTATAGAGTAACCTTATAATTCGTGCTCCTCGGTGTATTTTCGTTGTTTCTGGCGCGGAAAATAAGGTAATCTTAAATTGTATTAATGAAATTTTATCGAAAATTATAACCATTGCCATGTGTCCGATGCATCGGTGAATGAATGATAACTCCTTATGTAAATTTTAGGCGACTCTGGCCTCTGTGACAAGTTAAAATGATTCAGTGTTAGAGGATTGTAAATTATACGGTCTGTGAAAGCGTTGTTATGTTTTCTGAAAAGAGAGCAGAGAGCACCTTGAATTTGAAGATTTTCAATGTCTGTTGAAAGAGCGTTTTGGTGCAGATTGTTCGAGCTTACCTCTATTTGTTTTATTCAGGGTAAACAGAATTTGAAGGATCTATTCTCCCTCTTGTAATTGAAATAACTTTTATTATTTTACTATAAATCTAGGCTTTTCCATTTTGTAGATACCTATCTTCGAGTGTTTAAGAATATATATGGAGATCTATGTAAATAAGGAGGGCAGCCAGGGTTAGAAATTATTTTTGAATGTTGACAGGCCAAACAAATTTAAGCTCGGTCATGTCTAGTTACTAACCGGTCAAAATAAATTATTACCTGCCAAACAAATTTTAGCTCGGACCGGTCAAAAGACAGTAAAAACTCGTAGGTAAGAACCTGGATTTTCCCTTTGCATTAACAGGTACGTTCTTACAAAAATAGTTATTGGCAAAAAATTTGTATATTTTTCTAAAATGAAAAGGTTCTTATTTTCTGCAGGAAAAAAAACATTGCAGCTTATGTCTCCCAAAGAGGTTCACCTGAATATTTTCCAGGTGTATTGAATTTTTTTTATAGATTTGAGAAAATAAAGATGTGTGTCAAATATTGGGCTAAACAGGTTCTTGTATAGATCCTGGGGCCTAATTATAACTGGCAAGTTTAGCCAAACAGGTTCCTAAAAACCAGGTTCTTAGTCACAGCTAGGTTTTTACTGTATTGAAGACATTGTACTTTGCAGTAATAGCCAAATTAAGACAAAAATTATGTGATCATAAATGCTCAAAAACTCCTTGTGTTGAGAGATGGGGAAATATTATAAACCAGTTTTGAGTGTGGTTATCAAGTTGTTCATTCATTGGAGGGTACAGTGTAGTAAATAATATTTCCAGGAATATTGTCAAGCTCAGCTCGTTTATTCGTAAAAACAATTCCCCATTAGAGTTAAACCAGAAATCACAACTTTTGGCTCAGTGTTGTTCTGACATGTTTTCTTTGAACAATAGGTGTATGTAGGGGTGAGGGAAAATTCTTGCCCAACTAAAGATTTTATCTTATCTTCTTAGCCATGGAAGAACATGAAAGTCAGGTCCTCCAGGTTGAATGTAGCGTGGAATGCTCTCTGCTTTGTGAACAAGAGCAAAGTCACTCAGCAGGTACTGATATAGTTCATGGTAGATGGTATTTATTATAGAATTGCATAATTGAGTAAAATCACGCATTCTGATTGGTTAATGAAGAGAGGTATTCAGTGTGGAATTGCGAGTTGAAAACGAGGCTAAGGGATTTTTTTTTTCGCATCTACGTAACAACTATTGTCAAATTGTAACACAACAACTGCAAAAAAGGTTTTCTACAATGTCATTTTAAAATGTTTTCAAAATCATTGTCCAGGGATTGCAAATTTTATTGATTAGTGGAGTCACTGTGACTTCCGCTTCACAAATTTTGGAGTCATTTTGGAAAATTTGGAGTCAAGTATCACAACGAAAAAAGCCATTTGCAGACTTTACAGCACTTGGTCCTGGCATGAATAACTATCGTGATGGATACACGGTGTAGCTGTGGGGGTTCACTGACCTAGAAAGCTCAAATCCATGATGGCGGTCATCGAGTAAACTTTGATCATAATTTACCCTCTTCCTGTTTTGTCGTGCAGTATCATTCTTTAATTTTGATGATTTAATTAAGGTTTACAACGTTTAAAATTAATGTAAATTGCATTTGTTGCGAAAAAGGTAGGGACAAAACTGTGTTTGTTACCGAAAATTCCTGGAGTCGAAGTGGCTCCCTGTTTGTTACCGAAAATTTCTGAAGTCAAAGTGACTCCCTCCGTAACCTCTGTGGAGTCATCTGAACAATTTTGGCGTAAAATACGCCAAATTTGGCGTATTTGCGAACCCTGCATTGTCACCTTTTGTATATCCTTTCTTAACATACTGTAATGTCGCCTGGTCCTCCACCTACTGTTCCAACCTAAACTGTATTTACCTTTTGCAAAAGTATCTAGTGCGGCTCATAACAAAAGCTCACTATCTAGCAAATACCGCCCCTTTGTTTAGCCAGCTTAAAGTCCTTGACATATTTAGTATTAATTCATTTTCTGTCACTACTTTTATGTATTGTTATCACCATAATCTTTTGCCTAGTAGCTTTCGTGACTTGTTCTTAAGTAGTAATCTGAAGTCCATCAATACCAAAATTCGACTGGCCTCTCAGTATAGACCTCATTTTTGTAGATCAAATATAAAGCAATTCAACATCCTTTACCGAGGACCTAAAATCTGGAATTCGTTGCCTGTTTCACTAATTAGCTCTCCTTCTATATTTGTTGTTAAAAAAAATTTAAAGAATTATCTCACTGATAGCCGATCTGTCGCTTAATTTTCTGATCTTGCTCACTCTGCACTCAGCCATGAATTTAGTTCTCTAGGTAGTTGAAGGAAGCCTATTAATATAAGCTTCAAGCTTCGTTAGACTTCCTTGTCACATTAATTTTATAATTTAATTAACACCTTTTGTTTATGTTGTATAAGGTTTTGTGGGTGACTAAATAAATAAATAGTTAAAAACAAACAAAAGCATTTTTTAAAGTGATCCGGAGGTTCTTCCTTGTTTTGAACTAAACTACAAATTCTTGGAGAGGTATAAAAAACCCCTTTCGCTAGCGACAATGAGAAAACAAGAAAATCCTGTGAACACAGCCCAGAAAATGGCAAGCCAAATTCAAACAAACAAAACGGAGAAGCGACAATGGAGGAAGTGCCGGGGTCAATTGTCACATATACAGAAGAAGAAATAAATACCTTCAAAGATCACATTGTCCCTGAAAACACAAAAAAGGGTACGCCACTTGCATTCATCCTGAATCGTGGTACTTAGGAAAGTACAAAACAGAGCTGAACTTGAACAGCATTTTTAAAACATTTCAAGGTACTTACCTTATATCAATCGCAACGTTAAACTTTCAGTGCTTTGCCTTGGACACTTCATTTCTTTCAGTTTTGCTACCGAAGAGGTAAAAGGTGTAAATTATTTTCCTTCACGAGCAAATGACCAATTTGAAAAAGCACGTTATAGATAACCGGCTTGTAAATTCAGTGAAATACCTCTATTTATCCTTACAATTAGTGTGAAGCTTGTTCATGTGTAAAAAAGTTTGAAAACAAATGTAAAAACAAGCACAAGGTACAAAAAAAGTTGTCAAAGGTTCAAACGTGTATGACTGACCTTGCTTCCTATTCGCTAACGCAATGACAGGTTTGACATTTGACTTTGAAATGGCTTTCTGGGGCGCGTGCTCAGGATAAAAACAAACAATATTATTGGTGTTTTCTTTTTTTTCCTGATTTTTATTTGATTATGCGATTCAAGGAAAATCCATTACCTGACTCGTGAATTCCACGTTAATTAAATTGCACTTGAAAACCTATATCGGTTTTCGTGTGCAATTTAACGTGGAATTCCCTCGTCAGGTAATGAATTTTCCTATAAAACTTAATAATATACGTGGAAAAATTTCTTGAATCAGATTGGCTTAGAGCAGTGCAGTTTTTAGTAAACACAGTACAAAAACAAGGAAACATAATGCAAAAATAAGGAAATAAAGTGCAAATTTCTCACAGAATGAAAACCTGTGATTGGCTAATAAACAATCAGTGTTCTCCAGAAGCGCGGGCAACTGGCAGTTTCACTGGGAACTCTTTTCCAAAGTGCCAGCTACTCTTATGAGTCAAAACATAAAAAAAAACTGTCTGTAACTTTTATCTTCAATTTTTCGTAAGTTCCATTTTTTTCCGCGAAGGATAAAACGGCACCCGAAGCAAATTGTGTTAATTCATTTCTTAGAATACTAGAACATGCAATTTCATCGGGAAAATAACAAACAAACAAAAAAGCCACAAGAGCTTGTTTGAAAGTTTATCGAAAAACACATGAAAATACATGGAACTAAAGTGCCTTGAACAGCTACAAAAGAAGACAGGTGTTGTTTATTCATGGTTGCGAAGCCACTCCCTGAGGCACTTGCCGATAGATAGCTGTGGCTTGTTTATCCGACATGAAGAATATAAATCACAAGCAACTAGAATACAGGCTATGCAGCCATTCACTACAGCAATCGAGGCGTCAGTAAAGCTTCTTTTCTTGTTCAGCAAAACCAGCTTGTGGCTTCAAACAACGTCATAACAAGCGACCAAGGTAATAGTTTTTCTCCGTTGTTCTTACTTTTGTAACTGCTCCAAAAATCCAAATTCACAGTAATTTTGATGGCTGTTAAGAATTATTTTTCTTCACATTATCCGCCAGGTTTTTTTAGCTGTCCCGCTGTGTAAAATCCTAGAATCTCGATGAGTTTTTAAAAGTGTTCATCTTTACAATGTTTTGATTTTTCATTCATCCAGTCCAGGCGAGTCGGTTCACGCGTTGACAGTTCTGAGAGACATGTGACATGTGAATAGCAGAACTCCCTTGTCTTTTCTGGTTTGTTCTAACAAGATTCAAAGGGATTTTGTGGGCATTTTTAATAAAATAATTATTCCACTTGCGCTTGTTGGATGAGATGATTATTGCCAACTCGGCGCTATGTGTCTCGTTGGCTATTTTCCACCTCATATCCAACGTGCCCTAGTGGAATAATTGTTAATTATAAAATAACTAAGATAGTACATGCATTCTGATTGGTTAAAAACCAATAGTTTATTGTGCCGGTAAAATCACAGAAAACTGAAACATGCTTTAAAGTTATTTTTTAAAAGTAAAAGACCACATTTTCTAAAGGTTTGCTGGTGTGATAACCCACTTGGGATGTTGGGAGAAGACTGGAAAAGCTTGTAAACCACCAGCTTAACTTCTCAGATCTCTGGGCCTCATGCTCCCAAACCCCCCCTTAGATACGGTACTCTCGCTTTACCAGCACTTGGTGTCAGGCACCAGTTACTTTACATTGGGAGCTGGCTACTCTAAAACTTCTGGAGAACACTGAACAATAGAAATATATAAGGACCAATGAGCCTCATGCGATCAGGTGTCACAATCTACTTGCTTATCTTCTTAGCCATGGAAGAACATGAAAGTCAGGTCCTCCAGGTTGAATGTAGCAGGGAATGCTCTCTGCTTGGTGGACAAGAGCAAAGTCAATCAGCAGGTACTGATATAGTTCATGGTAGATGGTATTTATTATAAAACTTAATAATATACATGGAAAAATTTCTTGAATGAGATTGGCTTAGAGCATTGCAGTTTTTAGTAAACACAGTAAAAAAAACAAGGAAACATAATGCAAAAATAAGGAAATAAAGTGCAAATTTCTCAGAGAATGAAAACCTGTCAACAATCAGTGTTCTCCAGAAGCGCAGGCGACTGGTGGTTTCGCTGGCTACTCGATCTTATGACTCAAAACAGTAAAAAAACCTGTCTGTACCTTTTATCTTGAATTTTTCAGAAGGTCCTAAAAGCAACAAAAACAATAACTTGTCGTACAAAAAGCTCTTTGGTGTATGACAATTTGCCTTTTGCTAATGGTATTATCGATATATTTACTGAATGATTTTTGATGAGACATTGCCAGATAATATTTTTTAATTATAAAATAACTAAGATAGTACATGCATTCTGATTGGTTAAAAACCAATAGTTTATTGTGCTGGTAATCTCATAGTAAACTGAAACATGCTTTAAAGTTATTTTATAAAAGTAAAAGACCACATTTTCTATGGATTTACCATCATGATAACTCACTTGGTTCTTGGGAGAACTCTGGAAAAGCTTGTAAATAACGAGCAAAACTTCTCAGATCTCTGGGCTTAATGCTCCCAAACCCCTCCCTTAGATACAGTACTCTCGCTTTATCAGTGCTTGGTGTCAGGCACCAGTTTCTTTGCTTTGGGAGCTGGCTACTCTAAAACTTCTGGATAACACTGAACAATAGAAATATATAAGAACCAATAGCCTCAGGTGTCACAATCTGCTTGCCCAACTTATTAAGATTATATCTTATCTTCTTAGCCATAGAAGAACATGAAAGTGAAGTCCTCCAACTTGAATGTAGCATAGAAAGCTCTCTGCCAGGTGAACAAGAGCAAAGTCATTCAGCAGGTACTGATATACCGGTAGTTGTTTATGGTAGATGGTATTTTATTATGAAAGTTAATAATATACATGAAAAAATTTCTCTGTGAATTTGATTGGCTTAGAGCAGTGTACTTTTTAGTAAACATAATGCAAAAACAAGGAAACATAATGCAAAAAGAAAGAAATATAATGCAAATTTATCAGAGAATGAAAAACTGTGATTGGGCTAATAAACAATAGAAATTTATCAGAACTAATTAAGTGCCACAATTTGCTGGTGGGAAGCATGTATACTTTTAAAACTTCCCCCTTTTTGGTGTAATTAATTATGCTCTGTTGTCTTACCTAAGTAATCTTTCCTTTTTCTTGTAACACTTTTTTTCTCAATATTTTATTTTATGAATTTACCTGATTATTTTTATTTATTTATTCATTGTGGGTTGTTTTTTTTTCATTTTTGTAACCAAGATTTTGAAATTAATAAAGGTGTGGTTGGGCGTGTGTGTGTAACAAATAAGGATGTTAAAACTTTCATATATATATATTTTTTACATGGACTCAAAAGAGCAGCTATATAATCAGTGATTTTGTTACCTCTGCATTGGATCTATGTTCCTGACACATAAAAATCGCCGAAGACATAAAATAATTCATGGATATATCGATCTGAACGTGTGTATTTGTAGAAGTATCCGTGACGTGTAATTTCTGTGGCAGTTATGGTTGTTGTTTAGTGATGCATATTTGTTTTAGCCTTTGTTGACTTCTGCTTTAAAATAGAAGAACTATATTTTAATTTCAGTATACTATAATACAGAGTTTTGGAGTGTGTCTTCAGATTAACTGTCTGCGGCTGGTACATAAAGGCCCAAACATTTTCCATTTTGGACTCATTTTTTTTAACTGGGACTCATTGGTTCTGGACTGGGACTCATGATTTCTCACAAGATGAGTCCCAGAATTCATCATATTTATTTGTAACAAAAACACTGTATAATTCATTGATTAGACCTTTTGTCGTGTAATTCAAGTGTTGTTGTTGTGGTAAACATGACAAGTCATCATGTCTGTACTTAATTCTCCATGACTGGATTGTAGGATTTTGTTCTGTTTGTATTTGATCGTGCATTATTATTATGGGAAAACTTACCTTCAGTTAGGGTTACATTATTTTTGACTAGGACAAAGTTAAAATACATTGAATTCTCATAGAGATAATTATTTTTGGATTATAATAATGAGTTCATTGGTTGGGTCCCCCATTATATTTGATGACTGGTTTATGAAATATCAGCACTTAGAAAAAAATGATTGTCAAGGATGTTGTATTATCCGAAGTTTCAAAAGTAGAAATATTATGTATTTTCTATTTGAAATCAGGTTTTGAGAACACTTCCACAGATACAGCTTTATAATAGTAATTTTGTACAGTTATACAAGCATGCAGTACTAGGGTGCGAAAGAAAAGGAGGTCAGTTTTTGTGCTTGTCCTTCGGGAAGGCTGTAGCTTGCATCTGTTAGCCCAAGAATCACAACTCTATTATCCCTCAGGCAAGATAAAAAATAGAATCCACTAGCCCCATAGCTTATATGAATTGTGTACTGGTTAATACAAATAATTCATTTACTAGGAGAAGAGTTGGAACAACACATTCCTGCAGTAGAAAATGGCCCAATTGAGGGAGCAAGCAACGTGCAGGAAACACAGCAACCTCTTCCAGAAGTAAATAATAGTAGCCACTTAGAAGATGACCGCCTAATTGCTAGAGCAAGGGCAGTTGGTGTGGACTATGAGTTTCCAAAGCCTGGTGAAGTGGAAACGGAGGATGACAGAAGAAAAGATTTTATTTACTTGAATCCAGTCCATTCCTTTTTCTCTCCAACAACAATGGTATATTAAGAAACATTGTTATCATAGCTGGAAATTTCTTTCCAACCATGTGCACACTCATTGGTTATTTCAATGTCACCTGACATCTAACAATGAAACTTTTTGGTGCCAATATTCTCTAAGCAGCCAACATCGCAAAAATCATTCACATCAGAGGGTAACAGTGCACTATTACCCGTGAATGACCAACAACTGACATTCCAGGGAGGTTTAATGAATTTCCATGCAGCTTTAAATTTTTTAAAATATTAACATCACAAATCACTTAAATACTTGGCCCATGGGAAACAGTTAATTTTGTTTTCCAAGAATCTAAATATTTCCCAGCACCATTCTCATTAGTTACTTCGAGGTCACATGACATCTAACTGTTTCCCACCACAATCTCTGAGGAATTGCCAGGCTAATTGACCAGCTGCTGTGGAAATTGGAGAATGACTATATGAATGGTTAGGTACGTTAGGTACAGTGCAAAAGTTGCATTGATAACTGTGGTGATCTTCCCTGAATTTATTTCTTCATTCTGCATTGCCAGTATATGAAATTAATGTATTTATTATACCATATATAACTTTGTTGTGTGAATTCACCTTGGATAAGTTAATCTTTTCTTGTGCTGTTTTAAAGTTATAGAGTTTTAGTTTTAGTTTCAACTTTTAAGACCTTTTTCTTTCCTGCTCTTTAAACCTTATCTAACTACGTTGTACTTTTTTCGTAGTTTTCTTTGACTCCTCTTCTTCCTTTGTCGGGAGTGGGTTGCGGCTACACGTAGGCTAGATTACATCCCGATACCGACTGGGGGGTATCAGTATTTGCAACGAGGCTATATCGTATTGTGTACCAGTGTGAATAAAACGATCTTCATCATCATCATTATTATCGTTATTATTATTGTAATGAAATCGGGAGCTCTGCTTTTGGGCGTGGCTAAATCTATATATTTATGTTGGAGCGTAACTCTGTTAATGTTCATTCAAACACTCGCCACAGCTCGCGCTACAAAAGTGAGAACCGGATGGCCGTATAGGTCATTTTGGAAATTTTTTTAACGGTTTAGCTAAAAGCCCACGCGTACTTCCCTCGTCCCGAATACTGAATGAATGCAATTTGTATTGTGAAATACTGCTTTCTGTCCGAGGTCTGTATGATAAAAACGGTGCCTCGTACTAATGTTTCACCTCAGAAGTGATGTATAAATGGTAATATATCGATTTAGCCAAGCCTAAAAGCGGAGCTCCCGATTTCATTACAATAATAATAACGATAATAATGATGATGATGAAGATCGTTTTATTCACACTGGTACACAATACGATATAACCTCGTTGCAAATACTGATACCCCCCAGTCGGTATCGGGATGTAATCTAGCCTACGTGTAGACGTAACCCACTCCCGGCAAAGGAAGAAGAGGAGTCAAAGAAAACTACGAAAAAAGTAACACGTAGTTAGATAAGGTTTAAAGAGCAGGAAAGAAAAAGGTCTTAAAAGTTGAAACTAAAACTAAAACTCTATAACTTTAAAACAGCACAAGAAAAGATTAACTTATCCAAGGTGAATTCACACAACAAAGTTATATATGGTATAATAAACACATTAATTTCATATACTGGCAATGCAGAATGAAGAAATAAATTCAGGGAAGATCACCACAGTTATCAATGCAACTTTGGCACTGTACCTAACGTACCTAACCATTCATATAGTCATTCTCCAATTTCCACCGCAGCTGGTCAATTAGCCTGGCAATTCCTCAGAGATTGTGGTGGGAAACAGTTAGATGTCATGTGACCTCAAGTAACTAATGAGAATGGTGCTGGGAAATATTTAGATTCTTGGAAAACAAAATTAACTGTTTCCCATGGGCCAAGTCTTTAAGTGATTTGTGATGTTAATATTTTAAAAAATTTATAGCTGCATGGAAATTCATTAAACCTCCCTGGAAGGTCAGTTGTTGGTCATTCACGGGTAATAGTGCACTGTTACGCTCTGATGTGAATGATTTTTGCGATGTTGCTTGCTTAGAGAATATTGGCACCAAAAAGTTTCATTGTTAGATGTCAGGTGACATTGAAATAACCAATGAGTGTGCACATGGTTGGAAAGAAATTTCCAGCTATAATAACAATGTTTCTTAATATATCATTGTTGTTGGAGAGAAAAAGGAATGGACTTGATTCAAGTAAATAAAATCTTTCTTCTGTCATCCTCCGTTTCCACTTCACCAGGCTTTGGAAACTCATAGTCCACACCAACTGCCCTTGCTCTAGCAATTAGGCGGTCATCTTCTAAGTGGCTACTATTATTTACTTCTGGAAGAGGTTGCTGTGTTTCCTGCACATTGCTTGCTCCCTCAATTGGGCCATTTTCTACTGCAGGAGTGCGTTGTTCCAACTCTTCTCCTAGTAAATGAATTATTTGTATTAACCAACTACACAATTCATATAAGCTATGGGGCTAGTGGATTCTATTTTTTATCTTGCCTGAGGGATAATAGAGTTGTGATTCTTGGGCTAACAGATGCAAGCTACAGCCTTCCCAAGGACAAGCACAAAACTGACCTCGTTTTCTTTCGCACCCTAGTACTGCATGCTTGTATAACTGTACAAGAATTACTATTATAAAGCTGTATCTGTGGAAGTGTTCTCAAAACCTGATTTCAAATAGAAAATACACAATATTTCTACTTTTGAAACTTCGGATAATACAACAACCTTGACAATCATTTTCTAAGTGCTGATATTTCATAAACCAGTCATCAAATATAATGGGAGTGACCCAACCAATGAACTCATTATTATAATCCAAAAATAATTATCTCTATGAGAATTCAATGTATTTTAACTTTGTCCTAGTCAAAGTAATGCAACCCTAAGGTAAGTTTTCCCATAATAATAATGCACGATCAAATACAAACAGAACAAAAATCCTACAATCCAGTCATGGAGAATTAAGTACGGACATGATGACTTGTCATGTTTACCACAACAACAACACTTGAATTACATGACAAAAGGTCTAATCAATGAATTATACAGTGTTTTTGTTACAAATAAATATGATGAATTCTGGGACTCATCTTGTGAGAAATCATGAGTCCCAGTCCAGAACCAATGAGTCCCAGTTAAAAAAAAATGAGTCCAAAATGGAAAATGTTTGGGCCTTTATGTACCAGCCACAGACAGTTAATCTGAAGACACACTCCAAAACTCTGTATTATAGTATACTGAAATGAAAATATAGTTCTTCTATTTTAAAGCAGAAGTCAACAAAGGCTAAAACAAATATGCATCACTAAACAACAACCATAACTGCCACAGAAATTACACGTACGGGATATTTCTACAAATACACACGTTCAGATCGATATATCCATGAATTATTTTATGTCTTTGGCGATTTTTATGTGTCAGGAACATAGATAGAATGCAGAGGTAACAAAATCACTGATTATATAGCTGCTCTTTTGAGTCCATGTAAAAAATATATATATGAAAGTTTTAACATTCTTATTTGTTACACACACACGCCCACCCACACCTTTATTAATTTCAAAATCTTGGTTACAAAAATGAAAAAAAAAAAACAACCCACAATGAATAAATAAATAAAAATAATCAGGTAAATTCATAAAATAAAATATTGAGAAAAAAAGTGTTACAAGAAAAAGGAAAGATTACTTAGGTAAGACAACAGGGCATAATTAATTACACCAAAAAGGGGGAAGTTTTAAAAGTATACATGCTTCCCACCAGCAAATTGTGGCACTTAATTAGTTCTGATAAATTTCTATTGTTTATTGGCCCAATCACAGTTTTTCATTCTCTGATAAATTTGCATTATGTTTCCTTGTTTTTGCATTGTGTTTACTAAAAAGTACATTGCTCTATGCCAATCAAATTCACAGAGAAATTTTTTCATGTATATTATTAACTTTCAAAATAAAATACCATCTACCATAAACAACTACCGGTATATCAGTACCTGCTGAATCACTTTGCTCTTGTTCACCTGGCAGAGAGCTTTCCATGCTACATTCAAGTTGGAGGACTTCACTTTCATGTTCTTCTATGGCTAAGAAGATAAGATATAATCTTAATAAGTTGGGCAAGCAGATTGTGACACCTGAGGCTGATTGGTTCTTATATATTTCTATTGTTCAGTGTTATCCAGAAGTTTTAGAGTAGCCAGCTCCCAAAGCAAAAGAAACTGGTGCCTGACACCAAGCACTGATAAAGCGAGAGTACCGTGATCTAAGGGAGGGGTTTGGGGCATTAAGCCCAGAGATCTGAGAAGTTTTGCTCGTTATTTACAAGCTTTTCCAGAGTTCTCCCAAGAACCAAGTGAGTTATCATGCTGGTAAATCCATAGAAAATGTGGTCTTTTACTTTTATAAAATAACTTTAAAGCATGTTTCAGTTTACTATGAGATTACCAGCACAATAAACTATTGGTTTTTAACCAATCAGAATGCATGTACTATCTTAGTTATTTTATAATTAAAAAATATTATTTGGCAATGTCTCATCAAAAATCATTCAGTAAATATATCGATAATACCATTAGCAAAAGGCAAATTGTCATACACCAAAGAGCTTTTTGTACGACAAGCTATTGTTTTTGTTTCTTTTAGGACCTTCTGAAAAATTCAAGATAAAAGGTACAGACAGTTTTTTTTACTGTTTTGAGTCATAAGAGTAGCCAGCGAAACCACCAGTCGCCTGCGCTTCTGGAGAACACTGATTGTTCACAGGTTTTCATTCTCTGAGAACTTTGCACTTTATTTCCTTATTTTTGCATTATGTTTCCTTGTTTTTTTTACTGTGTTTACTAAAAACTGCACTGCTCTAAGCCAATCTCATTCAAGAAATTTTTCCATGTATATTATTAAGTTTTATAATAAATACCATCTACCATGAACTATATCAGTACCTGCTGACTGACTTTGCTCTTGTTCACCAAGCAGAGAGCATTTTCTGCTACATTCAACCTGGAGGACCTGACTTTCATGTTCTTCCATGGCTAAGAAGATAAGCAAGCAGATTGTGACACCTGAGGCTCATTGGTTCTTATATATTTCTATTGTTCAGTGTTCTCCAGAAGTTTTAGAGTAGCCAGCTCCCAATGTAAAGTAACTGGTGCCTGACACCAAGTGCTGGTAAAGCGAGAGTACCGTATCTAAGGGGGGGTTTGGGGGCATGAGGCCCAGAGATCTGAGAAGTTAAGCTGGTCAGGGTGGTTTACAAGCTTTTCCAGTCTTCTCCCAACATCCCAAGTGGGTTATCACACCAGCAAACCTTTAGAAAATGTGGTCTTTTACTTTTATAAAATAACTTTAAAGCATGTTTCAGTTTTCTATGATTTTACCGGCACAATAAACTATTGGTTTTTAACCAATCAGAATGCACGTACTATCTTAGTTATTTTATAATTAACAATTATTCCACGAGGGCACGTTGGATATGAGATGGAAAATAGCCAACGAGACGCATAGCGCCGAGTTGGCAATAATCATCTCATCCAACAAGCGCAAGTGGAATAATTATTTTATTAAAAACGCCCACAAAATCCCTTTGAATCTTGTTAGAACAAACCAGAAAAGACAAGGGAGTTCCGCTATTCACATGTCACATGTCTATCAGAACTGTCAACGCATGAACCGACTCGCCTAGACTGGATGAATGAAAAATCAAAACATTGTAAAGATGAACACTTTTAAAAACTCATCGAGATTCTAGGATTTTACACAGCGGGACAGCTAAAAAAACCTGGCAGATAATGTGAAGAAAAATAATTCTTAACAGCCATCAAAATTACTGTGAATTTGGATTTTTGGAGCAGTTACAAAAGTAAGAACAACGGAGAAAAACTATTACCTTGGTCGCTTGTTATGACGTTGTTTGAAGCCACAAGCTGGTTTTGCTGAACAAGAAAAGAAGCTTTACTGACGCCTCGATTGCTGTAGTGAATGGCTGCATAGCGTGTATTCTAGTTGCTTGTGATTTATATTCTTCATGTCGGATAAACAAGCCACAGCTATCTATCGGCAAGTGCCTCAGCGAGTGGCTTCGCAACCATGAATAAACAACATCTGTCTTCTTTTGTAGCTGTTCAAGGCACCTTAGTTCCATGTATTTTCATGTGTTTTTCGATAAACTTTCAAACAAGCTCTTGTGGCTTTTTTGTTTGTTTGTTATTTTCCCGATGAAATTGCATGTTCTAGTATTCTAAGAAATGAATTAACACAATTTGCTTCGGGTGCCGTTTTATCCTTCGCGGAAAAAAATGGAACTTACGAAAAATTGGAGATAAAAGTTACAGACAGTTTTTTTTTATGTTTTGACTCATAAGAGTAGCTGGCACTTTGGAAAAGAGTTCCCAGTGAAACTGCCAGTTGCCCGCGCTTCTGGAGAACACTGATTGTTTATTAGCCAATCACAGGTTTTCATTCTCTGAGAAATTCGCACTTTATTTCCTTATTTTTGCATTATGTTTCCTTGTTTTTGTACTGTGTTTACTAAAAACTGCACTGCTCTAAGCCAATCTGATTCAAGAAATTTTTCCACGATATTAGTAAGTTTTATAGGAAAATTCATTACCTGACGAATTGACGTTAATTGCACACCAAAACCGATATCGGTTTTCAAGTGCAATTTAACGTGGAATTCACGAGTCAGGTAATGGATTTTCCTTGAATCGCATAATCAAATAAAAATCAGAAAAAAAAAGAAAACACCAATAATATTGTTTGTTTTTATCCTGAGCACGCGCACCAGAAAGCCATTTCAAAGTCAAATGTCAAACCTGTCATTGCATTAGCGAATAGGAAGTAAGGTCAGTCATACACGTTTGAACCTTTGACAACTTTTTTTGTACCTTGTGCTTGTTTTTACATTTGTTTTCAAACTTTTTACACATGAACAAGCTTCACACTAATTGTAAGGATAAATAGAGGTATTTCACTGAATTTACAAGCCGGTTATCTATAACATCCTTTTTCAAATTGGTCATTTGCTCGCGAAGGAAAATAATTTACACCTTTTACCTCTTCGGTAGCAAAACTGAAAGAAATGAAGTGTCCAAGGCAAAGCACTGAAAGTTTAACGTTGCGATTGATATAAGGTAAGTACCTTGAAATGTTTTAAAAATGCTGTTCAAGTTCAGCTCTGTTTTGTACTTTTCTAAGTACCACGATTCAGGATGAATGCAATTTCGTGTTTTCAGGGACAATGTGATCTTTGAAGGTATTTATTTCTTCTTCTGTATATGTGACAATTGACCCTGGCACTTCCTCCATTGTCGCTTCTCCGTTTTGTTTGTTTGAATTTGGCTTGTTATTTTCTGGGCTGTGTTCACAGGATTTTCTTGTTTTCTCATTGTCGCTAGCGAAAGGGGTTTTTTATACCTCTCCAAGAATTTGTAGTTTAGTTCAAAACAAGGAAGAACCTCCGGATCACTTTAAAAAATGCTTTTGTTTGTTTTTAACTATTTATTTATTTAGTCACTCACAAAACCTTATACAACATAAACAAAAGGTGTTAATTAAATTATAAAATTAATGTGACAAGGAAGTCTAACGAAGCTTGAAGCTTATTAATAGGCTTCCTTCAACTACCTAGAGAACTAAATTCATGGTTGAGTGCAGAGTGAGCAAGATCAGAAAATTAAGCGACAGATCGGCTATCAGTGAGATAATTCTTTAAATTTTTTTTAACAACAAATATAGAAGGAGAGCTAATTAGTGAAACAGGTAACGAATTCCAGATTTTAGGTCCTCGGTAAAGGATGCTGAATTGCTTTATATTTGATCTACAAAAATGAGGTCTATACTGAGAGGCCAGTCGAATTTTGGTATTGATGGACTTCAGATTACTACTTAAGAACAAGTCACGAAAGCTACTAGGCAAAAGATTATGGTGATAACAATACATAAAAGTAGTGACAGAAAATAAATTAATACTAAATATGTCAAGGACTTTAAGCTGGCTAAACAAAGGGGCGGTATTTGCTAGATAGTGAGCTTTTTGTTATGAGCCGCACTAGACGCTTTTTGCAAAAAGGTAAATACAGTTTAGGTTGGAACAGTAGGTGGAGGACCAGGCGACATTTCAGTATGTTAAGAAAGGATATCTTAAAGGTGACAATGATTTTGAAAACATTTTAAAATGACATTGTAGAAAAACTTTTTTTGCAGTTGTTGTGTTACAATTTGACGATAGTTGTTACGTAGATGCGAAAAAAACATCCCTTAGCCTCGTTTTCAACTCGCAATTCCACACTGAATACCTCTCTTCGTTAACCAATCAGAATGCGTGATTTTACTCAATTATGCAATTCTATAATAAATACCATCTACCATGAACTATATCAGTACCTGCTGAGTGACTTTGCTCTTGTTCACCAGTGCAGAGAGCATTCCATGCTACATTCAACCTGGAGGACCTGACTTTCATGTTCTTCCATGGCTAAGAAGATAAGATAAAATCTTTAGTTGGGCAAGAATTTTCCCTCACCCCTACATACACCTATTGTTCAAAGAAAACATGTCAGAACAATACTGAGCCAAAAGTTGTGATTTCTGGTTTAATTCTTATGGGGAATTGTTTTTAAGAATAAACGAGCTGAGCTTGACAATATTCCTGGAAATATTATTTACTACACTGTACCCTCCAATGAATGAACAACTTAATAACCACACTCAAAACTGGTTTATAATATTTCCCCATCTCTCAACACAAGGAGTTTTTGAGCATTTACGATCACATAATTTTTGTCTTAATTTGGCTATTACTGCAAAGTACAATGTCTTCAATACAGTAAAAACCTAGCTGTGACTAAGAACCTGGTTTTTAGGAACCTGTTTGGCTAAACTTGCCAGTTATAATTAGGCCCCAGGCTCTATACAAGAACCTGTTTAGCCCAATATTTGACACACATCTTTATTTTCTCAAATCTATAAAAAAAATTCTATACACCTGGAAAATATTCAGGTGAACCTCTTTGGGAGACATAAGCTGCAATGTTTTTTTTTCCTGCAGAAAATAAGAACCTTTTCATTTTAGAAGAATAGACAAATTTTTTGCCAATAACTATTTTTGTAAGAACGTACCTGTTAATGCAATGGGAAAATCCAGGTTCTTACCTACGAGTTTTTACTGTGTTTTGACCCGTCCGAGCTAAAATTTGTTTGGCAGGTAATAATTTATTTTGACAGGTTAGTAACTAGACATGACCAAGCTTAAATTTGTTTGGCCTGTCAACATTCAAAAATAATTTCTAACCCTGGCTGCCCTCCTTATTTACATAGATCTCCATATATATTCTTAAACACTCGAAGATAGGTATTTACAAATTGGAAAAGCCTAGATTTATAGTAAAATAATAAAAGTTATTTCAATTACAAGAGGGAGAATAGATCCTTCAAATTCTGTTTACCCTGAATAAAACAAATAGAGGTAAGCTCGAACAATCTGCACCAAAACGCTCTTTCAACAGACATTGAAAATCTTCAAATTCAAGGTGCTCTCTGCTCTCTTTTCAGAAAACATAACAACGCTTTCACAGACCGTATAATTTACAATCCTCTAACACTGAATCATTTTAACTTGTCACAGAGGCCAGAGTCGCCTAAAATTTACATAGGTATGCCTGTGGTGCGGACGGACGGTCGGGTGGGCGGTCGGTGTACGGTCACGTGATTACCAAATTTTCTCGGATGGGTAGTTTACCACATTTTGTTACCCATGGTGCTCCGCTGCGCGCTTCGCGCGCGAGAGCTCCGCTATAAAAGGTTGGTTTACACGAACCCAGATTTGTTGGCAAGATTTTGCAAAGTAAACTTGTCGAACGCAAAAAAGTTGGCCTGTTTTTTTTTCGAGGCCTAATTAATCTACGGTGATCAAGAGCCATTATAGCTCTTAAATGTGATCGAAGATGATTACCAGTTTTTGGGTGTACATATGAGGCTATCAACTCGATGTAAGATTTGGTTCACTCTTGGGCTGTTTGCAAATATTTTTCTCTAAAATCACGTAGCCTTTCCCTCGAAAGTCACATAAATGTGCTCTAAAGTTAACTGAATTGTACCCTACGAGCAGTGGTTTCTCCAGGCCGGAGAAACCACTGCTCGCAGGGTAACTGAATTGCGGAATACAAGTTTATTGTTTGATTTAAATTATAAATTTATCAATGGGAGCCTCGCTTTTAGCCCTGGCTAAATCTATATATTATTCAATCCAAGAGCTCAGTTTTTATGTCTTAGTTTTTATAAACAAAGGGCAGGTGTTTCTGTGACAAGTGAAATGGATTCTGCCGCAAACGTCAGGCAGAAAAATATTAACAATTAAAGAAAGTAATTAAATAATTTCCTGCCTACCGCGGATTTCAAGTAACGGAGATGATCGAAAAGGGTCAAAATTTAAAGCCCCAAAAAACCCCTAGGACTTCCAACAAAATCCCCTTTAAAAAACCCTTCACCAAAAACTAGTCTCCTAAAAATCCCATGCCGAATATCCGAGCAGGGATACTCGGTCACTACCACGAATCTTTAGATTGTTTTAAATACCCCAAAATATCCCTACTTAAATTAACCTAACCAAAAAAATATTTGCCAAATCTTCCTACCCAAAAAAATACCGAAACCAAAAATTTCAAACCCAAAAAGTACCTTCGATCATTCCCGCCACTTGAAATCAGGAGCACCCCTCTGGCCAGCTCTTAGTGCCAGGGAAGTGAGGCTTTGAAGAGGTCACGCTTTAGGAGTAAATAGTCACCCGTATACCAATTTCAGCGTCATGTGCCCGTACCCTCAACTAAAATTAGACCAAAGCTACAAAACAAAACTGTCTCGAATGTGAGCGCGTTTCCTAAAATATTTGCTTGAATATAACAATAAACTTGACTGAAAACTCAATGACACAATGCTAATTGATGCATTTCCATTCTAAAACGTAACTTTCTCTACTGTGAAATACAAAAAGTATCTCAAATGCCGGGCAGAAATCCTGTAAAAACTTCGCTCACTCAGTTGCTCTACTCACTGTTCTATAGCCTGTGTGGCATGGCGGTTAGCACCATGCTACGCAGGCTAACTGTTCTACTGAGCTCTCCTCCGCAAAGTAAACAAAGACAGGGCTCCTGACAAGGATGAAGTCCTTCAAGGCAAATTTGTAGGTTGATCTTTTCACTTTTCTCCAAAGCGACAACTGAGTACTTTTTCAACTTCTACTTTTCAATTATATATTTCACCGGATGCATTTTCGACTTTACAAGAAAGGAGATTTCCTCAATTTGTCTCAATTTTTATTTAACGCACAAGCTTTTCGTTAACGTGAACCAATGGGCAAATGGTTGATGGCTAATTGACCAATAAGAGCCCACGCTTTACTTTTGTTATGTTATAATCAACTGGACTGTCAGTTTTTTGTCACCAAATTTCTTAGCATCAACAGAGGGGTAACTCAAGGTACTGTTCTTAGTCTTGCATTGTTCTCTATTATGGTAAACGACAAAAGTCCTGTCTATCTGGAACGCAGTCAGGTATTCAAATATGGTACATGTAATAATCTTACGCTATTATAGTATTCTTGTCAGCTTTAGGGGCTTCGAGACCCAGCTTGGCGTTTAACCAAAAGACCAAAAATTGAGATAACAAAATTGGTCAGGTTACTAATTTGCCTCCATCTGTATCTCTTAAGGCAATGGCCTAATGACGACCACATTTGCTCCTCCTTATAGTCTCCAAAAATATAAAAGCCACGTAAGCCTCGGGAGGGAGGATCCATCTTTGCTGAACCGTGTCCACAATGTCAGTTGTTATAACTGGCAGCCAACATAGATTACAAAATCACCACTATCTTCTACGTTTACCGAGCTTACTGAATTGCCTAGGCGATGGAAATTGGCGTTGTGATGGCGAACTGTTTTGAAGATTCTTAAGTAGCAGAAAAACAGGTTGGAATACTTACGTAAAGAGGAGTACCACAGGCTATAAATACACTGTTTTCGAATAGAATACAACAGAAAAGCTTAAAAGGATGAAAAATCATTTTGCTTCTTTTTAGCAAGCCAATTAATGGAGCAAATATAGAATAGAACCATAACGCAAAAATCATGAGAAGCGTTTTCCTATTGGTGAAGTAGTGTCGGTACTTTGTCGGTTTGACAATTCTATAAAATCTGTTTACTGCCATCAAGATCATTGTGTGAATCAAAGCAAAACCAACCAACGTAATAATTATGAAACCTTGAAATTGGCAGGTCTTGACATTAAACGGCCAATGGGAAGTCACCGATGTAGGGATACCTAAAGGAGCTGCACTTGAAATTCCCTTTGGTAAGTCGGAAACAGCGAGTGATACTACGAACATGTTTGGAATTGTGCGCATCCGTCGTTTTAACAACATATAACAAGGAGTGTCAGGATGTTTCCAACAAAGAGTAATAACAAAATAGGCAAGTACAAACTTGATACCAGAATAGCTTTTCCTTTGCTTCTTGATTTAAACTCTCTTAACCTTTCTGCCAGTTGCTTCTCTGTGCAATCCATCTTCAGTACTTTCAAACAGTTTTAGCTAGATAAAGTAAGCGCAAAGGATTAATGACAAGCTTGTTTATAAAAGTACAGTGGAACCTCCTGTAAGTGAGCACCCAGGGAGGTATTCGCTACGAAAATCCCTGGGAGGGAATTCAAGAGGTGGTTGGGAAGGGGTGTGCCGCCAGTGCCTTTAAATCCTTACCCTGTTCAAGAAAAAAATCGTTCCATCCCTGTCCAAGACATGCGAACTTGTATCATATGTCTCATGATTTATTTCATTTTATATAAAGAATTTTCAGAGTTTTAAAAAAATGTCGGTACCGAAGACGTCGACCGTGTATCCCCAACGTTCACCGCCTACCCAAGCGGCTTCAGCATATGTCTAAAACCAACCCTGTTTAAGATGCCAAAAGGTCTTTAGGACACCACACGCCTAAAACACTACCCTGTTCAGCGACACATAGAACTACAGAGAATCGAACTACATTTAGTCTCTTTACTCTCCACTAGTTGGAAGAAAATGCTTTGCATCCAATATATGAGGTACTATATAGGTAGTTTAATGTAAGTTGTTATTAAATTCTTCGTATAACCTGAGAGGGGTCGGACATAAACAGCTAATGTAGAGATTAGACCATGTGCTGACCATGTGCTGAGTCATCGCTCAGAAGAGGTAAGTATTTTCGACGTTGAGCACCATTAGATGTACATTATGTTTAGCATTTTTAGTCGCTTAAAAAGGAATTAAGAGCGGATGTCAGTAAATATCGACCAGAGGTCTACTAAAGTGAAAAATCGAAAATTCTCAAAAAAATTCACAAAGTAGCACTAGGTAAGCTATTATTAACATAAATGTAATTTTTACTTCGATCCGATAATTATTTTCCGCGTACGGGGGGGTTATTGGTTTCGCGGCTC